TGTTCTTGTAACAAGCTTTAGTTCATTATTTTCTGTTTACTGTTTGTTTTTTATTATGATTACATCTGCAATGGGTTTCAGTTTTTCTAGACAATTTCAAGATCTTTGCAATATTCAACTTTGCTGTTCTTTGCGGCTTTATTTTCCTATTTTTTACCAACCCAAAACATTAGTTATTACCGACCATGGGTAATACTCTTGTACAATATCGAGCCGCAATTGGAATTTTTTACCTTCGAAATAGATGCACATTCAAATCCATGAATTATTGTTTTTTCAGATTGGTATATTTAGTTTGGCTTTTGTGGAAAGCTTACCTATTTTGTAAACAAAAATTCAAAGTTTGTAAGAAACATGCAGTATATTTTCAGCATGTCAATTTTCTTTTTCAACTTATGAGTATATTATTAATGCTGTCTGGTGATATTGAATCAAATCCTGGGCCTACAGATAAATCTTTCCATACTTTAGATATTTTTCATATAAACATAAGAAGTATAAGAAACAAAATTGAAAAATTAATATCATTTGTCAGTGATTATCACATTTTGTGTTTTACTGAAACACATTTAGACGCAAATATTGATGATAATGCTATTTCGATTGAGGGTTTTTCTACAACTTTTCGCAAAGATCGTAACTCATATGGAGGCGGTACCCTGATTTATGTATCCGATTCACTTCGAGCCATAAGACGCACTGACCTTGAACCTTTGAATACGGAATGTATATGGATAGAAGTTAGTGACCCTATAAGTAATATTTACCTTTGCTGTCTATATCGGCCTCCGAATTCTGATAAATCCTTTTGGAAAAACGTAATGTGGTCCATTGAAAAAGTTTCTGATATATCCAATAAGATAATTATCCTTGGAGACTTAAATGTAGATTTTTTAGATATTCCACGCACTCACATTGTTAACGAAATTTTGTCTCAGTATAGCCTTAGTAATATTGTCAATGAAGCAACGAGAGTCACGAGTAGATCGAGCACGCTTATTGACCCAATTCTGGTTAGCTCAGACATCAAGGTGCTTCACTCTGGAATTGTTCATGTTGATAATTTTATAAGTGACCATAAAGGAACATATGTTTTTGTTAAATCAGATGTTATTCAAAATCAATCATATGAAAGAAAGGTTTGGTTATATAAGCACGCAGATATGGATAAATTGAATTCTCTCATTGAAAATACTGATTGGAATACGCTTATAATTGAGGCACCTGATATAGATCAAGCAACGAAAAATTTTACATCAACATTTTTGAATAAAGTAAAGGAATGTATTCCTGAAAAATCGGTTGTAATTCGTCCGAAAGATAAACCTTGGTTTGATTCGGCTCTGCGTAAAACACATAGAAACAAGAATAGATTATTTAGTAGTGCCCAAAGGACAAAAAGAAATTCTGACTGGGAAAAATATAAGAAATGCAGGAATAAGTTTAACAATATGAAAAAAATCGCCATTGAAAACTATCATAATAACATAGAGCATCATATTACAGACGCAAGTAAAAATAATTCCAAACTTTACTGGAAGTTACTGAGAGATATATTTAAAGTAAAATCTACTACCGATATTCCTCCTCTACAGTATACCTCTGTTAATGGTGATGCATGTGTGGCTTTTACTAATGAAGAGAAAATAGATGTTTTAAATGATTATTTTGCTTCTATCACTTGTATTGACGAAAACGACGCCATTTTACCTAATTTCTATTCTGTGTGCAATAACCCATTTGATACAGTCTGTATTGATGAACAAGAGATTATAGATATTATTTCAATTATTCCTGTTAACAAAGCAATAGGTCCAGATAATATTAGTCACAAGATGTTGAAATCCACCATGTATACTATTGTAAAACCATTATGTTTATTGTTTAATAGGTCATTAGTTGATTGTATTTTTCCCTGCAAATGGAAAGTTGCCAATGTTCTCCCTTTATTTAAAAAAGATGATCCATCTGTTATGTCTAATTATAGACCTGTGTCATTGTTAAGTTGTATAGGTAAAATAATGGAACGAATCATATTCAAACACTTGTATAATCACTTTCGTGACAACAATCTTTTTTATAAATACCAGGCTGGATTTTTACCAGGTCATTCCACTGTATATCAACTAATAGAAACATATGATACTATTGTTAAATCCATCGATGATGGTGAAAATTGTTGTATGATATTCTGTGATCTGTCTAAAGCATTTGATCGTGTGTGGCACAAGGGTCTCTTGTTCAAACTTAGAACTTATGGTATAGAGGGAAATATGTTTCATTGGTTAAAGAGTTACATAGAGGGTAGATCACAAAGAGTTTTATACAGAAACTTGCTATCTGACGAAAAACCTATACACGCCGGTGTCCCTCAAGGCTCAGTGTTAGGACCTCTATTATTTCTTATATATGTTAATGATGTTGCTGAAGAAATGACAAGTTTTTGTAGATTATTTGCAGACGATAACTCCCTACAACAGTCATCTAAAAATGTTAATACTATTGAAAACAAACTGAATTCTGATCTTAATAAGCTAGAAATCTGGTCGAAAAAATGGCTTCTTAAATTCAATCCTACTAAAACTAAAGCAATGTTTTTTAGCCTGAAAAAAAGTGTTAATTATCCTAAACTTTTCTTCCAGCAAAGTCAGCTAGAATTTGTTTCTTTTCATAAACATTTAGGAATTTTTTTCTCGCAAGATCTTAGTTGGTCTACACATATTGATACTATTCTAGCAAATGCATACAAAAAATTGGGCTTGTTAAAAAAACTTAAATTTTTTGTCAACCGAAAAACTCTTTCACTCATGTACACAACCTTTATCAGACCACAGTTAGAATACGCTTCCTTGGTGTGGGGTGGATGTAATATAGGTGACAGCGAAAAATTAGAAAAATTACAATTATGTGCTGCTAGAATTGTCACAGGATTAACTCTGTTAGCTTCTAAAGATGCACTTTACATTGAAACTGGATGGGAACCATTACATGAAAGAAGGAAAAAGACCAGACTAACTACAATGTATAAAATTGATAAAAACCAAGTTCCTGAATATCTCACTGATATAATCCCTAACTTACGATGTAATTCATCAAGTTACAGTACGAGAAACTCGCAGAACTATAACATACCCAAATGCAGATTGCAAGCTTACAAATCAACTTTCGTTCCCCTTGTTATTGAAGAATGGAACTCATTACCTCTTAACGTAAGAAATTCTCCCTCGTTATCTATTTTTAAAAAGTCTATTTCTTTCAAGAAACAAATGCCACCCTCTTACTTCAGTTATGGAAATCGACGCTTAAATATAATACACACGAGGCTTAGACATAACTGTGTGCTTAATAGCGATCTTTTTCGATGTAATGTAATCTTGAGTCCACTATGTTCTTGTGGAAGAGTGGAGGATTCTCATCATTATTTTTTCTCATGCAAAAAATATACAGAAGCCAGGAAAGAATTTTTTGACAAATTTTTGCGAATGGGTAAATTACATACTGTCGATACTTACACCTTACTCTGGGGAGACAAATCGTTAAATGATTTTGAAAATGAATACCTATTCTCTATTGTACAAACTTTCATAAAAAAGTCAGGACGATTTGGTTGATATAATAATTATTTCTAACTGTAAATCTTATACAGCATGTCTATTACATATGAAATGTATTCTATTGAATGTGTTTTACTCTGATTATTAGACATTATTATTATAATATTATTATTATTGTTATTTGATATTAAGCTGAAACCCATGTATGTAAATATGTTTTGGTATAATTTATATGTAGGGAACGGGCGTAATAAGTTTTTAGAACTTTTGCCCAATCCCATTTGTATAGTATAATCAATAAAATATGTTCAAATTAACTCAAAAAATATGCTCTTTCGTATAAAATCAGATGGGATACAAACACCATCGCCAGGAGATAGTGGAAAATAAATCATAAAGAAGGAAAGCTGAGGATCAAAAAGTTGACATCGTAATTTTAGTTTATATACTAGTAGTTTATTTTGTTTAGTTGTTACTTTGCCAGATCTTAATATCAATTATCCCTTTCAAAAGTTTTGAAAAAAGTATTTGTTGGGGGAGGGTACTTTCATTAGTTTTTTTTCCTTATAGGTGTACATTACTTGTATAAGAGTGGCATACAGAATTCTTTTTTTTATTTCACAGAAAATAACCCTATCCTTGTCACCAATCTTAGAGGATTTTTATTCATCTTTACAACACCATACCATAAATAAACCTGACGAGGGGTTTTTGAAGAAAACCTTCATGTTTCTATTGCCTTCTGTTTTCCCTCGCTTATTGTGCAGTTTGTCATGAAGAATTTAATGCAATGGATTTTCTCCTCTCATAAACCTTTCGCCTTTTTGCATTTTTTTTTAGACTCCTCCAGAAATTGCACTGCCTGCTCAATTAAGAATTTGAACAATACCATCAATATTTAAGAAAATGGCACATAAAGCGGTCTTTGTGCTCTTCCAATCTTTTGTTTCTCTCAGACCTTTGCTGTTTTTGTCAAATGCATCTTAATGTAAATTTGTTTTGAGAGTTTAAAACAATGGATTCAAGTTTCATTATCTGTTTGATTTTCAGACAAACGTGGATAACTACAATTTCTGACTTTTTAAAAAATAATTATTCAGATATTCTTAGATGTTTTCGTTTTCACTCATTTTTCAAAACATAGGGTGACCATAACATGTTTTCAAAACGGGTGAGTACTAAGCTTTTTTTAATGTCAAATGTTTCTTTTAAACAGTATGAACTACCCCCAAATGATGCCTATCAAATTTGCTATGTGTCTTAAAGTCAAACATCATCAGTGATAATTTGTTGAATGTTGGCAAACAGTACATTGGTTGTTGTAAGTCCTTGTCGCCAAGGACGGTACCCATTTTTGATGGGTATTTTTTTTTATATATTTTTGATATTTAGTTAAACAGGTTAAATAAAAGAACTATTAAAACTAAACATTTTAATTAACATAACGATTATAGCCACCACCCCCTTGTAATGGACAACAGACAGCGAATCCCCTTCCCCTTGTGCACGTGAAACTAGCAGGGCATCGTATACTACGCCCTCCACCACAAGTAAGGGCATCCCCATTGGACTGGAATGGACGCCCCACTCGGCATGGATTAGTATCTGTTAAAAAAAATTCAAATACGTCACCATTAACGCGTAAAATTTATTTATTAGGAGTCTAATTGGGATAACGAGACATTTTTAAAAGATATCAAAGATTATAAACATACTTAAACAGCAAAGGCCGCTTCCGTCAGCAGGGGTATTGCAGAAAAATCCTCTGGGACATTGGCTAGGGGTATTGGGAAAGAAGGAGGATTGACACAACTCCTGTTGACCAAGCAGACGTCCAAATTCACAGGTCAAGAGCGAGGGATCTGGTCCAATAGGAAAAGGAGACTGGTCTACTGGTCGCCGACCACCACCTCCTCTGTTTCCTCGTTCTTAAAAAAAGAAGATTTTTAAAAATATTAATTAACCTACAAAAATACACACGTTTTGAACTCGTGCATAATGCTAAAGAATTTTTTCAGGCATAGCTTGATAATGGACAATTAAGGCAAATGTATTTACACATATCCAAGTAACATATACCCATGCAAATATTTGATATATTTTTACTGGGTGAGTAGTAAGAAGGAACTTCAAGCGGAAAAAATTGATTTGACTTTTTTAATGCGGTTGTTTTTACTAGTATGTACTTTTTTGTATTTATAAAACAAAATCTTACGGTATGATCTGGCAGCTAGACAGGAGGAAAGGCAAAGAACAACGCAGACCAATGTTAAGGCGTTCATCTCGAATCTATGTGAAGTCTGTCTGTTTTTAAAAAAAAATAATCCGTCTATTTATACAAAGTGCTGAACAAAGAAAACGTTGCATAAAAGTATTCGTGGTTTTTTATTTTTTGTCAACACAATTCGTAAATTAGGGCGATGCGACACAGAACGTAGAAAAATTAATGAATAATAAATCTCTGACCCTTTGCCTTCACATTATTGTCACTCGATGTTTTACTGGGATTGACGAAATTAATCGTTAAACCAATGACGTCCTTAAATTGACACTAGTTATACGACTGTTAAATTTTAAGGAAACCAAAAGCGAACGATTTGCTATTGAAAGAATTCAAAGACGGAATTGAATATTGACGTACATTATGCATTCTAATTAACATAACAGTCAAGTGATATGAATACTAGTAAGTAAATTTTGATTTTTAATTATTATTTAAACTTTTAACCCCCCAAAAGGATTTTATTTGGGCAAAATGATTTATTACAGAAACGAATTGTGAACAACAGATGATTCAATCTAATTTAAAATTAGATCTTCCATTCGCTCTCCAATTTTTTATATGTCGCGAGGACATATTAAAAAAAAATCGGGGAGCGGATGAAAGATCTACTTCTAATTAGATTGCGGGTGATAAGATGGTGAAATTGGGTAAAAACTTCTTCAAACCCATCGTCGCAAACCACTGCCAAATTCCCTAGGAGAGAGCTATATGCGGACTCCGGACCGTGGCTTGAGACGATGCTTCAAACCCTACTTGTATCATAATTTGATGGCAGATGGAAAACATACTAGTAATTGATCAACTATTGTTGTGTATTTCTCTCATTGTAAAGGTTTATATGAATTATTTGTATTTTGATTTGATTCAAAAAAATATTTTTTAAAAAATTGATTACTTCTTTCCTTTTTTGTTTGAATAAAATAATACTTGCTATTTAATTTAAATCAGAGATCTCTTAAGGGAAAAGGAAAAAAAAATTAAATCGAGAGTACTTTACCAGTGATTGGTCTCTATGTCCACTTTATATACTGTTCGGTTTGGTTACTAGTATTTGACATGATTATTATTTATTAATTTACATACGCTGAACACCTGTTGCAATTTAAAGCAGGCAGGTAAGGAATGCCCTTTCTATGTAACAAATATTCAAACGAAGTTTATTTCTATCTTGATGAAAGCCACCAGTTTTTACAATATCAATCCAATTGTTTTCTTTTTTATAGATATTAAAATGATTTTGACATTTTCAAACAGTTTCTGAATTATTTGAAAATTAGGACACAATTTGTGAAAAAAAAAATTCTATTCAAATTACATGTATCTGTTTTTAAATTCAATACATTTTCAATGCCATTTTCTAAAAATTGTTAAATGCCTGTACCAAAGGACCCTAAACGTCTGTTTACACATAAATTTGCATGAAAAGGCCCTTTATTTCATAAGCAACTAAAATTGTGAGTGTAAGCGTTTGTTATACGAAGTAATTCATTGTGTTGTTGTGAAAGACAAATTCTAAACAATTGTATATTTTCAGAAAAAGAAACAGTTAAGTGATAAATTGCCATAACAATTGGGGTTAACAAAGTGACAATCTAGCTTCTAGACAGCCCTTGTGAAGTGATATAATTGTATGATTGCTGTCTAGAGTCAAATCTTCTCTTCTATGCAATTGTCTTATCTATTTGATAAAATACGTTAAGATAACCATTAGTGATCAATTTATTTAAGAAATAAACAACGTTATTTAGTGAACATGGCGTTATGAATAGCAATTGCTCTGCTGGCATATTCCATGATGCGCGCAAATATAAAAAAAAAACCGAACTAACAGTAACTCTATACAATGTTACAAATAAAGCTTAAAACGCAGATCCCTGGAAATTCCAGAGACTGGATCAGGTGCATAGGAGGAGTAAGCATTCCATGATGGAGGAAAGGTACGTGTGACGTTTTGGAATTAATGCCTTTTTGCAAACAAAAAATGTGATTTTAAAATTTCTGAATTGTTTGGTGTCACGGTTTTAGAGGAAATTTTCATTTTTTAATAAAATTTTCTTATCTTGAGACTCGCTGCGAAGATACGCCAAAAAAGGGTCGAGTGAATCTCAGCATTAGATATGATGTCATCTTATTCCCCTCCCTCGAAAACTACACGGGATTTACATAAATTAAGGATATACTGTACGCTGGATAACCATTTATTGAATTCAAGTTCAAATATAAACAAATACCGGGTATGACTTGTTGTCACACAAATACTCTGAAGTTGACACCCCCAAAATGCTTGAGTTTCTAATTGACAATATCTATGTTTTTATTGGAGACCAGGTCTTCCATCAATCTATTGGAATTCCCATGGGTACCAATTGCGCCCCGTTATTAGCAGACCTTCTTTTGTATTCATATGAAGCAGAATTTGTCCAAAATCTTATGCACGAAAAGAAGAAAGCACTTGTGGCCTTCAACTCGATATTTAGATAAATCGACGACGTATTGTCAATAAACAATGGTAATGGTTCCATTTTTATGTCGATACGATATATACTGTTGAGCTTGAGATGAAAACACAACAGAGTCTGACTCATCTGTTTCATATATGGATATTTTACTTGAAAAAGACGTTAATGTTAATCTAAAAACCAAGCTCTATGATAAACGAATTGACTTGTCAACGTCCCTTACTTATCCAGCAATATACATTTATCACCTGCACACGGAGTTTATATACATGTATCTCAGTTGATTCGATACGCAAGAGCATGCTCTACGTATGAACAATTTCTAAAACGAGGTAAATTATTGACAAACAAGTTGATGAAACAAGAAAATCAATACTCTCCTTTAAAATCATCATTTTGTAAGTTCTATGGTCGAAACAATGACCTTGTCATTAAATACAATTTTATCATTGAGTTAAATGCTGACTGACGTTTTTCATACTTATTGTTAGCCCATTATTTATACACTGAATTGAAGACGGATTTTTCTGTTATTTCCCGATCATGACAAGGAGCACATGGCGTTATCGTTCAGCATGGAATGTTGACACCTCCATGGCACCTAATCCTACCTCTGATGTTCTGGAGGTCTGTGTTTGCTCTGCTCCTATTTGTATTATTTTATGGATTTTTAATCTTAAAAACACTTCGCTCTTTTAGAACAGGTACATGTAAAGGACAATAATGATAAAATATTTTTTTAATAAACAATACAAGATGGTTGATATTTTAATACAATCAGCAGTACCAGGCCTCACAGACATATCCCATGATATTAGTGTCGTGCTGTGTGAGGTAATCCCAGGCTAGGTCCGATCTAAATATGGCAGCATAGTTGAGGACATCCCCAGCTATTCGTTGTCCGGCAAGAGCTGATTTACCACTGAATCTACTTTTAATTCCAAAGGCCGTGTATCTCATGGGGGATCCATCAGGATAAGTCCATTTCCCGTTTCTGCTGATCCCTCCTATGAACCAACCGTCACCTCTTCCTAATTTTTTTGTCAATAAAATATATCAAATAAATAGAGCGCAATTGGAAACAGAATATTTCATTTACAATTTTTTTGTTCAATAAAAATCACATCCGAAACAATGTATCTAAAGTAGACAATGAATCAAGGAGGGTTAATACTTGAAATGAAATTTAAGTATTGAATCCATATTTTGGGATGTCTTCGGTCCCATAACACACCCGGCCGTGCCGACAAATTGAATACTGCGCGTTAGCGTGGTATGATAATTTGTCGGCACGTCCAGGTGTGTCATAGGACCGAAGACATCCCAAAATATGAATTCAATACTTATATTTACATTCTTTAATTTTCCCTCTTCATAATTGTTTATTTCGAAAATCAGCGCCCTTCAAACCTGGTGTGCTTTATAGACGTAAGAGCTGTTTGTGACGTTTGTGACGTCGTAAAGTTAAGTAAAATAACGCAAACGAACATTGCGATGAAAAAAAGTGACAAATTATTTTTTAATGCACATTTGTTATATTTTTACATTAATTCAACAGGGTTATTTTTTTTTTATTAAATTGTGTCAAACAATATACATACTGGTGTTCATTTTTACAATAAATCGCTTATTTTCAAATGGCTTATGGGCTTTCAAATAGAATGTACAAAATTTCGTTTCGGGTTTTAATATCTCACTCTCAAATTTGCTTATAGTTTTAACAAATGTCGGAAAATATAGAGTCCCATTTTGATACAGACCTCTTTCGCACCTTAGCATGTCTTTAATCATCCTGTCCTCTGCCCTGGATTCAATATTCCCCAGGTCCCAGCCAGTACCAATGTTTTGACAATTTCTTCTAGCTTGCTCCCACGAAATTTTGTAAAAACCTGGACTGAAGATCCTGTATTTTTCTCCAAGTGCATAATCTTTGAAGATATATAAAAGTATAAAGGTAGATTTTTGTGATAGATATAAAGAATAGTCATTTAGTATACTCATTTTTAGCAAAGGCTCTTTTTAATATTTGTTGCAATTTGATATTTGACCATTAATTTATTGCCATTGAAAGTGTGAGAGAAAAATATGTAAATCTATTTTTAAGAAATAGAGAATATAAATTGCTATTTCATAATTATACGTTGTAATTTTATTTACACATTTACTTTATTTTCTAAATAATATTTTCTCTAAAGATATTTTAATAAGCAAGCAAATATTTAAAAACTTACCAAATGTAAACAATAAGGCAAGAAGGATTACACGAATTGCCTGAAAAACAGATATTACATGCACAATGTAATGAAGTCTTGTAAATCTAAGCTCAAATCTACCCAATTTCATGTCTTCATCTGTAGATATTTTTAACATGTATATTTTGTTTCAGCAATATAAATGTATTCTTTATTTTGATACTTCATTTACAAAACTGTGCGATATAAGAAAATTACACTATACTGGTAAATTGTGATCAGAAGACTATGGAATTTCTTTACATTCAATTATTTCTTTCAATCATAGTATGTGTCGAGATAAAAAAAATGTAGCATGTTTAAAATTAAGTTATATTAGTTAAATCTACAAGCACATAGTAATTTTGAGTAAATTATATTAAATACTCGTATGTTTATGCATCGGATATTTAAGCAATGATAAAGAAAAAATCAAAAAGTACCCATCTAACCTTAAGAAAAAAAAAAGTTTTTGATTTGAGCATTTTTGCAAATGAATCGGTATACAAACGTAAAAGTTGTGTAACAAAATATTTTAAATTAACAGAAAAAGAGTAATAGTTAGCTCGCGAAACGTAAAAGTCTCTGGTTTAACTAGCTTTTAAAGAGATCCTAGGAGTGGTTCATTTTATCCTGGAGGGCCAAAGAGCATTTTCAGCCTGCTTTAACTTGTACTTTAGAGAAGAACGAAAAAAGTCAGAAAGTGGAAGGGATTACCATTTTTATATACAGCTGGAAACATGTATGAAAAAAATACCAAAACAAATTTCAATTGGTAAATTATCGTAAAATTTGACATTAAATGTTCAATTTTTATTGCACCGAAATGTGTATTATATCTAGTAGAAAATGGTTCAAACTTACCATTCTTATGCAGCTGAAATAGTATGTTCAACAACCTAATCTTCTTTCTGTGTAGATACATTATATAGCATATCTTCACAGATGTTCAGATGATTAAAAAGCGGTTTGAGGCAAAGTCTACAGCATAATAAATAATAATGGGAATCCTGATGTGTTTTTTATAATTAAAACTTTGAAATGATCGATTTTAGTTTAAAACTAAAATTGTAGAAAAACATAATGCAATACCTGTTACAGTGCATATAGAAATATGATACAGATTTGACATCAATTCAGTGAACAGTTATCCAAAATCGACTCCATGAGAAAGGGCCAAAAATTCAAATTTTCATTTTGGCGCCAGTTAAGACATTTTACTGACACGTCAAATTTCATTTCCCAGGAAAAAATCCGGAAAACATAAGCTTATTCGAATAAAGATAATGTTTACTTCATAAATTATCTAGAGGAAAAGGTAACTATTTTCTCCTCTTATTATGGATTCACATACACATTCAAAAATCGACACCCTGGACAATCTAATGGTCGATACTGATATTGCTATCCAAAAAGGAGAGTATTTATAGATGAGCTGATATGATGCCGTTTCCTGCAAATGTGTACATGCTTATTGAAATTAAATCAGAGATAAACCAACAAAGTTACGTCTAAGAGCAAAATTATCTCGTTCTAAACAAATCTTATTTAGCAATCCATTGAATGAAAAATAAGCCTAAAATTATGTCTTTGTATAACTCTATAATGATTAAATTCTTTATGATTTCACTATTTTTTTAATGTCAAGTATTAGATGTAAAGGAAATAATCTTTATTTTTGATGTGACAAAGATTTGGGAGCAATAGGGATGTATACGCATTATCAACAAAATTAGGGTTACAGTAATGTAATGTCATTGAAAATGCAAAACGTGCAAAATTGAATGAACAATTTGTTTTGTTATCTATTCTATGTTAAATCAGTTTATCAAACAGCAAAACAAATTAACCTTCATGCATCCTAAATATTATTAATCATGTCTTGATTAAGTTGGAAAAATATCACCATTGGTTATAAATATTTTTTTTTTGGATCTGAGCAACACAGCGTGTTGCCGATTTAAGGCTATTTATATGTTTGAGAAAGTCGAACAGCGGAGACAGATCTGGCAATATGGTAAGAGAACTTCATACATTTATCATGTTACTGTGATGTTTTCTTTCTATTTTCTCCTTTTTCATGGTATTATATAAGTATCCTTACTTTATAGAACAGAATCGCTATATTGGCTGCTGTTGCAGTTCTGAGTATTGCAGGTAAGTTAAGGAAATCTTTCTTGCAGCCTTCTCCAAAAGAAGGTTGGTTTCCAGTTTCATGGGGGAAAACAGTGACTTTAAATATTTTTTGATGCTCTGAATACGATCAATTTTGAAACTAGCTACTGACAAACAAGCTAACCTGACAATGATTTCAACAGCCTCCTTTAAAGTCAGCATCTCGAAAATTTTATGTTCATATTCATAACCTATTTGCAATACAACCTATCAATTGTCGGTTTTTCGATGCCAATTGACGTCACAATTCTCTCTAAACACAGTGAACTTTGCTTAAAATTTTGCATTAATTTTTCTTTCTCTTTAGGAATTACAGAGGCAATGTATCTAATAATGCCACCAAACCGTGGTATAAGAAACTGGGACGATGCGGTTGCCTTTTGTCGGAGACGGTCAGCAAGAATTGCAAAGATTGATAGTGCTGACGAATGGAACACTTTGTATGATATCCTTAAATGTGAAAACGGTAAGTCAACACCTAGCAGCGGCCACGCTTGGACAGAATAATGTTGGAGCAATCCATAACAGCAAGACGATTTGGTCAGTAAAATGGCCAATCAATCTATAAGAGCCAGAAAACTTGGAAAGTATGCCCATAAGTCCACCTCTAACCAGGGAAACACTTCGTCAGTAATATATAAAGCCCTCCCCTAACAGTGGGAAGTTTTGCGGGTCAGTAATGCTTAAAACTCGATTCTCCCTTATATCCACTGCAAAATGAATTTTTACGCATTTTGGGGTTTTGATTTTCTGAAATATATGATTATATTCCAATTATAACAAGAACCTTTTCTCAATGCATATACATTTACATTGCTTAAAATGCAGTATTAAACTGAAGGCTTAATGAATTACAATTGTCTTTTTAAATAAGTCAGGTGTACATGTAATCAGGAAACATCCTTATTTTCTGTAATTTATGTGTATAAATGTGAGTACCACTCACTTTAACAATTCATATGATTCTAGACAAAGGAGATGGCTGGTATATCGGAGGTAAGGCGACAAATGGAAACTGGTACTGGGAGGACGGATCATACATGTCATACAAAAACTTTTCACCAAACTTTAAATTATTCCCACAGCAGGGCACTACCAGAACTGTCTACAATTACGCCTTTGTGCCTTCTCGTGGCCGCTACTGGAAATATGTGTCCCCTCGATCATCTAACGTTCTCGGAGTCATTTGTGAAAAGTCGTGTTGATTTTGAAAATAAAAGATTTTCTTCTGGTGCTTATCATTTTTTATTTCTTTAATTTTCATTAAAGAGTATGTCCAGGATTATACACTGCAGTTTATTGTCATAACACAAACACTTTTTAAAATAACCAATCTGAAAACAGTTTGTCCTTCATGAGTAGAGCATTTACAGTTAATCCTGATGGTTGAAGAAACAGAATTGAGAACAACTTGAAACAGAAACATGTATGTGTTTCCTCTTGGGATTGGACCCTGAGGCTCTGATATGCCAGTCAAGTGCTCTTCCAATTGAGCTAAAGGGTTAAATCAGTAGCCCTACTAGCTAGCTAGCAGAAATCATATATCTTACACAACACAATACAATTGTGACATTGGTTTTCTCCAAAGAGACATTTCTCATTATTGAGTGTGTTTCCCGTGCACGGCAACTTGTTTCAAAGAATAATAGTACTAATATATAACTGGAGCACTGTAAAGCAGAGTATCTCCTCGCAAAAAGCATATCTATAAAGTTAGGTAGTACTGGACATCATTACATCAATTCTGTTGGACATAAAATGAACAAACACGCACACACACACAAAGCTCGTCAAAATACCTCCTCTGTTGCGAATGGATTACACAATAAAAGTATAAGGGAGAAAGCACAAATACCCCATCCCCCCGGTCTTTGCTGTTTAAATCTTATAATTTTAGAACAAAATATATCAAAACAACACATATACCTTTTTATTCAAAACATACTCATATATGTTTTATATTTTATATAATTCTTTCTTAGGTATGATAGATAAGAATTTGCTAAAAATAAAATTACCAAAATGAGAGGAAATTAAACAAGGTGTATTTGTGAAACACTGATGTCCCATTATTGCAACTAATGGCGAAAATTTAAATTTTCAAAATGCAAGTCAAAATCCAAGGTCAAGGTCAAAAAATTAAAATTGTTGGTATCCAGAGAAAGGTCTTATCACAAGAAATGCACATAAAGTCCTAGTATAAATGTTCAATGGTAAGACCAAAGTCTAAGATTTAAAAGTGGGTCTAACTCTAGGGTCAAGGTCAAAAGGTCAAAATATTGAAAGGTCTTGTCACAATGAATACCATATGGCGTATGAAAGGCTTATGACCAATTGTTCTAAAGTTATGACCAAGGTTAATGTTAAAGTGGGTCAAACTCCAAGGTCAAGAGGTCAAATTTGGTGGTACCCGAAGAAAGCTCTTATCACAAGAAATACACGATTTACGACGTGCTTTGACAAAAACTTACGATCATTCTCTAACACATTAGGTTTGTATCCTTTATGAGTAAAGAAGAACAAAACCTAGAATTATAACAAAAGAGGAGAAAAAGAAAGAATGGATTCATTTATAGTACTCTTAGGGTAAAGAACACAAAACAAGTATGTTGATATTGTATTGTAATTAATGTTTTCTATACATGTTATGTAGTTTCCTTGTATCATAGCAGTATCTACATTCTCAAACCCTTCTTTCTCAGTGCGACTTATCTTACATAGACAAGATCGAGAGTACTCTACACTTACTGAGAATCTGATTCATGCAGGGACCACTCAAAGTGATTTCCGTACCTTCTCTATTTAGAATAAACTTTCTTGCTTATTCGAAATATACAACACATTACAAAATGATACTCAAGCTGCTCTGTTATTTCTATTTGGGTAAGTGTATTGTATGTTTCTTCTATCATCACCTGCCACTTTACGCTCCTTTTCGTTAATAAGTAAATTCTCAGTTTATTATTTTGGCTAGCATATGCATGATTGGAAATGTTTGAACGTTAAGTGTGTGGCCGCATAGCCTAGCTGTACGATTTGCCCAAATGACAGAAATGGACATGCACGAAGCAGAAAATATATGTTGTCATCTGAGACAAAATGTCAAAAATCTGTCTTCAATCAATAGATCAAAATTGTAAACCTTTTTTGCAAAATAAATAAAGGGTCAAGAAAAGTTTTATTTGAAATACAGAAATGTGATTAACATGGATTTCTTTGAAGTTATTTGTTTGGGAAGTAATGACAGAAGCATGGCTCTTCAGATAACCAAACCAATAATTACAAGAGGTGTGTATTTTAACAGTTAATTAAATGAAAATTTATTGATCTAAATGGATAAAAAAGATAAATAGATATTCTTATCTCAGGACTCTTCACATCATATACTGTAAAAGGTAATTTATAAAGTACGTTTTGAAACAGGTTGTCACAATGTTTCATCGCAGAGCTACTCTATTTTGAGAAAGGACTCTTTAGAGGAGAACAATGTCACCAATTGTTATCAATTCTGTTTCCTCAACCAATCAGGATCAACTGTAAAGGCTCTACTCATGAGGGTAACTCTTTTGTTCTGAGACTACATATTGTTCTTGCAATTTTAATGTACATGTATATCTTCAAAAATTCTATACAATGAGAGCAGTGATATATAATTTCTACTCGTATTTACCAATAGGGGGGAGAGTGTATTTGTTCTGTCGAGAATCTGTGTACGTCATTTAATACTGCAAAACGCTGTACTGAGAGTTGTCCTGGAAACTCAAACCAAAACTGCGGTGGTTATGGAAGTCACACTTTTGCAGTGTATGAAATAGGTAAAAAGAAGCTTCTTAATATAAAGAAATTCATTTTTTAAAAATAATACATGTTTATGAAATGAATCCTACGTTTTTTTCATCATTATTTTATTAGGTTTTAGAACTTTTTTGACAACAGCCATAGTTCCAAAGGTCTGATGAAATAACTCTGAATTCATCGGTCCACTTGTCCGTAAATTACCACTTACATAACATATTGAGCCTGCATAAATCATATAAATTAAAGGTTACATTAGATCACATTTTACTTGTGTAGTTTGTGAATTCGAAGATGGGATAAATACCTATTACATTCAGTCTCCGAAACATGCCTGGTATTGTGCAACTCCGTTTTCAATAGCTGTGCTATGTCAAGTGGTGCTAAGAAGAAAAGAGTCATTTGCAGTTACCCAAACTATCCCTGTCAATCCGAACAGTTACAGTATCTCTGTAATCTGAGCACCTTAGAGGAAAGTACGATGAGCAAAAATGTATTACGATGTAATGTGTTTTATGTATGAAAATACTTTAGATGAAATAATCAGCCTGGTTGCGTAATTTGAACAAACATAATTTTGTGAGGCATTGGGTAACTACTAACTTGTACAGTTCTCTAATTTTTACCATGATAAAAGATCATCTATCATCTTACAGATTTTTTTCAATATACTTAGCAAGATGCTTACATTTAAACCTTGAATGCTCCGAGGAAAAAGAATCTTGAAAGATTTTTTTTTTCCATATTCCTCTGAGCATTTACATTGTGAAGCTATCAATCCTTACCCCTCCCTACTCCACTGAATAATGTTATGTATGATTTTTTCCCCATTTACTCTCCTTAATTTTAAATTCAGATGGAATTGGATCTTGAATTTCAATCTGAAATAGTTAGTGCCATTAATTTTCAAAATATTACCTTTAAGCTTAAGACATATATCTTAATTTTTAACTTTATAAGTAAAATGCACCTGTACAAAAAATGGTGTATGAAATAATTCTCGTATACTTGAATGTTCCATACATTCAAAAATAATGTCGTCCATTGTTAATATCCAGCATCTTTTTTACCAGAGAATATCAACAGCAATGACCAAAATGAAGGTTGTGGGTTTGTCAATTTTCAGCTACATGAAACAGAACAGAGGTTGAGCTATGGAGATTGCAACAAGAATAAAATGGCATACTGCACAATGCTGTTTAACGGTAAAACGTTTTTAAATGTTAAATAATACACAGACAAATATATTGAATAACAGGTGTGGGTAACATACTATATTTGATTTTAAGTAATTACTTTCTTGTACAACTACATTTGTATATTTAAACTTTTAAAGCAATCATTCCAGTTTGCAATCCTAGAAGATAATGAATAATCAAAATAGATTCGATATACAACAGGTGTGAAGCAAGGCTGCACAATGTCTATTATAGTTGTTGCTGGTCATACATTTTATAATAATAAATTACAGAAAGAAAACCAAAAGATATGAGTGGAACTTCATCATAAAACTAGAAGACCTACAAGATGCATATTTTGCAGACGACCTTGACATTTATTAAAATTTCAAGACACGAAATAAAAGACAAAAATAGTCCCCCTAATTCCCATCACTCAAAAATTTGCCAAAAGTTCAAGTTTTAGAAAGAGTAGGCTTTTATTATCAAGTTAATGAGATAAAAAATAAATGGTACCAAAGGAATGCATCAGTGAAATTTAAAAGCCCTAACAGCAACCTTTAAAAATTCATAGTGATGGTTAACTAAGCATTTTTTTTTCAAATAAAGGTCAAACCAAGAGGTCAAGGACATGAGGTTTTATATGTTGAAGTCTTGTCACAAGTGGTACACATGAGAAATTTGGAAGTCTTAGCTCCAATCTTTACAATTATGGCCACGATGAAAGTTTCTCCACAGAAGGTCAAACTCCAAGGTCTTGGCCAAAAGATCAAAATTGCAAAAGCCCTGTGCCATTTGTTCAAAAGTTTCATCAAAGTTTCATAAAAGTTCCAAATGAGATAAAATCTCCAAGGTTACGGTATAAGAAAGATATCTAAAGACAAACAGACAGACAGATTGACAGGCAAAATTCTGGATTCAACATATCGGAGCAAAAATGACTGGAATGGCTTATTAACTTGCTAATTTTGTAGCGGAATCTATGAAAATCATCTCTCTTAGACTTTTAACGATCCTTAAACCTGTTACAGTGGATGGAACAGTGATTAAGACAAAACACTTGACGTGGGATGAACATAACAACAACTGCTCAGGACATTTGGCTTTTATTGGGGACACCAAAACTGTAAAATGGAAGTTAGACAATGCAATACAGTCAGGTTTTACATTTTGGGTGGGACATCGTATTTGGAATTATGTCCCTATTGAATTCGGTAAGAATGACTTTAATTTTACACTCATATTATACTTTCAAAACGGCATCGTGATGTTTTGCAAAAAGTAATTTGAGAATGCACAAAATTTCAGCACACCTTAACAAAGAGTTCGAATTTTATACTTGCGGTACTATGAGCAGCTTTATAAATGGTACCCACGCCTCCTCTTATGATGTTAATGGCGACGTCAATGTTTTGCTCTGGGGGACCTGAAACAATTGTCAGGTCAAAAATTAAAACAAAGAGGTGCACAATGGTATTATATAATATAGAATCTGTGAAAGCATCAATATTTACATTTGCAGTGTCCTTATATAACACCATTTGAACAAGGTGTTTTTACATCTCGGTAAAACATGTTCGCCATGTGATCATAAATTGATTGTTTAGTCACAAGCGATCTACGTAATTTCATAGTGACGTCATAAGTGAACGACGTGTTCATCGTATTCAAATTAAACTGTTGGGTTTTGAAAAAAATGTAAATTTCTTATGGATTTAAAACTTCAGTGCCTTACTATTTTTAATAAATCAGTCACAAATGTAAATATAAGTAATAAGGTATCATTTTTTGAGTTTTATTGGGATGTAACACGGGTTGGCACATGATCAAATCCCATAAACCCCTTCGGGCTTCATGGGATTTGATCACGTGACCAACCCGTTTTACATCCCAATAAAACTCAAAAAAGATACATCAATTCTTACTTAAATTTTATTCAGTGGAATAGGAGGAGTTGCGGATAAGAGATGGACACCCTTTTATATTATAGAAAGAATCGCAGTATCAATGTTTTGCTATGGGAAACCCAAAATATGTGTCGGATCAAAAAGTAAAATAGGAGGTCACAGTGGTACTACACACCGTATGTAACAAAGAATATGTGAAAGGCTCACCAAATTTCATTCAGTGGTAAAAGAGGAGGTGGGTACCCCAAATCGTAACAGACTGACATACAGACATCCCGTTCACTTTTCAAGGGGGGAGTATGAAAAGGTTATATCTACTGTTTTGTTGTTATCGTGCATACAGTGTATTAAGATCACGCCACTTTTATTGTTAGTGTACTTTTAAACTTGTAAACAACATTTAGTTGGGGCGTGCAAAGTTGAAAAAAAATGTTTTGATAATCTTTTTGAATCTTGGTCTTCCTCTATGCCATTTTTGGTTCTTGAGACTATGGTAACTTCTTCAACTTTTCTATGCTCGCGTACAATACGGAGGACGTAAAAGCAATATTCTCGTCTTGGGTTATTCAAAAAAATAAGTTGATTAAAAAAATAAAATAAAAAAAAAATAAATAAAAAAAACCCCCTATAAAGTAGATTTTTAAGGTTCCGAAATATTTTCAGGTATTGAATAAAAATTGCTTAGGTTATGCAAAATGCTATTTTGTCAATTTTCTGTTTGTTGGAACTGTTGGCCAGTTAAAATAAGGAAGGAACAATTGTAACAAGGTGTCGCCCCTCTCATCTACAACCTTTTTGATTTAGAGAGGGTTGTTTGTTTGTTATACCCCGGTATTTATATGGTTTCTCGAGAATTTGCAGTGATGATGACGAAGAGTGATTGCTCTCCTAAGACCTTTAATCAATAGAAATCTTTGAACATGATGTAAAAAAAAACATGGAAATTCAATCAGGATTCAGGTGCCTACGAGGAGTAAGCATCCCTTGTCTCACCTGCCGAGTGCCCTGTGTATTAAATGGGTGTAGATGGGATTATCTGAAGTCAAATTTAGACTAATGCCCTGTTCACACGGAGAATTTAATTCGAATTAAACGTAAAGTTACTGCGAATAAGCTTCGCTTAGCGTTCACACGGAGAATTTAATGCGAATTAGTTTAATTCGAATTAGTTTACTGCGCATTAAATTACTTCGCATTAGCTCCGTGTGAACGCTAAGCGAAGCTAATTCGAATTATGTCGACAAAATAGATCAAGAATGATTGGCAGTTTTTGTCATGGCTTTATTGATTAATATTCAACGTTGAATAAATAGCATATATTAAATAAATAAACGTTGAATAAATAGCATATATCAAGACAAGCACAAGTATAAAAATTTACAAAACTGTCAAGAGATCAGCTGATTGATGCACAGAATAATTAAATTAAATGGCAAGTAAATATTAGGTGATGTCAATGCAAAATTAAATAAATAAACATGGAATAAATAGCATATATCAAGACAAGCACAAGTGTAAAAATTTACAAGACTGTCAAGAGATCATCTGATTGATGCACAAACTAATTCAATTAAATGATAAGTAAATATTAACAGTTAAATTAACAAAGTGATACATGCCACTATGGTTGAATGTGCAGAAAATGTCATTCTTAAGGTTCATTCACAGTCATTCTGTGATTTGACCTCTTACTTATCATTCTGTGATTTGACCTCTTACTTATCATTCTGTGATTTGACCCCCTCTTACTTATCGTTCTGTGATTTGACTGCACTTAATAGCAATTCCACCTAAAAATTAAAAGATAGAATTCGACATTCAATTCTTGATTTCTGAGCAGTTAAGTGCAGAAGATTAAAGGAATAAACATTCATTGTTATGAAATTATACAGAATAAAGTAAATATTGATGCCCAAAAATACCCAAACACTAACAACGTCTGTGACCTATAAGGGAAGATAACTACGAAAAGTATTTCGAGCGCGATTGAAATTAAGCAAAATAATATATAACTGGATATACAGTTTGAATGATTTTAAAATAAAAATAATTAAGGAATGTATTTCAAATTGCAAAAATTTCATTATATTTATAGGAATTCTGAACTGTCAGCACTTTATTCTATATCATACAAATCATGAAAATACCAACGATGCCTCCGATCCCGATCCCGATGAAGAAAAAAAATTAACAACAGAATACCACGTCAATTGGTTAAAAAAAGATTTACAAAAATTTACAAATTTATAGAACGTGTAATTTTCACATGACCTTTGTAAGCATTTTCCCCAATTTTTAGCTGGCGAGCAACTTCGAGCAAGCAGAAGAACATGTGAAAAAAATTATTTTCTTGTATCGTACATGTTAGACATGTATTTTAAAAATTTATTTACATTTAATCTAATAACATATACAGTAAAACTATTATAGAATAATTTCACCAAATACCTATAGAAAATTATTTTTACTGATAAAGGCAATGTCACATACCAGATAAAGGTCTGTCATGCGAAACACGAAGAGTGCGTATCTGCAAATGCACGGACACACTCAACACAGTAAAAGACCACTACCGCTGATGATTGAGTTGTCGTTCGTTTCCTCCCCCTAGCGGTCAGTCGAAATGCTACACTTAAAAATTAAAACAATTTTACCGACAAATGTTTACACGGAAGCCATGATGGATGGAATATTTTGCAGTCCGAACCCGATGATATGTGACACCGATCTATGTCGTGGCGGATCCAACAGGCACGTGATCACTGCATGGCGGCTATTGGTAAAGTCCAATGTATGTGGGCACCATTTGTAAACGTTGGTTTTAATAACAACGAAAAGTTGGTTTGATTTCACCAAGGTATTGATACACTGAGGTCATGTTCACAAACAAGAGTTCATCTACTGCGATGGTTGCTGCACACATGGTTAATATCGTTGGGGATGTTGATACTTTAGATATGCCATGATATTATTCACACATCGGGTAATATGGATGGGCGTTTAGTCCAGGATTTATTTGCCCTGATTATGTTCATATTTCCGACGTTGGAGCAAAGGAACACAAGATGAAGATGAATATTGTTGAGACTAAACTCGATGCTGAGCTTCAATGGATGACGGAAGATGGAAAGGAAGAGCAAGTGCACATGCGCAATGGATGTGGCTAAATGAAGTCAGTGCATTTGAGTGAGAGTTATCTTCCCTGAACTTTTTATCTCTATTTGTCTCCATAACGGGACTTAACTCATATTGAGTTAAGTCGGATTAAATTCTGACGCATGCGTAATGGCAAAATTTAGTCAAATGCCACTTGTCAGTGGTCAGCTATAGGTACTTGTGCTATTTTTGAGTGAAAAACTAAGGAAAATATTGTTAATCATTAAAATGTGTATACAGAGACTTTGCCTTTATGCCAATGGATCTGCTTCTGCATAAGGTGACGTGATTTGCAAATGACGTCATAATAGCCGTGCTGACGTCGGACTGCAGAAGTAAAATTTTAATTCGCATTAGTTTACTTCGCATTAGCTGTCGTGTGAACGCAATTAATTCGCATTATTTTAATTCGCATTAGTTTACTTCGCATTAATTTACTGCGAATTAAACTCTCCGTGTGAACAGGGCATAAAATACCTAACAATTTATATCTAATATATGAGAGAAAATACGACCAAGTGATAGGATGTACTTGTGGTAGACTCTGCTTTGTCTTTAATTTCGAGTTCACTGGAATATACATCGAGTAGACTGTTGAATGAAATAGGAAGAAAGAAGTATTTATTTATATTTGAATTCGAGTTGAAGGCCACAGCAAGTGTTTTTCTGCTTCAAATGAATAGAAAAACAGGTCGGCAGATAAAGGAACACAATTATTCACCATCGTAATTCCCACAATTTTTAGTCTCCAAACACTTCACATGAATAGAAGAAAACTTGCATCTGTTTAATATCAAATTCAGATAATTGTGTGTAGAATCAAATTGATTTTTACAAAGTAATTTGGGGATGATAAGTTCCCGAGGTACAACATATTTTAAGTCCCAATTTCAGAGGCATCGGAACCGGGGGCTGGGGGGGGGCTTTAGCCCCTCCCCCCCCCCTTTTGCAAACACAGATATAAAATACATGTAATCATTGAACATCGGGGCCTAGGTTTAGCCCCTCCCCTCCCACCTTTCAAAAGGCACGTTGAATTTTTAAGTTTAGGTCAAAGAAGGTAGTGTTTTGAAAATCTTTCGGTACTGAAAAATGGTCGATCCTAAACCCCACCCCCACTCTCCACGAAATAGGATTTTCGTGTGTTTGAACAATTTTTTTTTTTTGCGAGTCGAGTTTTTTTTAGGTTTGAATTTTTTCTCTCTCTTTCAGCCCCCCCCCCCCCCCACCCATTTCAATTTGCTTCCGACGCCAACGCAAGTGCAATTTTATTGAAAAAGTAGTTGTACATGATATGAAAAAGCCCAGTTTCCTATGAGCTCTGAGTAAAGATTTTTATCTCTCTTCTTTATAATTGCAGAGATCTCTACTTATTTCACATTTTTGTTAGAAAAAATTAAATTAAAAGGAAATTAAATTGAATAACATTTTCTTAAAGACATCCCTAGTTGAATAATTGATTCTTTGATGTTAATCCCAAATACCGCTACATATGTTATTATGAACATCAACTATTTTGTTGTACATTAATTTAGCACTTTAAAGGATTTTTAATTTAATTTCAAAACTGATTTAAGGTTCATAAACCCTCTGCTCACTCATATGAAATTTTTCTTTATCTTTTATGATTTTCCAAAGGAAATGTATCTGCTGAATAAAATACAAACAAATAAAGCATGGCTTGCGGGGCAAAATTCGACAAAAAAGGCACTTAAACTTGACAAATTTATAAAGGAATTATAGACATTTGTGTTATCAAGAGTTATCTCTCTTATCAGAGTATCAATGTACCTCAAATATGGTATTTTCTTTTAATTCACAAGATGAAGCAGATTCTTCTAATAACCATGATGACACAGAAAGTGAAATTTTCATAAATGAGATAAACGAATCTTCTGGTGGTGAGTTACGATGTTAATACAAGCATACATTTAAATATTTCATTGTACATTATTTAGCTTTAAAGCAGTTACATGTATTTCAAAGCTAATCTAAATTTTCTTTTAATAAACAAGATACTGCAGATTCTTCTAATGACCATGATGGCACAAAGAGAGTAGTTCTCAGAGATGAGATAAACAAATCTGATGATGGTGAGTTACGAACTATTGTTTTACAATAGAATTCTGCATACTTTCGATATTTCATTTGCACATATTACAATTTAGAGTTTTCCAAATATCTGTAGAAAAACATTAAAAGACAGACAGACTGGCAGGCAAATTATTAAGTTGCTAATTTTGTAGCGGAATCTATGAAAATCTCTCTTAGACTTTTATCGATCCTTAAACCTGTTACAGTGGATGGAACAGTGATTAAGACAAAACACTTGACGTGGGATGAACATAACAACAACTGCTCAGGACATTTGGCTTTTATTGGGGACACCAAAACTGTAAAATGGAAGTTAGACAATGCAATACAGTCAGGTTTTACATTTTGGGTGGGACATCGTATTTGGAATTATGTCCCTTTTGAATTCGGTAAGAATGACGTTTATCTGACACTCATATGAAATTTTCAAACTTGTATTATGATGTTTTGCATTAAACAATTTAAAAATGCACAAAATTTCAGAATGTTACACTCGAGCACTGAGCTCATTAAATGATACCTCCGCCTCCGATATGATGTTAGTAGCAAAGTCCATGTTTTGCTCTGGGGGAACCGAAATAAATGTAACGTCAAAAAGTAAAATAGGAGGTGCAAAATGACATTATGTTATAAAGAATCTTTGAAAGTATCATTTAATTTTATTTTCAGTAGTATAGGGGTTGCAGATAAGAGATGGGTACCCTTGAATATAATAGAAAGAATGACAGTGTCCATTTTTGCTATGGGAAACCCAAAATAAGTGTCGGATCACAAAAAGTAAAATAGGAGGACAAATTCACAATGTATTCTGTGAAAGTCTCATCGAATTTCCTTCAAAGGAATAATGGAATAAGAGGAGCCGCGGATAAGAGATGGGTCCCCCAAAGCGTAATGAACGGACGTACAGACGATCTACCCACTGAGCGTCTGCTGTTCTAGTATTATTTGTATATACACAATAATATTTATTGGTTAAGGTAGTTCCCCCTTACTAAGTAATTCTCTTGGCTTAATTACAAAAGTGAGGATAACCAAGTGATCGATGATACGAGGAGTAAGCATCCCTTGTCACATCTGCCGAGGGCCCTGTGTATTAAGCGGGTGTAGATGGGATTATCCATAGTCAAATTTAGACTAAAATACCTAATATTTTTTATCTAATATGTGAGTCAAAATACGACCAAATGATAGGATGTACTTGTTGGTAGACTCTGCGTTGTCTTTAACTTCGAATTCACTGGAATGCATCGAGTTGACTGTAGAATGAAATTGGAGGAAAAAAGTTGATATATTTGAATTCGAGTTGAAGACCCCAACAAGTGATTCCTTCTCCTGTAAAGATCTGCTTCAATTAAGCAATGAATCAATTTTTTTTAAAATATATACAAATTGAGTATTTGTTTCCATGCATCGTTTCAGATATGAAACTAACAGATATCTTTAAAGAAAATGAATAATGATTCATTGCTTAATATATTTACGTTTTTTTAAAATCTCTGCCTTTACTGCCAATGTGATTTATATTTCAAAATCTATGTATTATCCTCCTGTAAGGATACTTCCATTCTGTTAATATTGATTTGAGAGAATTGTGTGCAGAGTCAAATTGATCTTTTACAAAGTTATTTTTAGGATGATCAGTTCTCAATGCAAGGTACAAAGTATTCTGGGCTGGGTTTCACAAAAGTATCGTAAGATTTGTCGTAAGATAGATCTTACGATCATCTTAAGAACTGACTTATGACAATCATAAGATTTGTCACTGCTGTTTCACAAAACTATCTTAAGTATAAAAAATCTTAAGACAAATCTTAAGACGAATTCCATTCTTCAATTTCACAAGTATTTTTTGTTCAAGAAGTTTAATTGTCTTCCTTAATTTTTCAGATATTTTTTTTATTAACGTCTGAACTATTAGAAATCAAATTGATGATAATTGATGATTAAATGATTATTAAATACAAAGTGCATGAAAATTCGATATTGTTTCGAGTAAAAACCATTTACTTGCAGAACTATAATGCTAATAGGAAAAAAAAATCCAGTTTAGGAAATCCTGAAACTTCCTTATCTCACATACCTATATAACTGAAGTGCAGAAGAAAAGTTCTCTAATTTATTAAAGTTTTATGAAAACTATTTAGAATGTACGTACACTGATCAACGAAGTCAATTAACCAAATTTAAGGGTTACGGACACTACACAATACTTTAATTTTTCACAGGCTTGAGGATGAAGTTTTTGTTTTTCAGCCCTTTTCCTAACCTTTTTTCACTATTTTATTTCTGGTTCAGCTTCTCCCGATTTTTTTATTCTTCATTTCTCAACTTCATCTGATGAAAGCATACCATAACCAATATACTTTGAATAAATATATATACAAGTGTAACTTTATACAGGTGTTATGTGCAAGTAGAAAAGTCAAGTCTTGAAGATTAAAGCTCACTAATATTTCTTTATAATTTATTTATTTTTTTATTCTGCGAAGCATTCTATTTTTCTTCAAAGAGTTAAATATACAATACTTTATCTGAAATTGGTGTAATTTTAGTTGTTTTCTTTTTTGAAATGTTTTTGTAGTGTCTGTAACCAAATTACTTCCCCACCGTTTAACAATTTACTTGCATTTAACACATTTTAAGATATTACCTTATAAGCAACTAGACAATTGAAGCAATATATCACAAGAAATATGTGATATGTAACTCATGATAATAATTTTTAACTATTTTTATGTCATTGTGGGTGTCCAGTCATTATTTTAGTACTTGCAGTAAAGAAAAAAAAAACACCTGATCTAAAAGAATTCCAGCTAATAAACACCTTTTTATCTCTAAATTTAATAATACACTGCTTCAATAAGAACTTTATTCGGTAATAACCAATATTTGCCCCCCAAATCAAACTTTGATGGAGATATATTTAATTAAGTTCTTAAACAGGGGAGTATATGCTGACTTCAAAGCACTAAATATTTTCATAAGTAATGACGCCATATGTACGTAATGACGTCACAAACATGACGTAAATTTCAGTTTTTTTTATGAATTTTACAGAAAAATGTACATATTTCGTCGATATTTTGAGTAAAAGTCACCGAGCGCATGTGTGTTCAGGATCAATATTTTGATATAATGTGTAGAATGATAATATCAAAGAAATATGTCAATATTGTTCCTGAACAATCTTGCGCTCTATAAATTTTAAAGCTAAAATTGTTGAAATTTTGTCCATTTTGTCCTCTTTCTGAAAAAGTATATAAAATCGGACTAGTTTGTGACGTCATAAAAACAAAAATTGTGAATACACTGCTTTGACTCTATAATATTTTCTGTTAATTTATATTTCTCATACAATTTATTGAATTCAGCACATTTCAGGAAGTTTTCAAAATTTGACTTTTGTGGGGGCAAATATATGCAATATACCGCATATAGTTCTTTATCTGTAAATTTTATGGAGAAAAAAATAAAGATATTTCATTTTTTCAACTTTTGGTTACGGGCACTACACTCTACAAGTTATTTAAAATAGGATGAAACTTAACCTTAAATAGAGGAATTCCAACAAGATTTTCGTAAATGTAACAATATAACACCAGTTGACTTAAACAATGAAAAAATAATGACATGCTATTTGACTTAAATTCTAGGATGTCAATAGCATCTGCCAATATCAAGGTGATGAAACACCAAGGATCTTGTATATGGAAATGGTGCAATCTGAGTTTTCCAAATTAGCTACATTATCAAAATGAGGGAAAAAAGTAAAGTACATTGATTAACTTGTTAAACAAACCTCTGACCTTTGTTAATAGACTAGCTTTAGTGTTTTAACACAGCCTGTTTCAAACTGACTAAAATACAGGTTACGGACACTACAGGATTTTGTAGTGTTCGTAACCACATTTCTGATGACACCAGAGAAACAGCACTGTGGTGATGATGAGGAAAATTTCAACACATCTCAGCATCTATATGAAACACCTTTGTAGGAAATTAGTTTAGATATTTATAGAGCCTTCCAAATTCACATAATTTAAGTGGTTACGGACACTACAGTTTTTTGTAAAAACTTAATTTTCCACATAAAAACATGATGAAATTTCATTACAATGGTTACATAACCCAACTTTTTTTCTGTAAGTAACAGAACATTAATACTGTGGATTTAGACAGAAATCTGAAAAAATAAGTGATATGGACTTTCTGTTTACTTGGCTTAATCATAGGGGTAAAATTATGTGAAAAATGTATAACATTGCAGGGACCCCTATTACATTTTCTTTCATATCTTCAAAAGTTGTTATTCAATTCTGAAAATTCAAACACCAAAATAATTTGTGAAATAAATTCTAAAGTCTGATAATGATCATTGGCATGAAAGTATATGGCATTTAACAATTATTTCAATTGAAAAATGCTGTAATTTCGAAGTGCAACCGCATAACGCAGAAAAAAAGTCATATTTGCGGTACTTTTTAGCTCACCTGAGCCGAAGGCTCAAGTGAGCTTTTCTGATCAAAATTTGTCCGTTGTCTGTCGTCGTTGTTGTCGTTGTCGTTGTTGTCGTAAACTTTTCACATTTTCATCTTCTTCTCAAGAACCACTGGGCCAATTTCAACCAAACTTAGTACAAAGTATCCTTGGGTGAAGAGGATTTAAGTTTGTTCAAATGAAGGGCCACGCCCTTTTCCAAGGGGAGATAATCATGAATTTGTTAAAAATTAATGGCATTTTTAAAAAATCTTCTTCTCCAGAACCGCTGGGCCAGGAAAGATGAAACTTGTGTGGTATCATCCTCAGGTAGTGTAGATTCAAGTTTGTTCAAATCATGACCCCCGGGGCTAGGGTGGGGCCAAAATGGCCGACCCAAGTTATACATAGGAATATATAGGAAAAATCTTTAAAAATCTTCTTCTCCAGAACCACTGGGCCAGGAAAGATGAAACTCATGTGGAATCATCTTCAGGTAGTGTAGATTCAAGTTTGTTCAAATCATGACCCCCGGGGCAAGGGTGGGGCCAAAATGGCCGTACCAAGTTTTACATAGGAATATATAGGAAAAATCTTTAAAAATCTTCTTCTCCAGAACCACTGGTCCAGGAAAGATGAAACTCATGTGGAATCATCCTCAGGTAGTGTAGATTCAAGTGTGTTCAAATCATGACCCCCGGGGCAAAGGTGGGGCCAAAATGGCCGACCCAAGTTTTACATAGGAATATATAGGAAAAATCTTTAAAAATCCTCTTCTCCAGAACCACTGGTCCAGGAAAGATGAAACTCATGTGGAATCATCCTCAGGTAGTGTAGATTCAAGTTTGTTCAAATCATGACCCCCCGGGGCAAGGGTGGAGCCAAAATGGCCGACCCAAGTTTTACATAGGAATATATAAATAAAATCTTTAAAAATCTTCTTCTCCAGAACCACTGGTCCAGGAAAGATGAAACTCATGTGGAATCATCCTCAGGTAGTGTAGATTCAAGTTTGTTCAAATCATGACCCCCGGGGCAAGGGTGGGGCCAAAATGGCCGACCCAAGTTTTACATAGGAATATATAGGAAAAATCTTTAAAAATCTTCTTCTCCAGAACCACTGGGCCAGGAAAGATGAAACTCATGTGGAATCATCCTCAGGTAGTGTAGATTCAAGTTTGTTCAAATCTTGACCCCCGGGGCAAGGGTGGGGCCAAAATGGCCGACCCTAGTTTTACATAGGAATATATAGGAAAAATCTTTTGAAAGTCTTCTTCTCCAGAACCACTGGTCCAGGAAAGATGAAACTCATGTGGAATCATCCTCAGGTAGTGTAGATTCAAGTTTGATCAAATCATGACCCCCGGGCTAGGGTGGGGCCAAAATGGCCGACCCAAGTTTTACATAGGGATATATAGGGAAACCTTTTAAAATCTTCTTTTCAAGTACTTCAAAGCTATGATTAGTGATATTTATATGGAATCATCCTCAGGTAGTGTAGATTCTAGTTTGTTCAAATGATGAATGCCTGGAAGGGGGGAGTAAATTCAAGCCCGATGTGCTCAGGTGAGCGCTGTGGCCCCTGGGCCTCTTGTTTTCATTTACTTAAATCCTGTTAAGGCTAGATCAACAAAATTTTGCACACAAGTCCTTTATAAGTATTACTATAAATGAATTATGATAAATTGCATTTAAAGAAAATAACATTTCTTAAAATCATGTATAACAATGTGGTATTCTTAATGCGCCCTATATTGTGTTTCACCCGTTTGCAATTAATGAATGATTATAGCTAGGAATCCTTTTAAAACACCAAATCGTGTTCAAAGTTCGTTCATAAAATTCGACGTAGGTGTCTTTAAAACACTTCAACTACTGCAACAAAATATCAAAGAAGATGAAGAAAAGAAACGAAAAACAATTTCCAGTCAAAGCTTTATAATTTCAATACTATTAAAAAAGAAGGAAGAATGCATGTACATACAACATCAAGTGTTACAGCATGATTTTCATACACATTACACATTCCAGTAGATTAATGAGGGATACCTCAAGAATAAAATTGTGATTTTATCTAATTTTAATTTGTACTACTGAATGAAATGTTTACTTTCTACTTTCTAAAAAAAATCACCATAATGTAACAAAATAAAGTAAAACTTCTAAAAAATGAAGTGTAGCTACATATAAGTTTTTACTTTCATGGACTTATCTAATCCCTAAAATTCATATACTTCGTATTTCTGTTTATTAAAAAGATATCATGTACCCTATCAATAAACAAACCACATGAATCTCGAACACAGGATCTGGAATTACTTATGTCATTTTAAAAAATTGCTTAAATTAGCAATGTTTGGTCATAGTTATTGTGATATTCTTGCGGGGTATGGAATTAATATGAAACAATTTTGAATAAAGTTATATATGATATATGGATTTTACATAAATGTACATACACTGCCTCAAGAAGCATTTGGGGGGATGCAATTTCAGTTGGGAGGGGACACAAGCAAAGAAAAAATGCATTGAGATGAATAAAGTGGTAAAACATAAAGTAGGTACATTTTAGGTTTTCTGTCGTTTATTTATAGGCAAAAATATTTTTTTGCGGAGGGGGGGGGGGGCATCGTTCCGTCTGGCCTAATATAGTCCAAAGGATTGTTCTATCACTAAAACCCGTTTATCTTTAAATATCCTTAGGTTTTTAGCCAAAATATATATTGTCACCAGTTTCACTTTAGACTTAAGACATGTATCTAGTTGTCTTAAGATTTTGATAGATGTTAAGATTATCATAAGATATGACAGTTTTGTGAAACAGCTATGGTGCAATCTTAAGATAATTTTCGGTCTTAAGACAGATCTTAGTCATAAGACAGCTTTGTGAAACTGGCTCCTGAGTTCTAATTTTATTGAAAAAGTAACTATTATATATGTAAGAAAATGCCTAGTTTTCTATAAGTTCTGTGTAAACAATTACTTACTTATTCACTACTTATTTCACATTTTTTGTTAGAAAAAAATTAAAATGATTTAAATTGGATATCATTTATTTGAAGATATTCCTAGTTGAAAACTCGTAATGGATTCACCGATGTTAACTCCAAATACCGCTACACATGTTATTATAAGCGTCCTCAACTATTTTGTTGTATATTGATATAGCACTTTAAAGGATTTCAAAACTGATTTACTTTAAAAAAACAACAAGAAGCAGATTTTTCTAATGCCATAGAAAGTGTAATTCACAACGATGACATAATCAAAACCTCAGACCATGATGTGTTACGAACGCTGCATGTAATTATAAGCATTTAAACTACTTGATTGAACATTAATTGTAACATATCCTTATTTAAAGCAGTTACAAATTTTTCAAAGATGATTTAAGTATTCTCTTATTAATCAAGGTTCTGCGGACCCTTCTAATGACCATGATGATACAGAAAGTGAGGTTCCCACAGATGAGATAAGCAAATCTTCTGGTGGTGAGTTACGAACTGCTAGTGTTATATTAAACTTTTGCAATTTAAGAGATTCAAAACTTAAATGTAACAGATTATATAAGTTAAAATTGATTTTTTAATACAATGTCATTTTTATTTTAATTGAAAATTTTTCACAAGCGCTTTATTTAAACTTTTCATGTAAAACAAATAATTTCCAGTTATTCTTCATTATTTTTTATTATTCATTTTGTTTCTCTTCTTTAATTTTTTTTAAATAAAGTTTTCTCAACAAAAAAAAAACAACTAATTACACCTTTCTTTGTTACCAATCCATGTGTCAATTAGGATCAAATTATTTTGACATCCGGTGTACAAACAGATAAATTATATTCCCAGTTTCGGCTCTTTAGAAATTACTCTTTATAGGCAATTAGTATGACACGTCAAAATTCCTCGAAGATAAATTTTTTATATCTTGTTTCGATTAAAGCTAATCCGTTATTAGTTACCTCTTCGCGTAAAAAAAACGTGCAATTGAATATATCACCTTCTGATGGACTTCTGAACAAATGACGTCACACATCAAAGGGAACTGTAATAGGTATGAACTTCGTAACATGCAGTCTGATTGGTCAAATTACGTTAAGTCCGAAATTTTTGTGGACAGAAAGTGACTTTAGCAAATTCACTTTCTGTCCTGCTTTCTACGAATAAACTGAACCTTAAAATTATACTTATAAAGACTTTTGATTTGTTTCAATCAGGTAAGCTAAATCATTTCTAGAATTATTCTTTTATTCTTTTTTTCTAAGACTGTTTTTATATTGAATTAAATTTTGAATGTATTTTATATTTTTAAAAGTTCTCTTTTGTATGTTATTCAGAATTCCTTGGGATTGGACCCTGCGGTTCTGACATGTCAGTCCACTGCTCTACCATTTGAGCTAAAGGGAAGACATGTATCATACGCAACAACAAATTGGTGACATGGGTTTTTTCTTTCGAGACATTTCTCATAATTAAGTGTGTTTTTAAGTTGCATTGCAACTTGTTTCAAATAATTAAGAAACGCAAAGCAAAGCAGACCATGCCACAACAAAGAGGATGTCTATAAACTAGGGCAGTACTGAACATCATTACATCACTTCTGTTTCGTACATATAACAAACAAACACACCCTAACACACACACACCCTCCCTCACCCTCACACACAAAGGCTGACACCATACCCGTCCTTTGCGAGGGAATAATAAAATAAAAGAATAAGGGACAAAGCACAGGAACCCCGGCTTTGTTGTTTTAATTTAGAACAAAATAAAGTAAAACAACACATGTATCTTTTATTTTAAAAATATTCATACATGTTATACATTTTATCTATTTCTTTCTTAGATAAAATGGATAAAATTTTGCGAAACTTTTTATTTTACCAAAATAAGAGGACAAAATGCTTACCTTGTGACTGTCATATTTGTTGATTCATGTAAAACAAAGGGATGACCGAAAACGTTAACTCGAATTGGTTTACAAAATTATAATTAGGTTGGATATTCCTTGAAAGGATACATTAAATGTGTTTAGACCGTTGTCCCTCAACGTTCTTCTGTTTTTGAAGATCGTTAGGCGTCGTGTGGTGTGCAAAAACTTTCGAACGTTTTCAGTTCCTTCTACACATTACGGTTTGTAGCACAAATTAGGAATTTTAACAAAAGAAGAGAAAAAAGAATGGAGTTATTTAAAGAGTTTTAGATGAAGTACAAGACAAAACACGCATTGAAATGTGAATTTAATTCGAAGTACTGTGTTTTGCAATTTTTTTCTATATTTTCGTTCATTCTTTTTCATTTTAATAGTACCATCATTCTCAAACCTTATCTTACAATACTTTCTGAGTGTAACTTATATAGACAAGAAAGTGGGCAGGGAGTACTGTATACTTACTGTTTACTAAGAATCTGATCAGTGCAGGGACCACTCGAAGTGATTTCCGTATCTTCTCTATTTGAAAAATACTTCCTGGCTTGTTTGTAACGCACAGTACACGATGATATTCAAGCTGCTATGTTATTTCCACTTGGGTAAGTGTATTTTTTTTCTTCGGCTATCACTGCAGTTTTACAACTTCCTCCTTGTTTCCTAGAGTTAGTAAATTCCCAATTCATTATTTGGGGTAGAATATGCATGGTTGAGAATATCTGAACGTTAAGTGTGTAGCTGTAGACAATTCAGTGTGTATAAAATGACTAAAAATTCTTATGAAAACTATCCGTCAGCATTTGACTTAATGATAAATTGTATTTGCTGACAAGGTCATTGTATCGACCACAGAATTTACGAAATTATGACTTTAAATGACACTGCTGATATTCTTGTTTAAACATCAGCTTGTTTGTCAATAACTTGTTTTTACTTAGAGCATGCTGTTGCGTTGCGAATCAACTGAGAGATATAGGCCCCTAGAGGAACAGCGGAAGTCGGACGGTTTTTCGGACCTTCTCGTTGCGCCTTCGGTACACTCTCCAAACCGGAAAGTTTTACGTCACATAAAATGATGCTTTTACCCTCTTTCTATTCTTAATTTTCAATATTTACATTTGCAAATGTTTTCCTTTACATAACACTACTGAAGGCAAGCGTTTTTATAACTGTGTAAATACAGGTTTGGGGTCAAGAGGTCATAGATGTGCTTTTGGATAAACGTTCCACGTAATTTCTCTGTGACGTCATAAAGGACCAACGCGCGTTTAGTGGATTACATATACATGCCGTTGGGTTTGAAAAATTAACGCATTTCACACGTTAAAAGTAACAATCAGGCAAATATAAAGTATGAATAAGTCACAAATGTAAAAATAAGTAATAAGGTATCATTTTTTGAGTTTTATTGAGATGTAAAACGGGTTGCCACGTGATCAAATCTTCCATAAAGCCCTTCGGGCTTTATGGGATTTGATCACGTGACCAACCCGTTTTACATCTCAATAAAACTCAAAAAATGATACCTTATTTCTTAATTGGTTAAAAGCTTTGTAATGCTATAAATCAAAACCAAACACGGAAAATCAAAGGCTGATAAAGTCAGACAGTGACAGTGAAAGTCGGACATGTAGAATTTAAAGTCGGACACATACTGGTTTCGGCATTTAAAGTCCAATTTACTTCATTTTTCAGGTGTTAAATCGTAGTGGAGCATGCACAAAGTATCAGGGGTGGGGGTGGGGGGGGGGGGCGACCCCTCACTTTCCCCCCAAACATTTACTTTACACTATTGAAAATTCAAGTTCATTGAAAGGCTGTTTGTCCCACCTCTACCTTTTTATTATTGTCAAATCAGGGTAATCTGGTAATGTATGAATAAAATTCGGTTTTGAAAGATGTAATCAAATGGAACGTACCCTCCCATCAACCTCCGAAATAGAATTTTCTTTGAGTTTGGACAATTAGCCACTCTTTCTTTCTTGTCGTTTTTTTTTCACTCAGGTAAGTTGATTTTTTTTTTAATTTAATTTTCTAGCCCTTCCCCAGCTTACAAAAATGATACCAAGTGCCCGGGGAAAAAAAATCATGAACACTTAAAGTTATTTTTACGTAAGATACTTAGTAATCGTGTGGATTATTTAGATAATTTTTCCATTTATATACCAAGAAATTTAAATTAGCATATAGTACATGTATTATGCGATCTATGATCTATAAAGCGATGTGTTATTGTGTGAATAATTTTTTGGGTTTAAATTGTCTCCATTTTATATAAATGATTATAGACAGAAAACTATATATCTCACTATCTTTACATTAGAATTAGTAATCCGGAACTTATTTAATTTTCAAGAAGAAAACCTTTTTTCCCACTTGAATGAGTGATGAGGTATAAACATGAAACTCAAATAAAGCCACGAAAAAAATTGACTTTGTTGATTTTTTTAAAATAGATTTTCTTTTCTTCTCTTTCTTTCCCTTTCCTTCTTTTATTTTCTTCGGTTTATGTATACAGTATTTAATTTCTCTGCAATATTATATCAGTCTTTTGCTGTTAAAATTCAATGAAATCGTTTCTGCTTTACGTGTTTTTCATTGTTTTTTTTCTGAAATGAAACAATTTCTATAAGGTAAGTGATAAAACGTTTTTTTTTAATTTCTTCCTTCCAAAAGGTTGCAGCTAATCGGCAGAATTTGATTTACAAAAGCTGAAATACTCTTAAATTGCTAGTAAGTTTAATAACATTATAAGAAATTGTTCTAGTATTTAAAAATATGACAATTAAAATACAATTTATTCAATATAATGTGCTGTCCGACTTTAAATTCTCCTCTGTCCGACTTTAAATGACCGAGAATGTAAAGTCGGACAGTTTAATTTTAATGGTTTTATAAATAAATATCCATCAAAAAATTATTATTATGGGAATAATTAACATTAATCATGTAAAAGTATGATATAATTACAAAATATATTGGCAATCATTAAGTACCGACGGCAAACTGAAGATTTCGCCAAGTCACTGTTGACAGGTGCGCGCTCAGTGCGCATGCGAATTTTATCCGGATCCGCGAGACGCGTATGGATCCTTCAAATTTTATACATTATTTCAAACGTTTTCACGACCATATCTGTATGAAACAATCAATAACTTCCTTTAGATTGAGATACTGAAAGAAAAAATCAAATGATATTAAATTTAGTAACGATTTTTTTCTGAAAGAGAAGACTGTCCGACATTCGATGCTGTCCGACTTTAGCTGTTCCTCCCCTAAACCCCATATGCAGGTGATGAAGGTATACTGCTGCATAAGTAAGGGAAGTTGACGAGTGAAAAGTTAAAGTCATGATGTTTGTCATAAAGCTTGATTGTAAAGTTACTATTAACGTCTTTTCCAAGTAAAATATCTAAATATGAAACAGATGTGTCAGACTCTGTGGTATCTTTTATTTCAAGCTCACCGGGATATATCGTATCGACATAAGAATGGAAATTACCATTGATAAGTTACAATGCGTCATCAATATATCTAAAAGTTGAGTTGTAGGCCATAGAAGTGTTTTATTCTTTTCACATTTAAAATTTTGGACAAATTCTGCTTCATATGAATACAAAAATACATGTACTCAGTAAGTCTCTGCATAACGGGGTCAAATTGGCACCCATGGAATTTCCAACAGATTGTTTGAAAACATAGTCTTCAAAAATCACATAGATATTGTCAATCAGAAACTCTAGCATCTTTTTCATATCAATTTCAGATTACTTGTGTTTACAATCAAAAATTTTTTTTATAAATTATTTTGCAAATGACAAGGTGAGTAAATCATTTTTATTGAAAAAGCAGCTGTCAATGATATCAAAAAGCCTGACATTTAAGTTATCGTGGGAAATGGTTGTATATAAAGTAAAAAAGGCGTAAATTTAATTGCTGTTGATTTTGGTAAAATTTTGTGATTTCAAATTTTCCAAAAGTTCCTTGGAATTTTTACGCATCCATGCACATCTGATTTTCACCACTTCTCGAATATATTGTTGCTCAATACTCCTAAAGTTTCCCCTTCACTACTTTTGATATTTTAGTGAGGGGTGAAAAAGAGGCTTGGTAAATTATTTACTGGAACCCGCTACGTATCTTTGTTTGTTTGAAAGGATATGAACTACATGTATAATTAACTGTGTTTTAAATTAAAATAAAACACTTGTACAGGTCGATTCCTTGTGTATGCATGTGAAATAGAGGATTTGTATGTGTGTAATTACTAAATAATATTGCTAGTTAACTCCTAAAGACCCAATCTTATTAAAAATACATGTATAAATAATATACTAGGTGGTTTACAGTAGATCATCCATGATAATAAGTTATAAACTTTATTACTTATGTGTACTTTCTTTTCATATTTGTAATGAATAAATTGCAAAATATAAGAGATAATGCTTTAACTTGATGCATCGATAATGATTGTCATATCCAAAAACAATATAGAAATGTAATTTGTATAGTTTTCTTTGAAGCCACTTGTTTGGGAAGTAATGACAGAAGCATCATTGCTCATCATATAACCAAACCAATCATTACAAGAGGTATATATTTCAACAGTTAATCGAATTAAAATTAATTGTTCTAAATGGATAAAAAAGATAAATATAGATATTAATATATCAAGACTCCAAACATTATGAGCTAAAAAAAGTAATTCATTCAGAACGTTTTGAAACAGGTTGTCACAATATTTCTTTGGAAAGTCACTCTATTTTGAGAAAGGACTGTTTAGAGGAGAACAATGTCACCAATTGTTATCAATTCTGTTTCCTCAACCAATCAGGATCAACTGTTAAGGCTCTACTCCTGAAGGTAACTCTACTGTCTTCGTGACTAAAGTGTTTGTGTCTTTTCGACAATTCTGCAACATGAAAGGAGTTATACAGAGTTTCTATTTACCAATAGGGAACGGAGTGTGTTTGTTCTTTCGAGACTCTACATACGTCATTTGATACTGCAAAACGCTGCAACGAGAGTTGTCCTGGAAACTCAAACCAAAGCTGCGGCGGTTATGGTCATCACACTTATGCTGTGTATGAAATAGGTAAAAGAAGCTTGTAAATATAAACAAATTCATTTTCATTTTTGAAACGATCCACAAAATGAATCCTACGTTTACTTTCATTATGCTTTTATTCGGTTTTAGAACTTTTTACACGACAGCCATAGTTCCAGAGGGTCTGATGAAATTACTCTGAATTCATCCGTCCGTTTGTCCGTAAATTACCACTTACCTAATAACTAAAATATTGAGCATGCATAAGCCATATGAAATAAAGGTTGTATAAGGTCACATTTTACTTAATTGTGTAGTTTGTGAATTCGGGGATGGGACAAATACCTATTAGAGCCAGCATGCCTGGTATTGTGCAACTCTGTTTTCAATAGCTAATTCTGGTAAAGTGGTACTAAGAAAAAGAATGTCATTTGCAGTAGTCCCAAACTAGCTACCTCTGTAATCTGCACACTTTGTACGATTAGCAAATATTTATTAATTAAATCCGATGTGTTTTATGTATGTTAATGCTTTAGATGATCAGTCAGGTTTCGTAATTTGAACAAACTTAATTTTGTTAGGCATTGTGTAACTACTCACTAGTACTTAAATTTGACAGTTCTCCAATATTTGTTATATCATAAGATCATCTATCATCTTACAGGATTTTTTTTTTCAATATATTTAGCAAAAATACTTGCAATTAAACCCAGAATGCTCTGAAGAAAAAGAATCCTGAAAGATTTTTTTTTTTTTACATATTCCTCTGAGCTTTTACATCGTGTCATGAATTTTCAAAATGGCACCTTTAATCTTTAAGAAGGTTACATGTATCTTGAATTTTTAACTTTGGAAGTTACATGCACGTGTACAAGAAAAATAAATTGGTGTAAGAATTGATTTTCGTGCAATCGAACATTTCATACAATGTTTAACAAGCTATATGTTTTATATATTTAATTTATAATGACATCCTTTGTCAGTATACTGTGTTTCCCCCCCAGAAAATATCACCAGCAATGACCAAAATGCAGGCTGTGGATTTGTCAAGTTTCAGCTTTATGAAACAAATCCGACATTGAAATCTGGTGACTGCAACTTGAGAAAAATGGCATACTGCACAATGCTGAACAACGGTAATTTTTTTTTAAATATTTAAATTGTATTGAATCACAGGTGTCGGTAACATACTAAATTTAATTTTAAGTAATCATCATATTTATTCAACTATATTTGTATATGTAAACTTTTAAAGCAATAATTCCAGTTTGCAGTCCTAGAAGATAGTGAATAATCAAAATTGTTTCGATATAACAGGTGTAAAACAAGGCTGCACAATGTCTTAATTATTGTTGTTACTGTTCATATACTTTATAATAATAAATTACAGAAAGAAAATCAAAAGGAATGAAGTGGAACTTCACCACAAAACTAGAAGATCTAGACTTTGTATATTTCGCAAACGACCTTGACATTTCAGGACACAAAATAAAAAACACAAATAGCCCCTTATACCAACCATTCTGAAAATACGGCCAAGGTTCAGTTCAAGTTTTTAGAAAAAAAAAGACTTTTAAGGTCAAGGTAATCACTTAATGAGATAAAAATAAATGGTACCAAAGGAATGCATAAGTGAAATATAAAAGCCCTAACAGCAACCTTTAAAAATTCACACTGAATGTTAATGTTTTTTTTCAAATGAAGGTCAAACCCAGAGGTCAACGACATGAACTATTATATATTGAAGTCACAAGTAGTATACATGAAATTTGAAAGTCTTAGCTCCTACTGTTTAAAATTATTGCTACGATAAAAGTTTCTCCACAGGTCAAACTCCGAGGTCTTGGCCAAACGATCAAAATTGTTTATACTCACAGAAAGGCCTAGATCCACGGAATACGCTTGTCAAATGCAAAAGTCCCACGACAATTGTCCAAAATTTATAGCCGAAGTTTAATAAAATTTTCCAAAGGTATGTCAAACTACAAGGTTACAGTCAAAGAAAAACATTAAAAGACAGACAGACTGGCAGGCAAATTATTAACTTGCTAATTTTGTTGTGGAATCTATGAAAATCATCTCTCTTAGACTTTTAACGATCCTTAAATCTGTTACAGTGGATGGAACAGTGATTAAAACAACAAACATGACGTGGGATGAGCATAACAACAATTGCTCGGGACATTTGGCTTTTATTGGGGACACCAAAACTGTACAATGGAAGTTAGACAATGCAATACAGTCAGGTTTTACATTTTGGGTGGGACATCGTATTTGGAATTATGTCCCTATTGAATTCGGTAAGAATGACTTTAATTTTACACTCATATTATACTTTCAAAACGGCATCGTGATGTTTTGCAAAAAGTAATTTGAGAATGCACAAAATTTCAGCACACCTTTCCAAAGAGTTCGAATTTTATACTTGCGGTACTATGAGCAGCTTTATAAATGGTACCCCCGTCTCCTCTTATGATGTTAATGGCGACGTCAATGTTTTGCTCTGGGGTATCGACCTGAAACAATTGTCAGGTCAAAAATTAAAACAAAGAGGTGCACATTGGTATTATATACATGTAATATAGAATCTGTGAAAGCATCAATATTTACATTTGCAAATGTTTGCCCTTGTATAACACCATTTGATCAAGGTGTTTTTACATCTCGGTAAAACATGTTCGCCATGTGATCATAAATTGATTGTTTAGTCACAAGCAATCTACGTAATTTCATAGTGACGTCAGAAGTGAACGACGTGTTCATCGTATTCAAATTAAACTGTTGGGTTTTGAAAAAAATGTAAATTTCTTATGGATTTAAAACTTCAGTGCCTTACTATTTTTAATAAATCAGTCACAAATGTAAATATAAGTAATAAGGTATCATTTTTTGAGTTTTATTGGGATGTAACAGGGGTTGGCACATGATCAAATCTTCCATAAACCCCTTCGGGCTTCATGGGATTTGATCACGTGACCAACCCGTTTTACATCCCAATAAAACTCAAAAAATGATACATTAATTCTTAATTAAATTTTATTCAGTGGAATAGGAGGAGTTGCGGATAAGAGATGGACACCCTTTTATATTATAGAAAGAATCGCAGTATCAATGTTTTGCTATGGGAAACCCAAAATATGTGTCGGATCAAAAAGTAAAATAGGAGGTCACAGTGGTACTACACACCGTATGTAACAAAGAATATGTGAAAGGCTCACCAAATTTCATTCAGTGGTAAAAGAGGAGGTGGGTACCCCAAACCGTAACAGACTGACATACAGACATCCCGTTCACTTTTCAAGGGGGGAGTATGAAAAGGTTATATCTACTGTTTTGTTGTTATCGTGCAAGATCACGCCACTTTTATTGTTAGTGTACTTTTAAACTTGTAAACAACTTTTAGTTGGGGCGTGCAAAGTTGAAAAAAAAAATGTTTTGATAATCTTTTGGAATCTTGGTCTACCTCTATGCCATTTTTGGCTCTTGAGACTATGGTAACTTCTTCAACTTTTCTATGCCCGCGTACAATAACATGAATAAGGAGGACGTAAAAGCAATATTCCCGTCTTGGGTTATGCAAAAAAATAAGTTGATTAAAAAAATAAAATTAAAAAAAATTAAATAAAAAAAACCCTATAAAGTAGATTTTTAAGGTTCCGAAATATTTTCAGGTATTGAATGAAAATTGCTTAGGTTTATATGCAAAATGCTATTTTGTCAATTTTCTGTTTGTTGGAACTGTTGGCCAGTTAAAATAAGGAAGGAACAATTGTAACATGGTGTCGCCCCTCTCATCTACAACCTTTTTTATTTAGAGGGGGTTGTTTGTTTGTTATACCCCGGTATTTATATGGTTTCTCGAGAATTTGCAGTGATTATGACGAAGAGTGATTGCTCTCCTAAGACCTTTAATCAATAGAAATCTTTGAACATGATGTACCAAAAAAAAAAAAAAAACCCTGGAAATTCAATCAGGATTCAGGTGCCTACGAGGAGTAAGCATCCCTTGTCTCACCTGCCGAGTGCCCTGTGTATTAAATGGGTGTAGATGGGATTATCTGAAGTCAAATTTAGACTAAAATACCTAACAATTTATATCTAATGTATGAGTGAAAATACGACCAAGTGATAGGATGTACTTGTGGTAGACTCTGCTTTGTCTTTAATTTCGAGTTCACTGGAATATACATCGAGTAGACTGTTGAATGAAATAGGAAGAAAGAAGTATTTATTTATATTTGAATTTGAGTTGAAGGCCACAGCAAGTGTTTTCTGCTTCAAATGAATAGAAAAACAGGTCGGCAGATAAAGGAACACAATTATTCACCATCGTAATTCCAACAATTTTTAGTCTCCAAACACTTCACATGAATAGAAGAAAACTTGCATCTGTTTAATATCAAATTCAGATAATTCTGTGTAGAATCAAATTGATTTTTACAAAGTAATTTGGGGATGATAAGTTCCCGAGGTACAACATATTTTAAGTCCCAATTTCAGAGGCACCGGAACCGGGGGGGGGGGGGGGGGGGGCTTTAGCCCCCCCCCCCCCCCCCCTTTTTTGCAAACACAGATATAAAATACATGTAATCATTGAACATCGGGGCCTAGGTTTAGCCCCTCCCCTCCCACCTTTCAAAAGGCACGTTGAAGTTTAGGTCAAAGAAGGTAGTGTTTTGAAAATCTTTCGGTACTGAAAAATGTTCGATCCTAAACCCCACCCCCACCCTCCACGAAATAGGATTTTCGTGTGTTTGAACAATTTCTTTTTTTTTTTGCGAGTCGATTTTTTTTTTAGGTTTGAATTTTTTTTCTTACACTTACCCCCCCCCCCCCATTTCAATTTGCTTCCGACGCCAACGTAAGTGCAATTTTATTGAAAAAGTAGTTGTACATGATATGAAAAAGCCCAGTTTTCTATGAGCTCTGAGTAAAGATTTTTATCTCTCTTCTTTATAATTGCAGAGATCTCTACTTATTTCACATTTTTGTTAGAAAAAATTAAATTAAAAGGTAATTAAATTGAATATCATTTTCTTAAAGACATCCCTAGTTGAATAATTGATTCTTTGATGTTAACCCCAAATACCGCTACATATGTTATTATGAACATCAACTATTTTGTTGTACATTAATTTAGCACTTTAAAGGATTTTTAATATAATTTCAAAACTGATTTAAGGTTCATAAACCCTCTGCTCACTCATATGAAATTTTTCTCTATCTTTTATGATTTTCCAAAGGAAATGTATGTGCTGAATAAAATACAAACAAATAAAGCATGACTTGCGGGGCAAAATTTGACAAAAAAGGCACTTAAACTTGACAAATTTATAAAGGAATTATAGACATTTGTGTTATCAAGAGTTATCTCTCTTATCAGAGTATCAATGTACCTTAAATATGGTATTTTCTTTTAATTCACAAGATGAAGCAGATTCTTCTAATAACCATGATGACACAGAAAGTGAAATTTTCATAGATGAGATAAACGAATCTTCTGGTGGTGAGTTACGATGTTAATACAAGCATACATTTAACTATTTCATTGTACATTATTTAGATTTAAAGCAGGTACATGTATTTCAAAGCTAATCTAAATTTTCTTTTAATAAACAAGATACTGCAGATTCTTCTAATGACCATGATGGCACAAAGAGAGTAGTTCTCAGAGATGAGATAAACAAATCTGATGATGGTGAGTTACGAACTATTGTTTTACAATAGAATTCTGCATACTTTCGATATTTCATTTGCACATATTACAATTTAGAGTTTTCCAAATATCTGTAGAAGTTTTGATACCTTTCCGAAATTTGTCACAACTGCTTAGTAGGGAAATCTATTTAACATGAACATGTCTTTATAGTACCCAGCAGCATCACCTTGATCATAGCTGTGACTGTCCCGGTAGTGGTTCTTATTGTTATTTTGTTGGCAGTTGTTTGTATGAAGAGGTAAGACACACAATTAACAACATTTATAGAACATATACCATGGCTGACATTTACTTTCCTCTCCTCCCTATGTCCAGAATCCATTTTATATGACTTGTTTGCTTTCTCTGTTGTAAAGAACTAGCTCCCATGATTAGTGGTTGAATATTTTTAGTATCCAACAAGAAGCATTTTCCCTAAGCCTTGGCATCATTGAGATAAAACACAGGTTGGATAAAAATCAGATAGCCACAGGCAATATTAAATTCTTTGTACCATGTTTACACATAGAAATTTCATATTTTACACCATCTGATATATGTATATTCACAGTACTTGCATTGATCATAATGAAAACTATATCCTATGAGCTTTATGTATGTCCAATGTATAAAGGAATAAACTTGTAATAAAGTGTTAAACATTTTTGGTTTACAAGATTTAGCATTATCCTTTTAAATTCTCAACCAGATAATTTCTTCTTTTTTTTATCTTTTAAATATTTAATAGAGAACTTGCTCCTCTTTCCATTGAATACTCTTGAATTGTAATAAAGTAAGCAGAAGTAGAAGTCGTAAAATTTACAATGTGGCCTGCTCCTCAAAAGGTAAACATGTACATGTATGTTCATCATTGCAGAAAGAAAGCCAAACTGAACAGCTCGAAACAACATAAAAATGTAAGCAGTAAGAATGCTCCTCATGAAGGTCATGATGTACCCCTTCAGCCAGCAAGAAGTCAAACCCAACAAGACCAGGACTATGACCACCTACACGGAAATCCAGCCTCTCTCCACTCAGATAATGTGTATGATGTGAGCGGACAGTGTACTGATGGACCCAGTATTCAGGACAGTATGTACAACACAAGTAAACAATGCTCTGGGAATGAATTATACGACTCTAGTGTCTGTAATCCTCAGAAATCCGAGTCTGAGAATATTATGAACAGTGATATGTACAGCACAATGAATATGCACGATGGTGGTGAATATCCAAAGGACATTGACTTGTACGATCACACCAGTTCTAGTGGTCAAAATAACGACAAAACAGATATTTACAATGAAATTGACACTTGATTAAAGACAATAAATACTGTATTTTTGTTTCCTTACTTTTTTTAATTTAAAAAAATACTATTCAATAATAAAAATTTGTAATGTAAATGATTTGAGACTACACCTTTATAATTTATATAATTATAATACATGTATATTTTGCTCAGTCTTAATTACAATTAAAATCAGTGATTACAATTTGAAATAAATGATTTTCACTACATAATGAAATGACTGTTTTATAAATAAAAATGTTCTGCTAAATTATTTTGTGATTGTACTGCTGCTTTTGTTCATACAGGAGACACATGTATTTATAGTCCTCATTCACACCACCATTTTACTGGGATTTCGGTTTATCTTTGTTTCCTAGGACCTTCTTTCGCTGAGCCAGCATATGCATATACAGCTGGGGAAAAACTGCAAGTGAAAAGAAGGAAATATAACTAGAACTGTCCAAATGGGACAAAATACCCCCCGCTGGGTTTTTTCAGAAGTAAGTTTTTGCATAATAAAGATATGTATCACACATGAATTATGAAATTCTTCTTCCAGTGACCTTGAAATTTCCCAAATGACCTTGGGTCAAGGTCACGACATACCCTTGGGTCATGGGTAATCTTTGTGTGAAACGAGAATCTACCAAGTTTATCAATAAGAAAGATATGGACCGGACATGAATTATGAACTTTTTCTTCCAGTGACCTTGAACTTCCCCAAATGACCTTGGGTCAAGGTCATGACAAAACCTTGGGTCATGGGCAATCCTTGTGTAGAATGAGAACCTACAAAGTTTATCCATAAAAAAGATGTAGACCGGACACGAATTATGAACTTTTTCTTCCAGTGACCTTGAACTTCCCCAATGAACTTGGGTCAAGGTCATGACACACTCTTGGGTCAAGGGCAATCTTTGTGAATATTGAGAACCTACCAAATTTATCCATAAGAAAGATATGGACCGGACACAAATTATGAAAATTTTCTTCAAGTGACCTTGAATTCCCCAAATGACCTCGGGTCTGGTCATGACACACCCTTGGGTCATGGGCAATCTTTGCAAGAAATGAGAACCTACCAAGTTTATCCATAAGAAAGATATGGACCGGACACGAATTACGAACTTTTTCTTCCAGTGACCGTGAACTTCCTCCAGTGACCTTGGGTCAAGGTCATGACACATCCTTGGGTCATGAGCAATCTTTGCAAGAAATGAGAACCTACCAAGTTTATCCATAAAAAAGATTTAGACCGGACACGAATTATGAAATTTTTATTCCAGTGACCTTGATCTTCCCCAAATGACCTTGGGTCAAGGTCATGACACACCCTTGTGTCATGGGCAATCTTTGTGTGAAATGAGAACATACCAAATATCCATAAGAAAGATATGGACCGGACACAACTTATGGACTTTTTCTTCCCGTGACCTTGAACTTCCCCAAATGAACTTGGTCAAGGTCATGACACACCCTTAGGTCATGGGCAATCTTTGTGTGGAGTAGTAGTTTCTAATGTCCCTCCGTAAGAAAGATATGGTCCGGACACGTTTGCACAGACAGCTAGACAGCTAGAGAGACGGACAGCTAGACAGCTGGACAGACGGACAAGGTGATTCCCATATACCCCCCAAACTTCGTTTGCGGGGGGTATAAATAAGAATTTTTTCACAGTCACGGAAATTAATCATCACAGATTGATTTTAATTGACAAATCACGAATAAAAGATGGCAGGAATAATAGTTAATTTACACTAGTCTGGGACTTCAACATCAGTGGGATGGTATTACCCAAACTTCTTGTCAGATCATAGAAACTCAACTATGGTGAAATTAAGCTCAGTATAACCAATGAAAAACTTTGATCCCCTGATATGGCCTCACTCTATCCCTGTATTTAATGCCATGATTTGAATAATTTAATTGAAACAGTCTAGAATCTTCTTAATTAACCCCAAGATGCTTTTTTCCAACTTTGATAAAATTAATATGCCAATTGGTTGCTGAGGAGGAGTAGAAAATGTGAAAATTTTACAGATGGAGGGGAACTTGAGCTTTCAGCTCTGGCTAGCTAAAAACAAGAGGCATATTATAGAAAATCTGCATTTCTTTGCATATACATACATGTACTTACTTGGAATATACATAATCATGAAGAATACAAGGAAGTAGAAGTAATTAAATGACATGTTGGCTGCATTAGGTAACTGTACATAATACAGTTTCTTCTCCTCTACTTCTCTTAGACTACTGAATGTGGTGATTAGTTCTCCCTAAAATAGAATGAATCAATCTCTGTCACTGGATGTCAAGATGCTATGATAATTTGACGTACAATGTGTTGCCAAATTTACATCTTAAGGACCAATGATGTCAAAAAGAGCAAGAATAAATACATGTATCATTATTTTTGCCAAAACCTCTTGCTTTAGTTTCACCTAGGTATAGTTTTTCAAAGATTTTAAACTGAAAATTCCCAGTATCTTATGAAGAGGCACCTGCTTAAGGATTTTGACTCCAACTAACAACACCAAATATTGTACAAGTTAAATGCTCGTATAATACATTTGCAATATGCAATTCTGTTTTCTTCTCTTTATACTTACTGTTACTCCTATTGGATACAAAACAATGAAAAATGTGTACCTGCAATATATATACAAGATTTAATATTATTATTTAACTATAATGGAAAGAAAATAAATAAAAGTAGGTCTCTAATGAAACTGTATCTCTACTAGTTTGTATAATAGTTCAAAAGAAAAGGTGTACTCTTTAAAAAAATAAAACAGTTGTGTATTCTTGTGTTTTCCTAACTTACATGTAGAATTTTAAGTTATTTCATTTACCAGAGAATCTATGTATATTTTTTTATCAAGTTACATACATTGCCCTGAAAACAAGTACAGTTGTACTTACCGACACCACACAATAAAATATGGAACGCCTCCCAGCAGAGAGAAAAAGTAGAAGGAATATCTAATGATTTCAGTTATTGTCCATGCCGTAACAAACAGAAGTACCCCATAGTAATTCTGAACCTACAAACAGATGGCACATAAATAACAAAAGTGAAACTTACATGTAGAGGACATTACGTTTTAACAGTTAACCATGAATGTATGTAAAGTACCCAATAAAATACCTACATGTAGGTGTAGCCTCAAATAATGCCGAGTTACAAATATGGACATTATCTCTGGCGGAATTATTGCCATTATACTTCAGTAATGTCTGTCTAACAGTGAGGTGATCTCAGGAGAAGGGATTGTATATAACAGCCAGAGTTAGTACTGTATAAACTGTACATAATGGACAAAGTATGTTATGTCCAGGTTTATCCTCTTTGGCTCTTAACTGTCTAAGTGATAAGAGTAAAGACTTACAGAAGGCACACTGTATGTAACTGCCCATGTGAGGAAAACCCTGGAGAACACTTGAAAAGCTGTCAACATGACACTGGATCTCACCAACCCAAGAGCACAATGGAAAATCTGTAAAAAACATTTGCATAAGTACATTAGTCTTATGTAATAAAGGAATATATTGAGGATGAAAAACTCATATGTACATCCCAATAAGCTTATGGCATGACAAGTATGTACTTATGTACCTTTCTACCAATACTTTGCATTAAAATTCACATTTTAAAATTTAAAAGAACAGGTTTTATACCTCCAAAACTGCAGCAGTTTGAAATATATTTAGGAAGATAGCAACTTCATCATACAATCCCACCACTGTACGTTCTGTGAACATGTGATAAACCAGCTTAAACATCAAGAGAGTCCATCTACAACAAAAGTCAAACAGATACTGGCATATTTTATCATTGCAAACATACTGTAAACGTATTACATTTGGCTGTGTATTCTTTTTAGCGCTTTTGGCGGAAAGCGATCTCCGCTAATTCAAGTATAATGCTAAATGCCTCACACATATACCAATAAAGAAGAACATTCAGATATGCGCTAATTCAAATCCACGGTAACTTGTTCAAAATCCAATTTCCGCCAAATGTCGTATGCGCTAAAAATAATACATTTACAGTAATTACAAACTGTATACATCTCAAAACTTTTTGTATTAAAGCTAAAAATAAAATATCAGTTGAGAGCTGTGGAAAACTTTTTTAGATAGCCAGTCATTCGGACCGGCAAGAAGACAACATTTGCCGGTTCGAAGTGATTTTTGCCGGTCCGAAATAGTAAGTTCACTAAGTTGCAAAATTAAAAAGAAAAGTATTACATTTATTTTCTTAAGTACACTTTACTTAATAAAACATTTTAAAAAGTCTCCATTTCCAGGTCCATCCTCCTCCGTTTTCGTTTTTTGCATTTATAACAATACTAGATTTCATCACTTTTTAGCAGGTAACAATGAATGATAATTCTGCATAGTAAATGTAATTTTTTTTTCTAAACATTAATGCATTTGGGAATTATATTTTGCCTCGAAAATGAGTCCATGAAAATCTGTGCATTGATAATAAAGATACCAACATCATGAATATGATCGATGAAAAAAAACGAAATCTGGGACAGTCGGAACGACGGAAGTACTGTTTGAATTTGTATTACATACCCAGCTATTTAGCCTGTCTTATCTTAATTTTTTTAAAAATGTTTTTTACCTAATTCTGTACCATTTGCAAAGGTCATGCGAGACAATACCGGTTTCGCTTTCATTTCCTATAGCCTCGATCTCTTGCAAAGAAAAAGTATTGCGCAATCGTTTATAAGGTACGATAACTAAGCTGGGAAGTGTGCCGATGATAGGCCTAAATCAAAATGGAAAATCAAAAACCTTTAACAAAGAAAGAGGTCGGTCATTTGGGCCGACATCGATAGCATTTTTACCGGTCACAGGCATTTTTTGCCGGTCTTGCCGGCAGTTTTCCACAGCTCTGTCAGTTGGTTTCAATTAGCTGCAGAACTGTAGCTCTCTGTTTGAGAAAATTGGGACAGATAAAGCAGAGAGCTATAGATCCATGTGTTGTAAAAACCTTCCACTTATGGGAATGATTTTTTGTTGCTCACTTCAGGTATTATATCTTCTAGTTTATGCTTTCCTTCGCTCTTATAATGGTATCCAATAATTTATCATATATTTTACTCCAATTATTGATACTTTTACCTTTCAATGGTCCGAAACAGTTCCCTATGGATTTGGAATGTCGCTTAGAAAGATTCCCATTTTCATGACCACTTCCACAAACTGCCTTTTTTGAACCATTGAAAGGTAAATCAACAGTTAGGAATAGGAGTTAAATGTATGGTCAATTACCGGATATCTTTTATAAAGCTAGGCAAAACATAAAATATAAGAAATAATACTGAAGTGAGCAACAAAAAATTGGCGGCGTAATTTAAAGGTTTTTTCAAGGCATGGATCTGTAGCTCTCTGCTTAATCTGTCCGAATTTTCTCAAACAGAGAGCTACAGTTCTACAGCTAGGTTTCAATATGATTAATTAAAATTTCGGGAGCCAGTCAAAGCGTTCCCTATTAAAACCGTCCCGGTCAAAGCGTTCCCTGATTTTGGTCAAAGCGTACCATGATTTTGGTCAAAATGTCCCCTGATTTTGGTCAAAGCGCCCCCTGACATATTTTATAGAAATATGATACTACGAAACCGCCCCCTGATTTTGGTCAAAGCGTCCCTTGATTTTGGTCAAAGCGTCCCCTGACATATTTTTATAGAAAAACGAAGTTTCCAAAGCGCCCCCAAATATTGGTCAAAGCGCCCCCTGATTTTGGTCAAAGCGCCCCCTGAAATATTTTTATAGAAAGCGAAGTTTCCAAATTGCCCCCAAATATAGGTCAATGCGTCCCCTGATTTTGGTCAAAGCGCCCCCTGAAATATTTTTGTAGAAAGCGAAGTTTCCAAATTGCCCCCAAATATTGGTCAATGCGTCCCCAAATTTTGGTCAAAGCGCCCCCTGACATATTTTTTGATAGAAAAACAAAGTTTGAAGTTTGGTCAAAGCGCCCCCTGATTTTGGTCAAAGCGTCCCCTGACATATTTTTATAGAAAGCGAAGTTTCCAAATTGCCCCCAAATATTGGTCAATGCGTCCCCAAATTTTGGTCAAAGCGCCCCCTGACATATTTTTAAATAGAAAAACAACGTTTGAAGTTTGGTCAAAGTGCCCCCAAATTTTGGTCAAAGCGCCCCCAAATATTGATCAAAGCGCCCATGACATATTTTTTTTTTATAGAATACAACTTTTGAAGTTTGGTCAAAGCGCTCCTTATAGAAAATTTATGTTTGAATACCACCCAAATTTTCAAAGCGCATCCAAATCGATTTTTAAACGGAATTTGCTGTTATATGTATATTTATTTCCTGACGTCCCAGAGTCAAAATATGATAGCTCATTTTAAAAGTAAATGTTGATGCTCACATACACATTTTTATAATCTGTAACTTTCTTTTAAACACAACAGGTGTATGAATATAAGGATCTATAAAGTTTAAACACGGTGAATACGATCAAGGAAAAATTTCTAATCAAGCACATAAAAGTGGGTAACACTAAAATACGCCTGCCGACGCCTCCCAGGGGAAATTACGCCTGCCGAGAAAATGTATACGCCTGCCGTGTTATTAATGGAATTAATTTGTTTTTGTTAGATATATTACTTTTTCGGACCCTGTAGTTAATGTTTTAGGAAACAAAAATAATGTTAAAAGCACAGAATGGAGTTTTTTTTTATCGTTTTAAAGTTTGCATACGGCGTGGAGCATGCCTGACGAAAAATCAAACGCATGCGGCGTTGTTTCTCTAATTTCTCATTACAATTTGAAATGTTACTTTTCAAAAGTATTTGGCTAACATTTGACAAAAAATTGATAAAAAAAAAATTAAATATATATTTTATTCATTAAGTGTTTGATACAAGAGTATATAGCATTAAAGGAAATAACTCTTACTTGACAATAGGAACTGCTGTGTGAAGACCATGGACATCATGTTTTTTTTTTCTTTCTTTTTTTAAATAAAAATATTGATCTCGTATTTATTTATAGAATTTACAGTGACTCGGGAACACATATGCTGTAAAAACTGTGCGATTTACGGGTTACCGTAGTTGTTTTGAATCAGAATCTGAAATATTCAATGTTAAACTGGTTAAACTTTTTAAACATCAATGAAATAATTATTATTTCTGATTTTCAGGTTATATTAACTTATTATATGCAACAAAGTTATAAAAATGAATATAAAATTTGACAGGTAAGAGAAACGGTATAATTTAAACTATTCCTACACATCCATGTATACATCAAGCAGAGAAGGAAATAAATGAAATGAGTAAGAAAATCAGCATGTACATGACACGTGTACAAAATATCGTTTATACCTATATGTTCAAAATCATTCCTATTCATTCATTTAGAGAAAAGGTTCATAAGGTAAATCAAATTCTAAAGAAAAAACAAAAAACACATAAAGGCATTTGATGTTCCTCACATCTCGAAAAAAAAACAAAACAAAACAAACTTGGAACCCATACCTAATAATTCGGTATGGGGTTTTATTTTATCATTTTTTCAGATATGTAACGTCAAAGAATAGTCTGTAGAGTAAAATTTACTGAAAGCATGATGTGTTTATACCATGTATGCAACATGTATAAGCGATCTGGGCTGTCATGGAAATAAACAAAACTTTTAAAAAGTTACTAATTTTCAAAATATAAAACACGTTATTTTTCATCTTAATTAACATTTCAAAGTTTCACAATTTCTTCGTCTAGGCAAAGAACTCGATGATTTAAGAAAAGTGATGAAAATAATCTATTTTTTTTAATTCATTTATTTCAATTAGAGAAAAAATGATCCATCGAAAGTTCCAAATATTCTCGCTAGTATATATTATTGTTCTATCGAAATTCATTATTGTTAAAATTTGTTTACAATGATATGAATGTCTGAATTCATGTTTACTGTGTATACACAGACTTCAAATCTCATCGATCTTCCTGTATACCTGTGCGTAATATTATGTGGTATTACATAATTAGGTACATGACAAGTGAGAAGATTGGCACGTGCGCTATACACACTCCGAGGTGGGATATTATGAACCAGGGCCACAAAATCAGAATTAGTAAATTTTTACATATCTGATTAAATAAATTAATTCTAAGAAAATATGGATAAAGGAAATTCCGAATTTAATACAAATGCATGTTTATAAAACTATTGAAAAGATCGTCAATTTATATTTATACAACATACCACACAAACTATTTACGCCCAAGAGCTGCAAATAATTTTTTTTCCAGTTCTTCCTCCTTAGATAAGTATTGTAGAAATTGTTAAAATGGTTAGTATTGTAGAAATTGTTATGATGGTTGCACAATCTGTATCATGAATCAAATTACATGATCCTCATGGTTGGTTTCCGTGGTTATTTCTTTCTTGTCTATGATTCGGGTCTTGGACATATCTAGTTTTAAACCAGCGACTTTAAAAAGAAGCACTTCATGATGTAAAACCAACTCATATATCAACTGAGCTAATCCGTCTATAAGAATTATCGGTATAAATTTGAATCAGATTTTCAAAATCAGGTTTCCTTATTTTTTGTAGGTTTTTTGTGAATTTCGACCCTAGGGCAGGGGTGCCCCTAAAAAATCCTATCTTAAATCATTCCTTACATCATAACCTATCAAAATATCACAATTTTATTTAGGGGCAGGCCTGCCCTGAAGGACTTCTAGGCCAAAATTCATGCAAAAATCAACGCTTTAACGGACAAATTGGTGTTTCAACCAACTTTGGAGGTTTATTGAAAAGTTGTAAATAATAAATTTTAGGTATGAAATTCAAATTTGTCTCTCCTATAGGTCAATTCTTTTGTCGAAGCGAATACATCCTTTGGCGTATGTAATAATAATTGAAATCCAATTTATGCAAATATACAGTCTTACATAAAATTATGTATGTGTGCAACGATGGAGAAGTTTTTTTACGCATTTCCCTAATAAAAAACTTTGATCGTCAAGTTCGAATTTCAAATTCTTTTTCAACATATTACATTCCATTCGATAATGTTTAAAACTAGAAATTACCGGTATATTAGGGAACGGTTTGATCGAAATTAGGGGACGATTACATCGAAATCATGGGACGCTTTGACCAATATTTCGGGGGCGATTGAATACATAATTTTTTTTTCACACAAAGTTAACTGGGGCTCTTAAAAGCCACCGCTCTTTGACCAAAACGAGTGGGCGCTTTGTGGACAATTTAATAACATCATTTTTTCACACAACAAAGAATGAATCGTTTAAACGTCCACATTTGGCCCCCCGATAATTTACAAAAAATAAGTTTAAAGGATTTCTACATATTTTTGTCTTAATCTTTTCATCAAACATTGTAGTTTATTAATTTCATTTTCAAATTTCACTTACTTGCACTGTAATTGGGTATTTATCTGATTAATATAGCAGGGGTATGTTGTTTACATCGGTTTCCCATAGACTTTAGGCCACACCCCCATTTTGAAAGCCCAATTTTTATTTGAGCGCATTGATGTTTCAAGTTGTAGTAAATAGGGTCAATGTAAAGAGTTATACTTGTCATTTTAATTCATGAAAGAAATTGAAACAGTCGTGCGCTCACATGTTATTTTCCAAAAAGGTGCAAAATCACGGGTACCTGTCTCTATAGTAAAGGCACCTTGTTTACAAATTTCAACCCGCCTTTGACCTCATAAATAACAAAGCATTGAACACGTGACTCAACCTATTCACTTTCATAATGCGACATCGTGTCCAGTGTTGCGAGCTACATGTATCGATGGTCAAATCCTTTTCAAATAGGTAATTATGTTCCCCAAACGAAGTTGGGGAACATATTGTTTTTACTCTGTTTCTTATTATTATTATTCTTATTATTTTTCTTCCTGGGAAAATTTTGTCCGCGAGTGATCTTGTAAACTACACATCCGACTAAGGTAAAATGTTTTTAGGGTTAGTAGACATGTTATGTAGATTTGCCGAACGAAGGTCATTTTGCGCGCACGTGCTTGCAAGAGCGCGCACGTGCAACAAGTAAAATGACCAATATAATGGATATTGCTTTAACTTTTCTTTTTTTTTGATGAATTTTTTTGAAACTCATAATGTAAGGATACATTAGTAGTATAGACAAGATGGCATAGTCAAAATAGCAAGATCTCACGCGCATGCACGTGCGCTTCGCTCTGACTGGCTGAAACTAAAGTCGCAATATCTTTCTTGTTTCTTGTCATAATCTTTTGAAATTTTGAACATAGTCCTACATTATGAAGATCTACAGCATGATATATAAAAATTTTCATGAAAGCATGCGCATGCGCGCGTGCTGCGATCTGATTGGCTGAAACTTTAAATGGCTATATCTCCTTTGTTTTTTGACGAAATGCTTTGAAATTTAAAACATACTCATGCATTAGGATATCCTAAAATATGATATAGGAAAAAAATCATGAAATCACGCACATGCACGTATGCTGCAATCTGATTGGCTGAAACTTTATATGGCTATATCTCCTTTGTTTTTTGACGAAATGTTTGCAATTTTAAAATATAGTCATTCATTTAGATATCCTTCAATATGATAAAGATAAAAAATTATGAAATCACGCGCATGCATGTGTGCTGCAATCTGATTGGCTGAAACTTCAAATGGCTACAACTCCCTTGTTTTTCAACCAAACAGGATGGGATTTAGAACATAGATAAATATAAGGGACTCCTACAAGAAGGTGTAGTCATTATGCACGTGCTTGCACGTGCCTGCACGTGAAATGAGTAAAATTTAAAAATACACTCGAATGAGTGTAATTTTTAATACTTTTGGATAAAATGCCTTGATATTAAGTATATTAAAATTTTAGATAGTGTAGACAAGATAATATGGTCGTTACGCAGATGAACACGCGTGCAATGCCTATTTTTAAATGTATTTTGTATTTTTCTGGGAAGACCTTGATTAAGTCTAAATTCCATAAAGAATTTCTTACTTAATAGAGATTACAGGGAATATGGCACCAAAAGGGAGTTGGGGAGCGTTTGGGGAACATCTGTAACGGTCCCCGTTACAATTAGCACTAGTTAGAATTTAAAGTACCATGGGATAAAATTTCTTTAAAACGGTATATTTAAGACTTGTTCAAATTTTTGATTAACTTGTTATTTCAGTCAATTTTGTTTGATTTTTTTCCGGTATTTATCAATATATTTTGGAGGCTTGTAGCATAAAGCTTGCACTTACTGCTTATATCTCATTAATACAGAATTTGAAAAAAAAAATACCGAGGGTATTTATATTATCAATTTGCATACATATACATGTACATCACATCAGCGTTACGTTCATTGACTCTTGGAAGATAAAAAAAATTACGATCGTTTTTTTGAAAATATACCAATTTATCATATCTTTAGAAAATAAACCGTTTGTTACAAATGCGTAATTCCAATTAAATTAGAGAATCCTTACGGAAAAGAAATAGATGTGTGAGGCATTAAAAAGATTTGTAAAACCAACAAATTACTACATGTAATAAATTATAAATAGAGGGAAACTTCGGGTTTCATCTGGCGACACTACAAATGTTACTTTTTAATTACATCGGCACAAAATGAAAGATTTAAATATAAATATAAGTATGTAACAATAAATCGAATGAAAAAAGGCGTATTTTTTTTTTTGAAATGGTTCATTGTTTATCTCACTAGAGGACGAGAATTTTTTTAACAATGCAATCTGGACTGTACAAATTACACTTGTCTAACACTGAAGGTTTTTTTATATCCAGCAACGATAATATTGACGTTAAACTGACGTTTAATTTTCTTCACTTTCTTGCGAATTTATTTTTCAAACACAGAGTGAAGTTTTATTTCACAATTCATCTGCATTTGTTGTAGCACACCAACTTCGCAAAATTATATATATGTACATGATATGAAATAATTATTCACGTGAATGTAAAAAGCAAATTAATTATAAGATTTAATGGATTGATTATTATCTCTATCAAAATAAAGTTTTAAGTATGAAAAAGAGTGAATCCAGCATTATACGTTCTATACACAAATTCCATTGTGTGTATTTAAATATAAATAATTTGACGAATTTCTAATAAATAATTTAAAACATAACTCGTAATTTAAGTGGAAAAAAAAATTAAGCCTGACTAATTAAAAAAAGGATGCTTATATGAGTTCAGTCTCTTGCACTAAAAAAGGGGCTTTTAGGTGTCACTTCATCATAAAACTTCGTACACTTCGAACACACGCTAATGTATTCACACTTATCGCACGCTTGATAGACGCCCCGCCTTCCCATTCAAATGCTAATACTACAATGGCCTACATATCGCGAATGGCGAAGTTTTACTGTGAAATATGCGACTTTATTTAATCGATATCATGTATATATTGAAAGTCTCTTTCCTAAAAAATTCTTTATTAGGATCTGTATATACTATATTTGAAGACTTTAGCTATAAGATAACACTGTTTTTATTTAAAAGGGTAAAATTCTGCATTTAAAAAGGGGCGAGATTGCAGTGTTAAGAGGATTCATTCTTTGAGTGGGGGCGCTTTGACCAAAATCATACAGGGGGCGGTTTAGAAACTACGTTTTCCTATCAAAATATGTCAGGGGGCGCTTTGACCAAAATCAAGAGACGCATTGACCAAAATCAGTTGGGGGAGGGGGGGTTGTTTAGAAACTATGTTTTCCTATCAAAATATGTCAGGGGGCGCTTTGACCAGAGTCAAGGGACGCTTTGACCAAAATCAGGGGGCGCTTTGACCAAAATCAAGGGACGCTTTGACCAAATCAGGGGGCGGTTTAGAAACTATGTTTTCCTATAAAAATATGTCAAAATATGTCAGGGGGCGCTTTGACCAAAATCAGGGGACGCTTCGACCAAAATCAAGGGACGCTTTGACCAAAATCAGGGGGCGGTTTAGAAACTATGTTTTCCTATCAAAATATGTCAGGGGGCGCTTTGACCAAAATCAAGGGACGCATTGACCAAAATCAGGGGGCGGTTTCGTAGTATCATATTTCTATAAAATATGTCAGGGGGCGCTTTGACCAAAATCTGGGGACATTTTGACCAAAATCATGGTACGCTTTGACTAAAATCATGGTACGCTTTGACCAAAATCAGGGAATGCTTTGACCGGGACGGTTTTAATTGGGAACGCTTTGACTGGATTTCAAAATTTCAGCACAGTGAGAAGCAATCATACGTAATTAATTTTTATTCATTAATTTTTCATACAAAAATATGAATGTGACATCCTTAATGATCAATTTCATATAATTTGATTTTTTAAATTAATGAGAGTACTTCGAAAAAGAGAAAAATGAACCCGGAATATTCAAAATACACCATCCTGAAAAACAAGCGCATATGATCCGCCACTAGCACTGGGTAAATCACCCACGTGCAGTCGTTATCAATCGATAATATGGTGAACAATACAAACAAAATGCGTCTTTCGTAATGTAAGATTTCATAAAACTTTACCCTATCATTTGAAGAACATTATATGCAACGAGATATGCCACAGAAAGACTGTTTTCAGCACTTGGACTTTGTGCTGGGCCTTTCTTTCCATCTTTCGTCGCCATGCTGCGGTGTGGAGTGAACACAGCTAAAACCGTGAACCTATACAAAACTTCTTCAATCCGGTTACGTCAATAAAAAAAATGTTAAGCATAATTTTTTAGTGGAATATATTGCATTTATCCTTATCAACTCTATAATTTAAAATTATAGATTTATGAAAAGATTTCTCCCCCAAACCCATGAAATAAAGACAGTAAAATAACTTATTCGGAAATATTTATTCCTGTTTTATTAATCTTTCTGTCTGTAGAGATAGTTTTGGTACTTCCGTATGACCGGAACGCATACAACAGAAAAATTTAGAGGATAACCGAAAGCCTCGCACTTTGTTTGATCACGTGGCTCACCCCGGCGACGAGCTTTGTTGAAAGCTGTTGTTCGAAGATTTTTTTTCTCTTACCATCATGGAGTAGATTTCTTATCAGGATAATAAAACGATTAATTCATAAAGAAGAAGAAGGCAATTGTAAAAAATGAGTCACGTGTACGAAGGGTAAGTCGATATAAGTATTCTCTTTATAAAAATTATGAAATAAAATGTGAGAAACATAAAAATGCCTCTTAGCATGTATTTTCAGACGGAATCCCAAGTAATTTTAGATATGCAATTTCCATTAATTATCCTTGTATTGTATAAAAAGAAGGGAAATAAACTAATGGGATTTGTCTAATATCTCATTCAATACAGTATTTGGTTGTCAATAACTATATTAATTTTAACATCAGTTTCTGACATTGACACTTTCTTTTAAGTTTTTTAAAAATAAGAATACATATTGTCAATGGTATAGACATAAGAAGACTTGCACCTCGTCCCCTATTGTGTGAATCGGCTATTCAGACATATATTTTCTTTGCATTTTGAACTTCTCGCATTCATCACTGTATTAATGTGAATTGCATTTTTTAGGCTGGATCACATATTCGCACAATTTTGTCATTCATTTGCATGTTCCTCCTCATTAACCACGTCTGTGGATATTAAATTAAGAACTCAATTAAGGACTGGGGAAGAAAACTCAAAAGTAAACAGCTATAGGCATCGATGATCCACATCCTTTTCAAACAATAAAAAAAATGTAATAAGCTCATAAAATGGAAGTCATATACAGAATAAAATCCATATTGCATTTGACTGTCTTCTTTTAGAGAGATGACAACATTATTCCGGAATTGGTTTATGTATAGAATTACTTTAAAGTCAAGTTAAGAACAAAGAGTTTATTAAACAAATCTGTTTAAGGGGAGGAATGTGGTAGTTTGAGGCATCAGAGCTTTATCAGCCTGAATACCTCAATAGTTAGATCATCTGAACCATGATAAAGGGACCCCAGGTTCAATAATATAGCACCTTAATTGCAAAACTAAGCTAATTTTTAATTTTTTCCCCACATCTTTTAACTGAAGGTATTTGAGTTGAAACTTAACAGATTTTACGAAGAAGCTTTCTTTATATATGGAAATGAATAAAACCAAATTTATAGAGGGTATCATAATGCATGGAATTATACATGTATGTATTGTATATGAATTTTGAATTTAAGTGACTGACAGATTGAGGGGTAAACAATTATTATAAGTGTAGTAGTACATTGAAATTTAGAGGTTTTTAAACAAACAAATAATTGCAAGAAGGAGCTTTTGAGAATTTATTTTAGTCTAACAAGCATAAAATTATCCCTTTATAGTGCATTTACTAGTATTCATTAATTTTGGTGAAACTATTGAGCAAAGGATACACACATTTATAAAGATTCACAAATTAAATATTTGAAAGTTTTACAAAAGAATATCGTTAATGAAAATAGAGAGCATGTGAAGTGTTTCAGAGGAAAAATATCAGGTGACACTGAAGGCCCATGGGCCTCTCATTTAACTTAATAAAAATTTGAAGATTTTTTCTTTATAACATCTCTCCTTCACCAAATTTTTAAGTACCCTAAGGGTGTTTACTGGAGTGAATACACAATTTCACGCTTGCAATGATATAATTTTAAAATTTTTTTGTTTACATGGAACAAACATATATCTATTCTGGTTTCCAAGTTTTACTTTCAATCAATATTTGTGCCAACAAATACCTGGTTTAACCTGACAGTTTGGAGATATCCCGGTATACCCTGTACTACACTGTCTCCCATTTGAATAATCTGTTTGCTAATGTGTCACAAGGGAAAGGGAGGCATGTTCCTTATCACCACCAATAAGATTAAGAGGCTCAATTTAATGGCAGCTTTCATGGAAAAAATCCTTTAAGACTATGACTCTGAAAACAGAATATCAGAAAACAAATATATGTATTATGTCAAGTTTGATTTAGTTAATTAGCATTTATATATTATACATATCAATTTTCTTACGAACTTATTCAGCATATATTTTAATAATTAATCTTTGAAGGATTCAATTTGACAGCACTTGCACCATGGACTTTGCCATAAAATATCAGCTCTTTTTGTTTTACTTTAATTAAGTTTATTTATAATCTAATTAAAATTATAGATGTCTATTTGAGAAGCTTAAGTAGATTCAGAACATCTTATTTTAATTTGATTGGTATTTATCATATATCCCAATGGCTCTGTAAATGTTTTCTGATTTTTTTTCCTGTTTGGTTTCAGGCCCTTGGCCACCTACAACAGTCTGACGGACAAGAACCTGGCCGGCTACTTCTCTAACACTCGGATGAGGAGGCACCTCCGCAAGTCTGGACTGGTACGAAATATACTGATTACTTCTAAGAAAGATGAATTTAGATATATGTTTTGAAGCTGATTATTCCAAATTTATTTGTTTTGAAATAAACTTTATTTTTAAGAGCATTTAAATATTATGTTGTTTTTTAAAATACACCTTTAAACAACTACATTGTAGTGCATTTTTTTTTTTCAAAGAATGCCATTGGCAGAAAGATTTCTTCTCCAAATCATTTTTTTCTCTATCAAATTATCTGAAAAAAAACCCACATTTGTGTATTATGATTTATCCATGTTAGAACATTGGTGAATTTTTTTTTTGCAGGTCAACAAACATGGAGAGTTAATTTCAGAAAATCAGTATCGTCTGAACATGGCCAGGAAAGAGCACAAGAAGCATGTAAAAGATATGCTGGCACAGGCCATCGTTCACAAGACCCTGGACATGGAACGCAATCGACAGGTGGAAATCCGGAGGAAGCTGGAGGAAATAGCCAAGATAGAAGTTGTGAGGAGGGTTCGGGTAAGCTACTTAGACTGACACACAGCTGTTTGCTAATAGATGAAATAAGATGTCTAAAATAGATACCAGGGGTATTGGGATAGTTATGATTAATTTTTGTATAGCAAACTGCTGATAATTCAAATGAAAAAAGTTATGTTCTCGATATTATTAGACATTACTGATGATTGTTTTATGTGTAAATATTTTTAAAATTTTATTCAAGAAGGAATTGAAATTGATTGGATATGGAAAAACTTCAAACATTATTACGATGAACACTGCATTAAAAGGTTGTAGAATAAGTCACCATATAATGGCTATTATTCTAGTTTATAAATGAATATGCATCTAGGACAAAACAGTTGTTAAAGAGGAGAAAATTGGTAGAAATCGTTATCGGGTGAGAAACAAATTCACAGGACATTTCTGATATAGTATTTGCTTGCCAAAGCATTAGTGATGTATTTATTGGTGTATGGCAGCGGCAGTCTTGTGTAGAATTGGTCATTACCGAGTTTCAGTAATTAGACAATGGCTCCATTATTGGGATGCTGTCCAGTTCTATTGCTAGTAGAGCTAAGCATGTCTATATATAGTCACCCGTCTCTCTCAGCCTAGGTTTATAGATCTATCAACTGCTCTTGGTTAAATGGTATAATTATCACCCATCTGCATGTTTTACTGTATCATAGAAGTTATCTCCCTTTTTGTTTCTATATACTCTAAATGACAACTTCAAGTCAAGATATTTCTCTAAGTATTGTATTCTCAAATTCTCTTTTGATATGCTCATGAGATGATATATCTATTATTTTAAATGATTAAGAGTTAAAGTTTATAAAGAAAAAAATGTACTCATTATCAATTTACTGATAGACATATTTTTTTTTTTTTTTTTTTTTAATACAAATGTTGACATTGTACAGGGCATCTCATTTAAGTATACAAGAATGATCAGATCACTCTTCTTGATTAATTAATCAGGAACAGAGTTGTATTGATTTCCTCCTGGTCTTACTGCGAATAATAAACGTCTGCTTAACAGCCCAAGGATTAAGGAGGCTGTGGTTTCCTTGATTTTCTTTCTACTAAATGAAAATATTGGATTCTGGTTGCATGGGATCTTTAACAGATCTTGCCAATAAGCACTTCAATATATACATGTAGAAGAAATTTATTTAACTTTGAATGCATGACTTGAAAATTGATTATCATTATTTTTTTTTTATTTGAAAAATATAATGTTAATAACAGGAATATATACATAATACATACAGAAAGCATCACTGAAAATAATGTCCTTTTTAATCATTTTGGAGTGTACATTATTTTTGTAAACAAAAATAAGAATTTTTAGTTAATATGTTAAAATATTTTTTTGAATTTGAACATGTATCTCCAGATAGCATATATTCTTTAACACTGACTCTTCTAGGCTGATCACAATCGCAGTGACAATTATTTACTGCCACTCCTATCACCCCGAGCTAAACCGCTCCCTCGGCCTCCCACCCCCACCCCACCACCCCCTGTGGAGGAGGAGGAAGAGGAGGAAAAAGTTGGTTTTTAAAATCATCTCTTGTTGAGTTTTTGATGGTTTAGCTTGGTCTTGAATTGTTAACAAACATCATCCTTTATAGATGTTTTTGATGGTTTCATATGTTGGTTGTTTTTCTAACATACTAACAGCTTTTTTATGATACATATATAGGTTTGCTTTGTTGGTCAACTATTCCTATAATAAAATTTTCTTTTTATAGGCAAAGAAATTGTATATAATAAATCATAATGAAAGAACATTATGGGCTGTTTAAGGAACATAGATGAATGATTTCTGTATCAGAAGTATTCCAGTTTGTGTTTTTTTCTCTTTAATCTCAACAAACAGCCCGAGATCAACTTATTAAAACACTTATTTAACTCCAAATAATTGCCTGTTGACAGCAGTGTGCACTGCATAGCTGGTTAGGGAAAGTAGATAGGTGCATTCAGTTTTCAAGGTGATGTCTTTTAAAATTGATTGATTAGGGTGCATTGTTTTTGATAAAGTCTCTTGTCCGATTTAAATTTGATCTGAAATCTTATCCTTCTTTGTTCGCTGGAATGATTAAATCCTTAATATTAAATTAATCTCAGTCAGAACTGTTTGAGGTACACTTGCTTAATTTAAAATCACAATAAAATGTTAAACAAAGAGAACAGCCAACCAATAAGTACTTAAAGTTTGAAAAGGTAGACTTTAATCTGATCTTAAGAATAAAATTCATCTTAGTTTAATTGAATAGCTATTAGTGTATAAATATCACAGAATTTTAAAGACTGCTGGATCCAATATTTTAGTAGTAAATAACTTAGCAGTTTTTATCCAACTCAGGTTAAGTGTTCTGATATGTCAACAAACTGTGCACTAACAAAACCATCTTTTAAAAAAGAAATGTTTGCCCTCTCCCAAGTCCCAACTCAGGATGGCCAAAAAAAAAAAAAAAAAAAAAAATTAAGTAGGTAGATAGCAAGGGAATTTTTTTATTAATTGAAAGAAAAAAATATTTAACACCATGCAGTGATGAATTTTCTAAATTTATTGAAATTTAAGGTATAATATTATTGTAATTAAATAAGTTGTTGGTTACAGATGAGAAAATTTTAGCATGAATTAAAAAAAAAATACACTGTACATGTAATGGTTTCCTAAAGGTTTAAATTTTTGTTGATGATCAGGCCTTTTTAGTCAGTCAGTCAAGGAACAGCAAACAGGCAATTTTTAAGATGGCCTTTCATGTAATAAAACCAAAGAAGTACTTAGTAACATCAAACATAATATCATAAATTGGTTTCATGTAGAAATAGGATTCAAAAATGATTATTAATGCAGAAAATATGTCACTGCCCAAGAGATAAACTCGGGCCATGTTCTAGGATTGTGATGAATTATTAATGGATTGTAGCTTTTCAGATGTCTGTTCCGTTCTAACATTGTTTGTAGCGGAATTTCCATGCAACCTATTGATTTCTTGGAGATGCGATGATATAATGACCATTATTTCAAGTTTTTATATGCATAGCATTGTTGTCCTGACAATATTTTGAAGCCCATTGACACTGCAGTATCTGTATATGGTGCCAATGGGACATTAAATCCTAAAATTTCTAGAATGATGGTGTGATAAACATGATAACAATAAATTGATACAGCTTTAACTAACCTATTAATGGAGTATGTGTGATTTGTTTTCTGTATCAGTTAACGCTTTTTAATGCTAGAGCTCAAGAGGGAGGAAGGGGGATGAGGAGATATTGCCATATTTATCGCTGCGATCTAGTCGCTCCGCCAGTCGCCCAGACACAGCCGACCAGAGATATCGGCCCCAGAGTGCTCCCTCAACAAATCAGTATGATGCTGGCGTAAGTTACATGGGGACCAACTAATATGTAGTCCTTATATACAACATAACACAGCTGTCAGCAGCAAAATATGATTGTAAAGTTAATTAGAATGCATGGAAAGAAAATACAACTAAACTATGATCACTGAAAAAAATGCTCATTTTTGGGCAATTATTTTCTCTTCATTTCATCCTATAGATGTATATTATATCCTACATAATCACAAACCTACATGTGAATTACCTAGTGACTACTAGAAGTAGTACACAGTACATCTTTTAGCTCAATTAAGCTTAATTGCTTAAAACTTTGTAGCTTCGTGCTGCTAGCTTCTATATCTTTAACTACTGGGTACATGTACCTATCAGTAGAGAGAGAAGTAATTAATAATTCATGAATAATTCAAATTGAAAAAATATTTAAGGCTTTTTATTCATGATTTTTATGTATTTTTAGAAATAGTTAAAGTCTACATTAGCTTGAATTTAATTTTTAATGTGATATGCTTGCCTGCTTTGAATGGTCTAATGCTGTAAAGCAATTGTGTTGATTAAACCTATTTTCTTTAAAACCATTAACTTAAATGTACATTAACTTAAATGTAATCAGATACTTGTATTTTACTGGTATTTTACCTAACTTCAGATTCCTATGTCAATAAAAATGCCAGTATTTGATTTAAAAGAATGTAAATTTAAAGATCTGACATGAAAAACAATGAAGTTCATTAAAATAAACATAAGCAAGGCAATTCCATGATAATGGATGATTTTTTCTGAAGATGAATGTTTCATTATCTTTTTTGGAAAATAAATGTTTAGTCATCTCATGACATTTCTTAGATTGTGTATGTGGATGAACATGGACGCCGTTTAAGTCCAAATGGTCGAGAAGAATTCAGAACAAAGAAAGCCAGACCAGAAGATCTGGATACCAAACACCTATATGCTGTAAGTCCTTATAAAGATATAACTATAATATGTACTGTAGTCATATATGGACATTATTCAAGACATTATCCAAATGTAAACTGCTAGAGAGAATGGATGCAAAATGCTTAAACTCATTTACAAAGTTAGGAATGTACAGTTACACTGTAATAAGTATAAGAACTAAGATTAAATAACGTATTTGTTTATCTGTGAGCAGCTTGACTCGGCAGCCCTGAGGAAGTATGCGTTACAGTTGTCCCGTATTGAGCAGGAATCCATGTCTCCCTATCTAATGTCCCCTATCCCCAGCCCACCCAGGAGCCAGAGAGGGAGTCGTGTGGGGTCCCGTGCACACATAAGATCCCGCCCCAGAACAGCAGAACCCCGGAGCAGTGTCAGCCCTAGGGAGAAGAAGGTACTTATTATGTTTCTTTTTGGCTTTGAGTGTTTCACTTTTTCAACTCTTGTTTTTTGGAAGTTCAAAATGATATTTGAGCTTCCATCTGTTTCATTTTTTATCTGCTAATACATGTGTATCTTTGTCAAAAGTTTATTGAAAGACCATATTAATTACATTTTATTTTGAATTTGAGGACAAAAAAAAGAAAACCAGATTGACATATTTCACTTTATCAATGACAAACATCCGCATTGTTTGGTTTTTGTCCTGTCACTAATCTCATTGAAATCATATAACTGATATCACAACATACTTATTGTACATGGATTTCAGTCAGCTCAGTCATCGGAGAAAAGTTCTGAGAGGAGTTACAGTGTTATCTCTGATAAAGAACACACTGCAAAGGGTACCCCGACCCGGGGGCCACCCAATGGTCACCACAGGCGCCCACTTAATAGACCCAGAGTTGTGGAAGTATGCATATAGATCCTGCATCCCCTTCACTATTTGTGACCACCCCATTATAGCATGCCTTGGTTTCTTAACTGCATGATGACGGGAAATAAGCTTAACATACATGTAGCAAATAAGAGAAATGCATGTAGAATATCGTACATTATATAACAATTTCTTGTATTTTTTCCCATATATCATTTTTTGACATAAAGGTAGTCATGAATGCATTAGATATTTTAATTTAGTTTGTGGATTAGTATGGGGTAACATGCATGTGCCAGCTGATTAACATCTCTCACCTGGTGTCATGTGTACGGTGTAGCCTGGTTAATATAGATGATCCATTTCATTAGTTTCATTTTAATTTCAAAGGTAGCTTTTTTTAAAGACTTCACAATGTACAACACCAAGTAATACTTGTAGCTGAACACATATTTTATTTGCTTTACAGAAATATATTTTTCTCGTTCAGGTTAATAGATAAATGTGCAAGACTTAGGGTATATTTACTACGCATTTTAGCCTTTTTTATATCATTTATGCATGTTTTACATAAAGTATACACTGTGATTGATTTAGTTTCAAGTACATTGTATTTTTATACCTTTAACATTTGTTTTCAAAGTATATAACTGTCCTGTAGCTATTTCAATAGTATGCATGTTATAATATATCAGATTTAAATTTATGTTTTCCATGCATGGATATTTGATTGATCACTTCTACAATATATTTGATATTACACGTATTTAACAGACGAATTACATGTATCACAAATTTTACTAGGATATGACTTATTGTGAAAACCCATCATATAAAACCAAGATATTAAATTCAGATACAGAGTGATAATTTAGTTTTGTACGGAATGAAATTTTGGCTATAATTTCTAAATAATATTTTTCTAAGTGATATTTTGGTTTTGTACAGGGAACACTGATGTTACACAGACAAGAGCCAGCCATGATGCACCAGGGAGAGGTCCAGACCCTCTGTGAGATCACGATGAAGTACCATGGACCTAACCTGACCCTGCCGCGGGACCAGTATGACCCCACCCAGAGTGTCACAATAGATCAACAACACTGTGGGGGAAATACTCTCCCTGTGTTCAAAGAAAACCTGAAGCCTAGTGGTACGTAAACATACAAAGGAGGAATTTAAATTCAAATTGGACAAGGGGGATAACTCATGAATTGAAAATTGAAATGAAACATCTCAAAATTTGCTGTATATTCATGTAGACAAAATGATATACAAAGATAGGAAACTATCAATGAACAAGCTACTGATTAATGGGAGAAAACATTAGTAGGACCATTAATCCCCTTTATTTAAAACATTGCATAGAGTTTTTTATGAATTAGCCCACTCCCCCCTAAAAAATGATACATAAGTTTCATTTTTGTACCCATAGAAATGAAGTTTTAAAAATATTTTTCTCCCAGAGATATATTTGTAATGGCAAACAGAGCATCTATTTTATCAATATATTGAATTTTTCAGACACCTTTAGTTTTATCTCACGTCGCCATCGTGGTTATCCCTTCAGTCTGACGATCTATGTCGATGGTCGAGTTGACTGTCGGGTTAGCACCTGCTGTGAGTACAAGCATGCTAAAGGGGTCAAGCTGGGTGGGAAAATGGGACATTTCAGTCTACTGAAAGTGGAAGGTGCTACTCCATGCTATAAGTAAGTAAATGGAATATTTGTTATACTTGTCATCAAAAAAAATTTAGAGAGTAGCTTCTCACTGTGTTTTATGACCACATTTAAGTGGAACATTTCTTGAAGTGAATGTATTTATAAATGTTTTATAGGTGTAAGCTTAATACCCAAGCTAGTCCAAGAAGTTTGAAAAGGCCACCAAAAACCAAAACCCCTAAACAGCCTGAGCAGCTGAAGGAGGAAGTCATTGTGGTGGACAGACGCCATGTACAGGAGCTGAGTGATGGAGGTAGGTAGACACAGGTGGTAAATTATCATTGTGTTATCATCATTTTTTTGATATTAAGATGTAACAGAATAACAGATTGTTAAGCAAAGTAATTGATGAATTGGTCATTGTCTGTAAATCAGTCAAGGATGAGGAGGAGGAGGAGGAGAATGTGGAAATTCCCGTGGAGGATGATTCCACCCAACAAAAGAACAAATATGACACGTATATTGACCCAAACCCTCCCGAGGACAACAGTGGTAGATGACCTCAATGTTATAGCATGCTAGAGCCTACCATATCAGTTTATAGGCTAGAGTGTAAAATGCAAGATGTCTTTTAAGTTCATTTGTTGCATGAGAAATTCAATGGTGATTAAGAAAAATGGAGCAAAAATTTTCTGTTGCATCTATTTTTTTCACCAAAGCAAAGTCAATTGAGCACTACCTATCCATGTTTGATATTGTGCATTTTAAAGAGAACCCTCTTTGCATAAAATTTAATATGCTTGTCAAGAGAATTTTACCGTATAGCGGGTTTTTTTGGCGGGTGTAAAATTTGGCGTTTTGCCCGCTTAAAGGTATGCCAATAATTTTGGCGTAATTTATTTTAGCGGACGCAGGGTTTTAGCTCTTTGCAGATAAACACTTAGAAGAGTACTGACTATTTTGATGGTTAAAATTTTAGCGGGCTATCATCAAAACGCCAAAATAAGCCAAAATTAGCACCCCGCTAAAATTACCCGCTATACGGTATGTTATTCCTCAGTCAATATCCACATGTTTTGTACATGAAAATGTTTTTGCTTACAAATGAAATTATTTGTTAAAGTGCAATTAGAATTTCAAAAGGAATGCTTATCTTTATTTTGTGTTAAGCTTTGGTGATGGTAAAAATACTTTGTTTATGGATATTCATTACTATCATTTATCTTTCAAGGCCATTAAAATTAATCTATCATTATGGCTTAAAATGTAGTTATAATTAAGTTACCTTTTAATTAGTGTGAAGATATATTGTAAAATATTGTAAGTGAAAAAACATCAAGTACATATTATCAAATAAGAAAAAAAAGTTTAACATGAAGATTATAATGTTATTCATGTACAATATATTCTTGATAAATACAGTCAATAAATCCAAGGGAAAGAATGACCAAAAAGTAGTTATAAAGGAGGAAGTTGAGGAAGAAGTTGTTTCCCCTGATGAAGCAGGTACCCCTGCTCTGTTGTGGACTGTCTGTGAATCTGTCATTCACGTAATCTCACCATTATCACAAAACTTCTCTATGCTGTAAAATATGTGTTATGAAAAAAATTCCAATACATGTACTTTGGTCTAATCAAGTTGTCCATTCCATGCACGTTAAGGAGACACTGATACTGGTATTCACTCATATGGCTCAGTTTCATGTCTGGGTGAATAATACTTTACCAACTTGAGATTTCACATAACACAACTATACATGTTTTGTTTGAATATGCTTGTGATTTTTTTTATAAAGATATCTTATTACTGATAGTAAATATTTTATTGCATTATTAAATGTGCATAGATTTAGATTGCTAGATACAGTTTTGAGATTGTTTTTTCTGGAATGATCGTTAAAGTTCAGATTTAAAATATGTTGTCAGTTTGAATTGCATTAATATATATAACTTAATATTTGAAAACATAGCATAATCATACCAAATTTAACATAATAATACAAAACAGTCATTTCAACTGACTGTATATTTAGGCATAAACAATTACATATGTTATTAATCTTTAACCCACCCCTACCCCCAACAAAAGCTACACATATAAACCGTAAATGGCATCTTTAATTTAATTTTATGGGTGTTAAAACCATAATAACTAATCTCTTAAAAAATTGTCACTGTATACCATTGTTGATACAGCTTAATTGTTAACTATATTTTCGATTCTAATGATAGACTCGAATGCTCTTTGTAGATGACAAATACGAGGATGATTTCGATGATGATGAAGAGGAAAAGAAGGAAGAAGAAAAAGGTAAGTCTTTCATTTGACAGTTTCTTAGAAATCTCTCAAGTTCTCATTCCTTTTTCAAAGCAATTGATATGTTTCCAAGTTTGCCTGTTATTAGAAGAATGTAACACTTTGCCTAAGTGGGTGAATTAATCATTAAATGTGCCATGACATTGACTTTTGTAGAATGGAGCATGTAATAGTTTTGTCCAGATGTGATAAGTTTATTAGGTTGACCCCCTATATTTTATCAAATTTAAATTTAGAATAGTTTCAGTAAGTACATGTAGAGGAGAGTCATATATATATATATAAACACATGCTTTCAAAGACACTGAAACCCCATGTACGATAGCTATACAGATAGGACCTGATTAATATTTTATCACCTTTGTATTGTTTAAAATTCATACAGTTTTATTTTTTTGCTATTAAATAATAATATATGTTGATTTTCTTCTGATATGTTTAGTTGATATGTTTGTGTATAACTAATTAACAGGAAGTCAAGACAACTCTACACCAAGGGGTGATTAAAACTCATTGTGAATTGTCTGTTTGTGAAAAAATCTGTGTGACTTTATCACAATTTATAAACACCTTGGTCAGTGAAAATTTCAAACAAAAATTTCAATGTTATCAAAGTTGGATAAATGTTGGTAATTTGCATGTTGTTTTTTTTTTGGACATTTTATTGTAAAGGTTAGATTGTAGATTTAATATTGTAGTAGTTAAATATGTATTTTACTTGGATAATAAATGTTATTTGTAGTTTACATGTTAAAAAATTCTACATTTTTGAACTGAAATGTGTCATAAATTCCTGAAGCTTGTAGAATTTAGGCATATCATGCTGTAGTCATATCTTTCTCCTTGTCAGGGGTTATATTATACATAAAATTAATAAATAGATATCCTACCAATTTTAATTTGAATGGTGTTTTATAACATATTGAAATGATAAGTTATTTTCCCTGACCAAGGTTAAGGTATGAAAACTGCATGTGTGGATTAAAAACTTCATTAATGGGATTTTTCAAAATAAAAGATCAGTCACATTCCAGTGTGCCTTTTGTGTATAATTTCCAAACATCCTCAAAAATTTTTTTCAAGTCAAAATATTTAAGTAAAATGTATTTTTCATTCTTTTTGTGAATGAGACACAAATTGTTTTTATTTCAAGATGAAAAAAAAAAGATTTTTCTTGTCAAATAAAATATATAATTTATTTAAAGGAAAATAGTAAAATGTATTATTTTGCTAGATAATTGTTTCGACACCTTGATTTTATAATGTGATTGATAATTCAAAATCCTTCATATAATATTTTTAATTGTCAGAAAACAACCACAAGGCACAATCACATTTATTTTTTTTGTTCATATGCTTGCCTTTTGCCTTATTTTTACTTGAAGTCACTAATTAACTGATGTTGTTTGACAACTGTGACTACCACCCTCCCATTCACCTGTACACAGCCCCTGGCCATCACATACCACAATGTACCAGATGTTGACCACCTCGTAGTAAGGTTAGACTTACAGCCAGTTCTTAAAAATATGTTCATGTACTTTAATATTATTCTTATAAGAAATATTTATTTCATTAAAATGAAGTTTTTTAAATTGAAAATTCTGTCTTGACAACTATTTGCAGGAGTTGTTTATCATATTTCAGGAAATGATGGCAATTCAGAGAACAAAAATATCTTGGAAAATCATACAGAAGATAATGAACAAGATGGTGTGGATGGCATGGACTGCAAAGAACAAAACCCCAAAGCTACAAACAAGCAAGTCAGATTTAATGAAGAGGTGCAAAAAATGGGGACACCAGACACCTCTGTGAGTAAGTTAGGTATAATGAATGATGAAGATGACAAAGCAAAAATTGAAGATGTGGATCCAAAAGATACAAAAATAAAGGAACTGAATGGTCTTAGCAACCAGGATGATGAAGGTGCCATGGATACTTGTGATGAAGTGTCTGAAATAGAGACCGATCTGGAATCTCCGAGAAAGCAAAAGGAAAATGAGAACAAAGAAGAGGAAGAAGACAGAGAGGATAAACAGGAAAACAATAATAAAACCCAAGAAAAGCTTGACGATAAACATGTTGGCAAGGAAACTAATGTTGAAGGTTCAGGAGTGACAAAGACTGAAGATGACAACAACTATTACTCTGATGACTTTGAAGCCTCTAGTGAAAGCACAGTTATGTCCGATAAAGGTGTTGACAAACCAAAAAATAATTCTCCAAAAGAAAGGGACACATCAGTCCCTAAACCTAGAACCAGCTCTCAGGGTGAGTATTATGATGAAGCTTATGCATGTGATGGAGACAAGCTTTCACTGCATGATGAAAATGCATGTATGTCTGTAAACATGAACACCAAGCAAAGTGAAGAAACAACGAGTATGAAATCATTTGACGATGAAAAGAAATACTATGTGGATGAAGATAGTGAAACTGAAGAAATGAAGAAGGGGCCTTTACAGACCACTTACGAGGATATGAACATAATTGGACCTTTGGCAACACTTCTGATGAAAGTCCGAAGAAAGAAAAAAGAAATGCAATCCAGGTTATCAGTTGATTCAGAAAGTGAACACGATGGACAAGAGGCATCAGAAGGGTTTGGTTCTTCAAGTTCTCTTGAAAAAGAGTCAGTTAGAGTAGGTTCTCAGACCTCATTGTCATCCTTACCATTTGAAAATCAACCTAATGGAAAGAAAAAATTACAACCAATTGTAACAGACAAGAAAAAGAAGAAAAAGAAAAATTCAAGCGCAAGTTCCCTAACAGACAGTGGAAGAATGTCTTCAGAGCCAAATACCAGACCCAGAAGATTATCAGATGCAAGTATCAGAAGTTTTGATAGTCATAAGAGTGTTGAGCAACAAATGATTGAAGCATCGCAAGAAGTTGTGAAGGCCGTTCTTGAATCTCAGAAGCAAATGGCAATGTCAATAAAACAAGTAACAGAATCATCCAAGCTTGTTGTAAATTCTTCAAAAGAAGTATTGGAGTCAAGCAAACAAGTAAATGCATCTTCTAAACAAGTTAACGAATCTTCCAAACAAGTCAATGAATCATCAAAACAAGTAGTTGAATCTTCTCAACATGCCTTACAAACTGCAATGCATGCAATAAAGTCCATTAAAGAAGCAGAAAAAGATTTTTCTGAATTGATTAAAGATGAAAACAAACCAGAAAAAATTGAAAACGGTTCAGAAACAGATGAAGAGAAATCACCAGAAATGCATGAATTGCCAAAAGACACAGAGACTACCTCCATGGATAAATCTGAAGTTGATTCTGGCAATAATTCAGCAGTGGTGGATCATGGAAATACAGCAGTAATGGATAATGGAAAAAGTACCGAAGATCCAGAAATAGTAGATGACAATAAGCCAGAAGTAATGGAAGAAGACAATGAGGCACTTAAGACTCCTACTGCTCCTACTACAGAAAAATTAGTTTTGTTCCATAGTGAAGATTTTGAATCTTTGCCTGATGAAGATGCTGTGCACAATATAGAGGATGTAATATTTCATGAAGTTATGGGTCTAATGGACACATTTTCATCACCTGATATTCCTCATAGGTCAAACAAAAGTCACTTACCAGAATTACACAAAATCAACTTGTTTGCAGAAGAGGACATGGATTCAATTCCTATGCCTGACGACGTAAACAAATGTGAAGAATTTACGAGTATTTTTGACCTGAAAAATGAAAACAAAGATGAAGTTGATGGTGAAGTACAAACTAATGCTGATGAAATGCATATTCCGAATGAATTTCAGTATACTGATTTTAAAACGTATTATGATAGAAAAGAAAAGATGTCAGATGTAAATGGAGATGGCAATTTGAAGGAATTTTCACTTTCTGATGCCATTAAGTGTTCAGAAGAAAATGAAAACTCATATAATTCATCATCACCTTTTTCAAGAAGACAATCAGAAAACCCAAATCTGTTTGAAAAAGAAAGTATGTTAGCTAAAAAGAAAAGATCACAGTCCATGCCAGTGGCGGTTCAGAAAAAGGAAATAGAAATCATCAAACCAAAAACGTTTGTTTATATTGCCAAAGATGAAACTTTATACACAGAGACTGTTGATGTAAAATGCAGAGAAACTCTGAGGCTAGATAGTTGTGATACCCAGTCATCAATTACTCCATTTTCTCCACGGAAGATTTCTCTCACCCAGGAAAAAGTAGGAAGTAGCAAAACCAGCGACAATTCAGATTCGTCCATTCTTGTTCATAAAAGCTCTGAGGAAGATGCGCTGATAAGTTCAAGTTTGTCTGAAGATCAACAAGTTGACAAAATATCATTAAACACAAGTGGAGAAGCAGAACTTTTTGTTGAAGAGTTGTTGCAAAATATTAGAGGTATTGACCCAAGTAATCAAGGTGATGAGAAGAATGCTAGTATTCAGGTCACTGATGAAGTAAAAGCTGAGGATACAATATCGATAGATACAAACAAAGAAGCAGAATTAATTGTTGAGGACGTTTTTCAAAAATTAAAATCAGAAAATACATCTTCATTTTCTGAACAATTGAATGTAAAGGAATTTTCATCTTCAAATGAAAAGCCACGTACACCACGCACAGATCCCGACGGACAGGTTACACATATCATTATCAATGAATCCTCTACTGTAAAGGAAGATGTAGATTACACCAAGGGTAATGGAGAGGGTCTGCTGAAAAGTTCATCAGATGAATATGAGGATAATTCTTTGAAAATAATGTCTGCAGAAAAAGATGATTCCATAAGCAAACCTAGGCCTTTACGAAGACAGGGTGCTGTACAAAATCTGTATGAAGCAGTTGACAATGAGACAAAATCGTTGCTGGATGAAGTAGCACGTGAAACAAGTTTAGCTCCAAATGAGGAAGATCTTTCTGTGTGCACCAGCGAGGAAGCTTCCATCCTTGTGAAAAGGGTTATCGAAGGGTTATCACAAGAGGAAATTTTAGAAAGTAAAATCACGGTCAGTCAAGACAATCATGTTATTAAATCTAATGGCAGTAACTCAGATGATGCGGAGGAAATTGCAAATACTTTGAAAACAAACAAACATTTAGCAGCTGCAGAGAATATTGAAAGGGAAACTAGGTTCAGTCCAGCACCTAAAGATGGAATAGAAGAAAAATGCTTTCAACCCATCAAAAAAGAGGCTGAGGAAAACGCAACATTTGCAGAGGAAGATGAAAGCAACAATCTTCCTGATACTGAAATGCTAGATGTGCAAGATGAATCTGAAATATCACATACTGAAATATTGGAACCTATCCCAATTGAAAAAGAAGATCGAGCTATTGAATGTCCTGTCTTAGACAATATAGAATCAAAAAGTGATGCACAACAGAAGCCAACCTTAGAAAAGGCTAAATCTGGAGCGATGGTTGTCAAGTATCCAGAGTCATCGCAACAGACTCAAACTTCCAAGGAGGAGGAAGAGGAGGTTAACAATTTAGTCAACGAGGAAATAAAAGCAAAAACCGAACCTGATGATATACATACTGATAAGGAGGATAAAACTACACCATGTATTACTGTTACAGAGGCAAGTGATGGAGGTGGGAGCGACGAATCAACTGCTGGACTTAAAGATCAAACAGATATGAAAGAGGCAGATATTGAAAACAAAGAGGAAATGGTGCCTGAAGTAGTAGAAAATGCTGTTATATGTAATGAAGAAGAAAATGCTAAAGAAAAAGTTGAAAAAAAGCAATGTGAACAAGTTAAGACGAAAGCAAATTTAAGTGAAAGAAAAGATTCGACTGCATCTATTAGTTCCAGTTCTGAGTCGTCAGAAACAGATGTTAAGTTTTATATGAATGGAGAAGAGGTCAAATACCCAAAAGATTTTCAAAATGGAACGTCAGCCGAAGGAGCACCTAATCTTCTAGAAATCGATGGCCAAATTATTGATCTAGATAACCTAGAAAGCTTAGATAAAGAGACTTACAAGAAAGTTATGGCCGTGGCCTATAATATTGATGTTATGTCTACAATTTCGGAAGAACATTCAACAAGCCAGAGTACTGCTCATTTATCAAATAAATGAGGAATAAACATGCTACTTTTTTTCCTTCATCTTACTAGTACTTCTTTAGGATGCAAGTTCTACAGCTAATTCTTCCTTTTGCATGCATTGTATTCTATCAATACTTTGGCATGAGTTTGTTTGAGTCATCACGCTTAGCAAAAGAACAATGGTCACTTGTTTTTCGTATTTCTGTTTACTATGAAAATGGTATTTCAATGTGTCCTGAAAGTTCATAGTCACAGATTTTTGCTATTTTTAAATCCGTATTTTAAATCATAGATGAAACATGGATATAACACCATAGTTACTTCTAGCATTTTCTGAAGATGCTGCATGTTTATGTAATAACACTGGAAATTCGGGGTTTTGTCATTCAAAAATGTGCATGTTTTTGATTGATGTTTTCTGCATATTATTCTATTTTTTTTTCTATATTTTTTGTAATTATTTATTGATTTATTTTTTTTTTATGTATTTACAAAGACTATCTTTTTTTATTCCAGCTAATTTGCAAGATAAGATAGACTCTCTTTCGATAATATCAGAAGAATAAATAGCTGTAGATAGATATCCTCTGAGAGGTCATGAATGGTATTTTGACTCATCGTTTTTGAATCATTGGTTATGATATGTGATCTGATTATTTGAATATAAGGGATTTTCTTGTCTATGTGACAGTGTTTGTGACATGTTTCGCTTCTTTTAGCGGATTTTAATAGTTAAAAATATTTCAGACCATACAACAATTTTGTTAATGCATAATTCTAAAGATGAGACTTTAAAGTATCTATAGATCTGATTCATGTATTTATGTCTGAAATTTATGTTCATGAAAACTTTTGTTATCATTTTTTTTATTTGCAAGTCTTGTATTTCAACAACATTGAAGAATTTTCTGTACATTAGAATTGTTTAAAAATTGAAATAAAAATTAAATTTCACATTCTTTTTTAATCATGACTGTGTTTTTGTCTTGCTTGGAAATATGGCAATATTGAAAAAAGGCAACGTGTTACATTCAAAGATAGTTTCATCTGAGGTAAAAAAAAAATAAGACCATCAATTGCTTTGAAAGTATGGAGTGCAGAAAAAACAAAAAAATTTCTTTTATGAAACAAGGATTACTTTATATTTGTAAGGTAAGAATTTTGATTAATATTGTGAAATTACAACTTAATTTTTTTTATCCAAACAATCATTATACATGTATTTTAGCATGAAGAGCTTGAGAATCATGGTTGTCAAACATTTTTTGCAGAAAGACCCAAGTCTGCCTCATCAAAATCGTCTTCAAGGTCTTCATCTAGGTCTTCTTCCCCATCCTCTGAGGAGGAAGAGGATGTTGACAGAAATGCTGTGACTCACATCGTGTATGAGGACAAGAAGAAGACAAATATTGTAGGACTACCTGCTGATGAGGACACCAAAACAGAGAAGACAGAGACGGACAGAGACAGCATCAGTGAAATCAGAAAGGTATCTGTTTAATATGCACACACACACAACTTAAAGGGAAGGGTTTTCTTATTGTTTCTTTAATGATACAGTTCTTTGAGATATAGAATAAGGTTGAAAGAGATAGAATCCTGTTATTTACTACTTTCATAAAACGCAGGTTTCTGGTTATTCTGATGAAGAAGAGTACCCTGATGGAAAGAAGTATAGTAAAGAGGAAAATATGGCAACAAAAGGTACCAGTATTGCTTAGTCTTGCTTGCAACATATTGTATTCATATGAATATTTTATTTAAACTCATTAAAATCTACATTTCTAAAGTTGTATGTTTATTTTGTATCATTGCAATTAATACAGTGCAACAAATACTGTTCAATATTCTTTAAATTATCAGTGTTGAAATATACCCTTTTCTTGTTAAACTCCTTTCACTCAGATTTTTTATTTTCTTTCTGATAGTTGTACAAGAGGAAAAGAAAAGTTTCAGAAGGAGAAGTTTATCTAGGTAGGCTCAACACATTTATGATTATTCAAACATTGCTGCAGTAAATAATTAGAATAATTGTAAATAATTTAAACCTATACATATATACAAAACTTTACAGTTCATCATCCAGCTCATCAAGCTCCAGGTCAAGGTCAAGAACACCAGAGAAGGTCATTGTTCCACGAACTAGATCACCAGCAAGATCACCTTCCCCTCCAGAAAAGAGAAAATCTCCATCTCCTGAATTGAAGAGAAAGTCCCCATCTCCAGAACCAGCAAGAAGATCTCCTTCACCAGTAAGAAGGTCTCCTTCTCCTGTACGGAGGGCATCTACATCTTCAGAGTCGTCCACTTCGTCAGTTCATGTATCAGAGCCTGAAGAGAAAGAGGAAACTGCAGAGAAAGTTTTAATTGGAAAATCATCCATAAATACTGAAACTCGCACACCTCAGAAGACACCCATTATAAGAAAGGATTCCGTGCCACTGGAGTTTAATTACACAAGTTATTCAGAATCTGTTGCAAGCAGTGATGTTGGAAAACCAATTCCAGAAGAGGAAGTTCATAGACAGCGGCCTTTATCTCCACTTCCCCAAGAATTCCAATACAAGAAAAAATTTGAAGATGACAATGTTAATCGTCCAACCTCACCAATGCCAACTCTTGCTAAGAGTTTCAGAAAAGTTTCAACGTCATCAAGTTCATCATCAGATGAGGAGAAAAGACGAGTCACTACCACTGCAACTATAGAGAAACAAAAACCTGCTTCAAGTGAATCAGAGAGTGAAGACAAAAAGGGAAGCTCAAGCAGTAGGTCAAGTTCTAGCACAAGCTCATCAGAGACAACAAAAGCTGTTCCTGAAAAAAGTACCCAACAGAGTAAAATAATAGAGGAAGAAAAGGCAGTTGCCTCAAAGGAGAAGAGCAGTAGCAGCAGCTCTTCTAGTGAATCATCTTCAGAATCAGAAGCAGAAAAGAAGACAACTCCTCCAAGAAAGAGTCCATCCCCACCTCCTAAGGCTGAATCAAAGAAGGAATCTTCTTCATCAAGCAGCTCGTCCAGTGAGTCGGAAACGGAAACAGATCGTACTGAAAATGAAAAAGCAACAAAGACTCCAAGCCCTGTGACAGAGGAAAAGAAAGAGTCCCCTGATGTTCCTTTGGCTCAACAAAGAAAACTGTCTACCAGCTCTAGTAGTAGCTCAAGTAGTTCATCATCTTCAGAAACTGAAGAAGCAGAGGAACAAAAGCAAACTAAACCACCATCTCCACCACCCCAAGTAATGGAGGAAACAGTTAAAGCAAAGGAAGATGAGAAAGCTAAAGGTGCTGGAGAAGCGAAGGCAAGTTCAAGTAGTTCTGATTCGAGTAGTAGTGACTCTTCTGAAACTGAGACTGATAGATCAGAGAAGCCACCTGTAACACAAAAAGCTCCATCTCCGCCTCCTGTTCAAAAGCCACCGTCTCCTGTACAGGAAAAGGAGGAAAACAAAAAATCTACAGAGGATACCAAAAAAGGTACATCCATGTAATACTATTGTGGTACTTATCTACAGATAATGAAGTTTTGTTCATACCAGTAATAAAATATTTTAATGTGTCGACTAGTTCGACTAGTTTATTTATCCTAGTATGCAAAAATATGGCATTTGGTTGTATTTCTCTATGTTTCCAAATCAAAATACAATGTATTTTTTCACACTTTTATGACAAAATTTTGTGAAGGTCAGATACATAATATGTTAAATTCAGCCCTTTTAATGCAATTTTAGAGAAATTGTGAGAAAGAACAACTAGTGGAATATGTAATATAAGTAAAATGAAGTCTTCTTAATGCAATTGAAGACAAAACAATGAAGTGTAATGTTTATACCATTAATTCTTATGGGATATCCAAAGCTTTATTAAAAATCAGTATCGCTTTTAGTGTCAATACCATTATTAAAAGAGGTTTTGGTAGATTGAATGCTATTAAAGCCAAAGACATTAGGCTTTCATAGCATATAAAGAAATTGACGCCCTTAGCATTAAGAAGTTTTGCTCAAAGCATGGCCTTTTAAAAATATATGTATGCTTATATCGTGAACAGATGAGTCCAGTGGTAGTGAGGATAGTAGTTCTGACTCAGATTCCTCTTCTTCTGATTCTGAAAGTGAGGTCGAGGAGAAAAAGAAACCGGAAGGTAAGCAGAGTTGAATACAAGCAATGTAAAACTATTACACAACTAAAGTCGAATATGAGGCATCGACCAAACTAAATTAAAAAAAAAATCAAGACAAAATATAAAACAAGTGTCAAGCTATGAAAATAATTTACATAACTTTAAAAAGATGTACTTGATGGGCTTGATCACATGTGACACTAACTGTTTTCTCGTCCACAGGGAAGGGCGAGCAGCAATCTTCAGGAGCAGTTCCCACCTAATCCTTCTATCTTACTAACTCAATGTCGTAGTGCACTCTTCTATCTTTGTCTTTCACTTACATTTCCCTTTGCAATTCTAATCGGAATTATAGCGATGGTCTATTTGAAAATCTAATGGAGAAAGTATAAGAAAGTTATTTTTAAAAAAAAATTTAAAATTATAATAGTGAAAAATTAGTGTAGGTAGAAGTTAAATGTATAAATGCACATGTAAATCCTTTTTATGGGGCCATAGATATCAATTATTGATTATTTGATATTTGTATTGCACTTAAATTATTACATAAATGTTTTCTGTGGGGTTTTCCTTCCATCATATAAGTTTGAGAAGTTCTCTCTGTTTTCTCTTGTAAATGTTGATAGACATATAAATGAATATCGTACAGTGATCATAATGGTACTAAAGCTAAATAATTTATTTGCAATTGCTTGTTATCTGTGTGTGATATGTATAAATGAAATAATTTCACAAGTGTTTTATGTGTGGAAAAAAAGCCTCTTTGTCCTTTATCTTTTGGCCTCAGCTCTGATTATATGTTATGTTTTCATCAATCGCTGCTGCCCTCCCCAAACACTTAGCATGAAAATTAAACACCTAAGGTTGTAGTACTGTGTTCACTGATCAACTAACAAATCTTTCTGTGTACCTCTGTCATTCTGTTAATCTGCTCCACTGGCGGGCCTTCGAACAATCAAGACAATTAGGAAATAGGTATGAAATTCAAACAAAGGTTATAACTTCATATGCTTTGTCTTGTGTTTTAGCTTGCAATTAATGATTGGGAAACTGTTATAGTATTCACTAGCTCTCGTAAATCACATTTATAAATTCACAGATGCACTAGAGGTCTTTGGCTTGGTCATAATTTCTTGTCATGCATCTCTTAACAGTTCTTTTTCAGATTATCAGTGTTGGATGTTGATCTTTTTTTTTTTTTAGCTCTACTGGTCAGAGACCAGAAGAGCTTATGCGATAAATGAATATCATGTCTGTAAACAATTTTTCAAAACGCTACTCCTCCTACAATTTTTTATTTCAGTATTACTTGGCACACAAGTAGACTACTCTGTGTGTGCATCGGTTTTTAATTTCTATGAACGGTGTTGCCATGGTGACTAAAAATAGAATTTTCTGTAAAATTCATTAAAAACGCTACTCCTTCTACAGTTTTGGTCTGATTTCAATATAACTTGGCACACAAGTAGACTACACTAAGATACAAAGAATAGTGCATCGGTTTTTGATTTCGATGAACGGTGTTGCCGTGGTTACTAAAAATAGAATTTTCTTGAAATTCCTGAAAAATTACTCTTTCTACAGTTTTGGTCTGATGTTCAATATAACATGGCACACAAGTAGACTACACTAAGATACATAGAATAATGCATCGGTTTTTGATTTAGATGAACAGTGTTGCCATGGTTACTAAAAATAGAATTTTCTGTGAAATTCCTTTAAAACGCTACTCATTCTACACTTTTGGTCTGATTTCAATTTAACTTGGCACACAAGTAGACTATACTAAGATACATAGAATAGTGCATCGGTTTTTGATTTCGATGAACTGTGTTACCATGGTTACTAAAAATAGAATTTTCTGTGAAATTCTTTTAAAACGCTACTCCTTCTACAGTTTTAGTTTGATTTCAAAATAAGTTGGCACACAAGTAGACTACACAAAGATACATAAAATAGTGCAATGGTTTTTGATAAGTACAAACCAGTAGAGCTACAGTCTCGACAGAGACTTCTGGTTTAATTCAAGTGATAAAATTAAGATACGATACAAAAGCATTTGATCATCAGAATGCCTGATCACACTTCATGTATCTTAGTTTGAATTAAATTGTTATTTAAAATTTGAAATTAAAATTGTGATTTTAAACTTTACAGAAGACCAGCCCTTTATAAATCTTGGTTGATATACCTCTGGTATTTACTTGTAGTATATAGAGCTCTATTTGCGAAGTAATGAACCCTAGCTGGATCTTTATTCATACCTTCTAAATACATTAAAAAAAAAAAAAAAAAAAATTATACACGTTGTCATAGTCAACAATCTTAAGTCGGTATTTTGTTTTTTGGTCTTACGAGTGATTAGTTTATTTCTACTTGAACTTGATTCAGCTTTTTATTTTGATTGTTGTTTTTGGTTTGCGCTCTCGTTTTTTAAGTTTCGAAAATAGCATGTAGCTCTCATATATGTGTCTTCTATAAATTTAAATTTTTTACCGTGACTATGTTAACAGTATTAACAATTTCATAAATGTCGTAAGACCTTTTTCTTTTAATTATGCTGAAATAAACCCCCCTGATGTACATCAGTGATCTTATATCCAATGGTTCTCTCTGAATCTTACTCACATTGTGCAGGCTTGTACTTGATATGCTTACTCTTGTTGCAGAAAGAAATGGTGAAAAAGATATAACCGTTCAAGATTCAAAAGCTGATAACAAGCTTACAGACTTGCCTGTAAGTGAGAGTGATACGGACAAAAAAGTGTCTATATTCACTAGTGACACAGATGGAGACAACATGCATGGAGGTAGGTTGTCGTATTGAAGGCTTAAGTTACATAATTATGTAAAGATTACTTCAAACAGTCAAAATGTTTGAAGATTTGGGTATTTTTTTTCTTTATAGGAAAGGTCTTAATTAGTTTCTTACCCATTGATTTTACATGTTTAGTAAAAATATTTAAAAAGCATCTTTTTTTAAACATGGTATTGATTTAAACTAGGAATATAACATTGTATGTGCAATGAGGAAAATTTAAAAAAAAAAAGAATGTCTTCGACTTAAAATGCAACACTTAGAGAAGAAGTTTATCTTTTCACAATTAGTATTCTTTATAAAAAATATCATGAAATCTTTAATTCCGGATTTAATTATTAAACAATACATTGAATTTCGGCAATTGTACAATTCCTCTGCAAAATGGTGGAAATATTATTATTTTATAAATTCACTTTTCTAAATTTTTGACAATCATTTATACACACACTGTGCTTAATTGCCGGCCATAATTTGCACACTGTCTTTTTAAGTACTTTTTTTTATTTGCATTCTATATTTTACATATAAACCAGCATTGTACATAATCATTTTTTTTCTTTGATCAGGGAATGATCCAGATGATGTGGAGGGTGGTGGTGTTGGCACCACATCTTACCTGTCTCGTATTGGAGTCAAACCAGGAACTCCACTTGAGGGATCTGTCACACCACTGTTTGAAGGAAAACCAGATGTAGATCTAAACAGCGTAGCTCTTTCTGATAAACAGGTAATTGAATTTTTCATATCTTGAAAGAATTAAAAAGCATCCAATACTAACCTTAATTTTTGAAAGTGTATGAATACTTCTATATTTCTTCATTTATGTATATTATGAATTTGTTTTCAGGTTTTAGAAATAACAGAATATTTGATAAAACAAGATGATGTGAAGACGTTTTGCATACGAAATGCTAGTTTGGGCCATGACAAGTTTGTAAATGTTGTAGGAGCCTTGAAAACCACAAAATCTGATATTCAGGTAAATAATAATTGTTACTTAAGTTCCTTTTTTGATGATATTTATGAGATAAAACAGCTATTCATTTCACATTTTTTAATTACAGATGGTGAATTTAAATTTAAACAAATTGAATGCAGCATCTGCAAAGGAAATCGGCGAGCTTTTTGTTGAAAAGCCGTCACTTCAAATTTTGCTGTAAGAAATTTATGCAAGTCTCTCTGTTTCTCTTTGCATCTATATACTCTCACATATATTATTTTTCTTATTTAAGTAATTTAATAATATGAAAGACTATTTAAATTTTCGCAGGCTTCATGGAAACCCACTTGGAGACATGGGGACAAAATATATAGCAAATGGTCTTTTAGATGTCCATGCTGCTTACCTTTCACACAAACACGAAGAAAACCAGCCTAAGTACTGCCAGCTTCAGGAACTAGACCTGGGGGATACTCTCATGGGAGATTCGGGAATGGAACACATTGCAGAGCTTCTTGAGGCGAACACATCACTACGGACCCTGAATCTTAACGGGAACACTAAAATCACGTTGGTGGGGTGGAAGAGACTGGCAAAAGCCCTTAAGAAGAACACTACACTACGGACATTATCTCTAGACTTCAACAAAATCGGGGATGATGGTATCTCTGCTCTTGCCAGTGGATTGAAAGACAACCAAACGCTGAAGGTGCTGGAATTAGAGGAAGCCTCGATTTCGGAGGAGGGAGGAAGAAAGTTGGTGGAACTGTTAAAATGTAATACTACTATTTTGGATATTACTGTCTCACCGGGAAATGCCATACCTGATAAAATTAGAGGCGAAATTCATAATTATCTTGGCCTTAATAGAGCTGCTTCTCAACCTAAATCATTTAAATAGATTGCATGTTTAAAATGTTATTTCTTCACTTTTAAGCAGTTTTAGTATGTAGATATTAATTCATGTTAAAAATATATGATGCTTATTGGATGTACATGTATGTGCTAGTTTTGTTGGGTTTGAAAAAAGTTTTAGGGTGAAAGTATTTGTGGGGATTGAATCATATGTGTGCTTTTAGATATATAGAGACAATTGAGATGTTGATTTTTTTGTAAATCAATATTTAAATATTTTGTGATACATATGTGAAATTGTAGAAAGACTAGCAGTGTGTAGGTGTTTAAAATTCGTTCATTTTCCCTTATGATTAAAGATGATAAATGTATTTCGGCTAAAATTTAATCTTTTTAAGGGATTTTTTTTTCTTTTAATTATTAAACTTTTTCAAAAATAAAATTAATCACGGTAGTTGAAATTACTTACGTGTATTTTAGAATTCATATTTGCATTTGAATAGAATAATTTAATGCTTTTTTATAATATAAATTCCAAATAGACTTTAAGATATTTTTAAATAGATTTAGTATATTTATATGAATCAATTTTCCGTCCAGTGTTATTTACAAGAGCACATATTTTTTATTTTCATTGTGATTCGTCTTTTTATGGAGGTACATGTATACGTATAGAAACAAGTCTCAAAAGAACCCTGTGATAATTTTATATATATTTTAACTTCAGTTGTTTTGTCAGTATTTTATAGTCCTCAGCATAACACCCCAAACAAAAATATTTCCTATCCCTTAAAGGTACAACGATATAGATTAAGCCTTAATTTGGCTGTTTGACATCAAATGGTTGTGAATTTTTCTCATTTCTTTAAATTTTATAAAATATTTTGATTATCTTGTTAAGATCTTGCTCAGACTTGCTCTTTTACATTTCTATATACAATATTCAGAAGGGACATTCCCTAATATATTTTTGCTGTTATTGTTTTAGTTTTAATTTGTGGGTAATAGCATGCTTGTATTCCAGATGTAACAAATATTTGTTGTTTGTTTATTGTTAAAGTTGATAAATCTGATTCTGCCATTCCATGTAGTCTGTGCATAGTTAAATAAAATCTAGAATTGATAAAGTGTAAATGATGTTTATCTTTGCGTAAAACATTACATGATATTATACTTTCATGTAAATTAGATTAATCTGATTGGTCGAGAAACATTTGTTAAAAAACACTATTACCCGCTGAATAATGAAATCCAGCGTAGCAACAGTCAACAGTGCTTGACGACGGGTGATATTCCAAAAATCATATATGCGCGCACGGTTCACTGTTATATGTATTTGTATAAAACATTCAGTGGATATAATAAATATGCATGTAGTTTAGTAACATTGAAAAATGAAAACCATTGTCAAATCGGTTGACAGTGGTACATAATTATACAAAAGCAATATTTATATACTATTTCATTTTGCGTTATGGAATGTATTTCTGTTTTATGAAATCTTGTACGTCAATAATTCGAAATCATATAAACTGAGCTTGTCGTGGATTATAAATGCAAGACAATGTACAGAATCTGCATGTACATGTACATAATTGGTTATAAATGTTAATCTGGTTATAAATATTAGTTTATTGTTGTCTTTACAAAGAAGAAATATGTTTAGTTAAATAAAGAGATAGATATACGTAGATGTATAGCTCCTGCATTTACATTACTGTGTAAGTGTTGGACCTTAAACAAATATTCAATTCAACTCTTTTTATTGACAATTACCATGTCGGCATACAAACATGAATATTAATAACATAAAACTCGTAAACAAAGTGACAAATATGAGGTAAACAAAATTCAAAATATTGCAGAAATCGATGAAATTCGTTGGTTACAAAAACTTAAACGTTTTTTACAGTTTAGTACCCTTTAAAAAGGAAAGAAAAATATATATAAAGGAGTGTATACATATGAGATTCGAGTTTCAAAATGCAAAATTCGAAATTCGAGCAATTAAATCCAAACTAACCAATCAAAAGTGAATTCAACATTCGAGAAATATAATAAAATGAAGATTTAAATCCAGACTAACCTATCAAAAGCGGGTTCAACATTTGATTACTTCCCTTAATTATGCTATCAAGAAATGTTTAATATAATTATTAAAAATTCATTTGATTAGAAAGAGTGTTGTATATATTAGAAGTAAATTTAAATAAAGATTGGATTTTTTGCTTAGCAAGATATACTTCAATTTATATTATAACTTCTTAAACATTAAACAGATTATATATATCAGGAGTATATATATATATATATATATATATATTTGTATTGTCTACTAAACTTAAATTTTATGTATTACCTCTATTAGGTAAACCATAGGTACTCTTGGACAGGAGATATTCAACGCCAGGGCTTAAAGGACATTTTTTTCACAAATTATAATTATTACACTTATTCATCATGTGTACAATACAGAAAAAAATGGGCGAAAAAAAACCCAGAATAATCGCTCAACGAAAAAATACTCCATTATTGCCTGACGTCACGGTGTCAGGCTGTATAAGGATTGATATTAATTCCGAGGTGCGAAGAGAAGAGGTCACAGATAGCCAGCAAAATTTTGTGCATGCTGATTATCACTGGAATTTGTTACCACCGTTTCAACAAAACATTTAGCAGAAAAAATAACCGTCTTATACAATATATTGATGTGTTTATTTCCTTTAGTTTTTTTTGCATGCAGCTGTTTATTTCATGCGATTTCATATACGGACATGTCCGTTTGACCTTTTTTCTGCGTTTCTGTACTATTGGATGAGTCCATATGTCTTCTAGGTAAGGGATGTCACAATCATTTTGCGCCAAATGTCACGTGTATATCATCGCGCCCTTTTCCTGGATGATTCTACTGCACTGAATGGAAATGAAAACTTCAAGTCTGTTCTTTTTATCGGAAAAAACTTTTGAAAAGAACATATCGGTGATATTGTGAAAGAAGTTAGAAGTTACATCATTTAAAGTAAATAAAACGAAACGAAAAAAATGCTTTAAAGGAAAACTGGCCAAATATACATATTTCTGATCATATCTCGCCCGGACTCGCAGCCCCCCCCCTCCCCAGTTTTCAGAGATAAAATTCCTTCTCCTATGAAACACAGAAAATAGACCCCCCCCCCCAGTTTTCAGAGATAAAATTCTTTCTCCTATGAAACACAGAAAATAGACTCAGGCTCCTAATCCAGGATTGAGGAATATAAGGAATCACCGTCAAGTTTGTTGGGTCATTTATGCATGACGGGCTGTTTCCAACAATCGTTGATGCTCTGGCATACCCAACAATCTAGTACTTAAACATATTCTGCATGTTAATCATAACGATTAATTTATTTCTTGTAGTTATCATATTCTCGGCTGTCTTCCCGGTAGTTTATGCAGTTGAATCTAATTATAAATTTTAATTTTAAAATTAATATATAACCTTTACATAGGCACGGCTTTCCAGGATACATTAATTCATTAGTTCATTTCCCTTATTTAATTACTTCATCTTCTAAAACCATTTATAGAGTTGCGAAATGATTAACTTAGCTTTACGTCGCGTGTTCGAATCCACTGCAGGACGTGGAGATCGGTCCTTAGGATGAGACCGTTTAAAACCAAGTCCCGAGTCGCAATAGGTGTTAGCACGAAAAGGATTACATGAAACTGCTCATTGGTCCTGAGTTCCAAGTATTTGTAACATTCCACAGGCGTCATTATACAACAAACGAAAAACAGATCAAAACCAATTTTTAACAAAATCTCACTGTTCCTTTTCCATCAGATATTCCAAACCCTACTTTTACTATATATAGGAAATGTTAATTGAAAGGTGGGATCCCCCTGTATATAACAGGAAATTTATTAAAGGGAAATGCAGTATTTAATGCTAAGAAAAGAGTACAGAAAGAACTTGACACTGAAAAAAAGTTGTTCACTCCCCCACCCACCCACCCCCCGAAATAGGATTTTCAACTTTGGGCATATTCCTTTTTTTTGCAGATGAACGAAAAAAAAAATTCTCTAGCTGCCCCCCCCCCACACTTTCAAAAACGAGGATCTCCATTGCTTTCATAAGTAGCAAGCAACTTAAAATAATTGCATGATGTTTTGTTCAGCATAATTTTCTCTAATGAAATAATTACCCCTCACCCCAATGTAAACGTTTATATATATAACTTATCATGATTATAAGAAGATTTTTAGCTTTTTTGAAAAGATTTGTACATTATAAGAGAGAATGCTGTTTAAAGCTGAACACGATTCATAAAAGAAATCTGTCCGCCATTTTTGTTCCCGAGTCTCGCTACTCTGCAGACCCCTATAAATAGGGCAAAATTTGGTCACTGTTCAGTGTAATCAGTCAACACCGGTGTAGACGGACTTATGCTATACAGAACTCGGTAGCGAGAATAATAACGTAATACTTCGTCTAATGCAGGAAAATAAGATACTATAGTTGTATAAGGCAGTACAGTATACAAACAACACAGATAAACGTAACTGCAATAAAATATATACAAAGGTAATGCAAGATAACCAGCACGAACACGGGTCGCCATTCCACGCCGATACCCATGACAACAAAGCAGTCAGGTGTAACGAATGCGACCAGTATACCCTAGTATTGATGTATCGTAGATAATGTTATCGAAAATGGCGTAAGCCTATTTACGAGTCGTGTTCAGCTTTAAGGAGAAAATATGGGATTATACGAGATGCAGAGTCAGTTCGATAGCATGGACTAACATAGAAATATATGTAGAGACAGTGTGAATCGACGTTTTAAGTTAAAATAAAATAAATGCATGTTTTTAAAAATAGAAATACCAGTGGGGGTACAACGTAAACAGACTGGAGTGGCATACCTTTCTCTCTTACGATGTATGGGGTATTTTTTTTGTTGATCGATTATTCATGGGGTTTTACGATTTTTTTGTATTGTAGTCATGCTGATTAAGTATTATAAATATATTTTGTAAAAAAAAAAAGCCCAATAATTCCCGGCGTTGAACATCGAGGGGGAGGGGGGGGGGGGGTCCTGTCCATTCCTTAATAGAGGAAATATAGCTACGTTTAGTAGACAATACAAAAGTATATATACTCCTGATATATGTAAACTATTTAATATTTAAGAAGTTATCATACAAATTGAAATATATCTTGCTGATTAAAAATCCAATACCTATTTCAATTTCCTTCTAAAATATATAAAAAAAAAATTTGCATTGTAATTTAATCAAATGACCCGTTTGTTATAATTATATTAAACGGTTTCTTGATAGTAAAAACATAATAAAGGGGAGTAATCAAATATTGAACCCGCTTTTGATTGGTTTGTCTTGAATCTCGAAACTCGAATTTTATCTCGAATTTTGAATCTCGTATTTTGAAACTCGAATCTCGAATGAGCCTTCTGGGCTTTCGTACTACGGTCATGCTATTCTGGCAATAAATTCACACTTTATCTCAGATATAATAAAACGAAGATTTAAATGCACTAACCTGCAGCACATGTTATCTTAACTAAGCCTGCCTGTACTTCCTGGTCCTGAGTATCGATTAAGTTGTCAGTCTGAAAGGATAAAGTTCGGACTTAATTAAATGCATAATTTCAAGCATAAATCTGAATGCAGTTATTCCCTTGAAGATTCAATTTAGTAGCACTGATACATGTAAAAGAATGTTCTGCCCTTTTCGTGCTTTTTGCACGGTCAAGCTAAAACTTGAAATCATAGAGCCAGCGTTAAATCAAAATAGCCCAGTGTTCGATTAAATATACTTATGTCAGTTATTTTACTTATTATTTGGCAAATGAGGTATCTTTTCTGTTAAAGAGTAAACTTTTTTATGCCAGAGAAAATATCCTAATAGAAAGAAATGTCTTAGGCCCGAGAAATTTCTTTTTAACAGAAATTCTAAATCTTTAACAAAACAAGCTTTTGTCAAGTATTCCAACTTTTTTCAAATTTAATGATGGGCACATGAAGACTAAAAAATAGATCAGGTAAAAAAAAAGAGATCTCTACTTAGATAAGATACAAATTAAAATTAATAAGAAAATAACAAAAGGATAATATATTTTGCAAATTAAGATGTATCTTTTATGATAAACATTTTCCGTTTCCTCAGTTTTAAAGACAACTCTTTCTTTGCAAAAAAAAAAAAAAATACTTTGTGGAATGAGATCCATATTTAGCGAAATGTATCTTTTGGATATATCCTGCATACATATCCATTTTCCCTACAGAGATATGTTTTTATTCGGTGCGAAACCAAGAATGCCTCTCCAAGGTTATCTTGATTTTTCAACAAACCTCAATATGTTTTTAAATAATTGTAGAATACGTGTAGTTATGTCATGTTATAGCTCCTTTATAATTCATCCAAATGCATTACAATTCCATTCAATTCAATTTCTTTATTGATTCACCAAACATGTTGGCATACATAAAAACAAAAAGTTACCAAAATTATTATGACATCAAAAAACGTGAATTTTTGTATGTGCCTCTCGGATGAATCTTATTGTAAAGGGGGTGAAAAAACCAACAAATAAATTCAAGTAGGCAACATCGCGGCCCACTTCCTGAATTGCATTACAGTGTGTGTCCGTGGTATTAATTTAACAAAACCCCTCACGGTCCAGTTGCTACTCAGATTTGTTAAACGTCTGTGTGGGAAAATGTTTCGGGTATGCTAAGAGTAATCTTAGTATAATTTATACAGTTTGGTGTTATTGTTAGAAATGAAATAAAATGTGTTTTTGTCGAGGGAAAAATAAACACAAATTAAAAAAACAAAAACAAAAAAAAATTCTCAAATCTAAAAAAAAAAAAACTAGTCAAATTTCTAAAAGAACAAATGTGTCAAATTAGTTCCTATTTTGAATTTATAAAAAAGAAAATTACAGACGACAGCCCGTTCAAAGACAGTTTGTGTTCGAAGCCATAGCTAAGATATCAATACACAATACACCGTTCACTGGGCCACCAATCAACTGATAAGGTTATTGACAAATTGCACTGAAGTTTTTTGTCCCCTTGATGTACCCCACCAATACGGTGTAATATAACACTAAAACGTGATTTTACCGAAAATTACCGTGTTTACAACAAGGGGTACATATTATTGCAAAGAAAGAAAATGTGAGGGATAACACTGGAGGACAGCTGTACTGTGTAACATATGACCAAATGAATTTATTCTCATGTGAAGGTAAGTTTTATTTTTATTCAGTGGCTATCAGTAATATTGAGATATAGAATGTGCTAGCCAGGTCAGATGCTATTATAAAAGATAAAAGTATTGTGCCTACATCAAGGTATACCTACTTTCTAAAGCATTTTCTATGATTATTGATGCAATCGCTAAAAATATCATTAAACTACTACTAAATCGTGGTTAAGCTCTTTATCTTTTTTAAAAATTATCATTAACCATTATATGGTCAAATTGTATAATTATATATAATTGAAAAAAAAACATCGTTTAAGAATATTCTTTTAAGTATGTACGCAAATTGATAACTATAAACCTTAACATTGCAAAAACTTTGAACAGTTAATGCATGCAGCAGTTGTTAACAATAAGGTAGAAATCGATTAACACCAATGTTTATCCTTTCGATGCAACAGAATTTGCAATGGTACAGAAGTATGGGTATACCACACTATGCCTTTGAAAGACAAGACTTATTCACAATAAGTTCTTTATTTTTTTATTTGGTGACCAATTTAAGCAATACATTTAAAAGAACTCTTTGTAGATATAGCTAGGTACTTTCGTTTTTAAAAAAATATACATGTACTAAATACTAATGTGTTCGTCTACATAATTGAAAGAAATAAAAAAAAATCTATTTTCAAGAGGGACGCATTTTGCAGTTTAGAAAAGTCTAGAGTCAACATTAGGTTTCTTTTGAAATAAGGTTTTTGTAAGAGACAGAGCTACAAACCAATGTTTGAACTTTTTGCCATGCAGTGTGTGTATAAGCACTCCACGTCAATCTTCTTCTTAAATTCTGCAAGTCATGATTTGGGAACATCTTGAAACTTTTTCCACAAACGTTGTAAAACAGATTAGAATTAATGTAAACTTCTAGAGAATTTCAGATTTTACATTATTAAATGCCTCAGGTCTCTCATTATTTATTCTCAGTGAACTTTTCAAGGCTATAAATAGATATGCGAGACGTGAAGGGTATCTGTCTCTTCTATTGTTTGCACCTTTACCCGCATAAATTCCTGCTTTATGGGCAACAAAAGGCAACATTTCAGTGTTGTGAATTTTTGTGTCAATAGTTCTGAAGGGCACATTATAAGGGATTATTACATTTGAAGACATAACTATTTATATATTTTTCTGATCCCTGGAGTTTAGTAATACAATTTGTAAGGTGTTTTTTTTTCATAATATTTAGCTCTACTCAGTGTAGTGATGATTAAAATATATTATAGTGACATGCTTCTATTTATAAAACACAAAAGGAAATAAGTTGGAACACTATGAATAAATCTGACACTCGTTTCTTGCCAGAGGAATAGAATTGATTGTTTTCAAAGAGGTTCTTTCGGGGATACTGCTAGATAAAGCCAGCCATAAAAATGCGAGATATACGTTTGCCCTGTATAAATAGAATTTTTTTTAAATATGAAGATAACGAACAGTAAAAATGCTGAGAAATCAATCTAAACAAAACAAATCAGGAGCAGAGAAATTTACACAGGCCTCTTAAAATATCAGAGAGGGATCAGGCGCCATGATAAAGTAGACATCCCCTGTCGACCGGTCTCATCCGCCGTTATGTTCCTTCTCATGACGAAAAAGGGGAATATCCGTATAATTTAGTGTGTATTGAAATAAATGGAGATTGTAAAAAGTATTCAAACTCAAAAGTCATTTCAAACAATACAAATTAGGGGCAGAGCAAACATGGACCTCATAAAGATCAGAGGTGGGATCAGGTGCCATTGAGAAGTGAGCATTCACACCTGTCATGTTTTACAATAAGTGTGAAAAAAACCCATCAGTAAGTATTCATCTAAATGAAATTTTGTATGACAAGGTCATAGTGTCGAACATAAATCTGGCAAAATTATAACATTAAAGAAAAATGTTAATTTTCTCGTTTTATCAACTTGTTTGTCAAAAGCATGCCTGTTTTAGAAATTGTTCTTAAGTAGAGCATGCTCTTGCATATCTTATAATCTGGGAGACATAAACCCCATTTTAGGTGATAAAGGTGTATTGCTATACATAGAGGAATTGACGATAGAAAAGTTAGTCATAACGTTTATCATAAAGCTTTTTGTTAGATTACTATTATCGACTTTTTTTTAGTAAAATATCGAAATATGAAACAGATATATCAGTTTCTGCTAAACGCATCATTTGCAGTCTAGAAACCCACATTCTCTTATTCTCAATGAAACATACCATGTCATGAATAAGTTGAAAGGCAGAGAAATTGCAGTGACGTCTCCATTCTGTTTTCATTGACTACAATTATACTCCGTTCAAATTATTTCAGAGACATGCATTTCATTGCATTATGTGTAGAAATTATTGTAAATGTCCGTTTCGAGGTAAATAAAAGTAGCAACTGTCGCATTTTACTTCAAACTAGAGGTACTGTGAGCGATGAGCTCACTAAATGATACCCCCCGCCTCCCATATGTTTATAACTGGTGAAAAAGTCCATGTTTTCCTGTGGCCGGGAAACCCTAAATATGTGTCGGATCAAAAAGTAAAATAGGAGTTGCACAATGGCAATATGTAATAAAGATTCAGTGAAAGTTGCATCAAATTTCATTCAGTGGTATATTTAAAAACGTACAGACGGACGGAATTAACGTTTTGCAAATATTAAACAGGTTTTTAAAAATAGCAATGTTTTGCAAATGACATTGATACCTCATTCCTTTTCATGTAACTAAACTAAATGTTTTACTCATTTGCCGAAATTCTTTAATCTGCAACCCACATCAATGGATAATCTGTCTGTTTTTTTCTTTAAGGGTACCCGAAAAATGATTGAAATATTGCCGACTTAGCGTTTAACAATAATATTCAATCAGTCTACATGCATAAGGGTACACAGCTTGAAATAGATTTCTATTACTGGTATTTAAACGGTCCAATCATATTTTGTCTCATTTACATGGATTTGGATGTTTTAAAATTTATGAAAAGAATTTAAAAAGTACATGTAAATACACTCAGTGGAAAGCTTTATAACCGATCTCACCAGTCTTTTATGAGGGGTTTTGCTGTATTATTTGAAACATTAGACGACCTGCGGTAAACTATTCAGATATTCAAGGTCATACCGGCTCGTTTTGTAGGGTACTCTTCATCGCACCGAAGTATTAAAAAAAACAAACATTTAAAATCTTTTGATAACTACACTTAAATAATATTCTGTTTCAATTTCTTAAATAGAAGAGGCCTGATTGAGGGACAATATTAAATTTTTTATTTCGTAAATGTAACTATAACAATGCTATTATCATAAGTTTATCACTATTCTTTTGATTTGATTTTTCTATTTGTGACATGAATGTAGAAAATAATATGTTTATTGAATTATGTTTTGAAATTAATTATAATTACCATTATTTAATTTTTGCTATCATTTCTAATGTTTCCATTTAAACAACCATCTTTTTCTAAATTTGTTTTTGTTTGCACTTACTATTTAAGACGTTCTATTGCTTTCAGGAAGAAATATTCCTCATTTCTTCATCTTTAGCATAACAGACAACAAACAGGAACAAGATGTCGACTCCAGAGAAGATGTACGGTGACGATTTAGCGGTTCTCAGCGACCTAACGGAGGAAGCTCTGCTTCAGGAGCTCAAACGGCGATACGAAAGAAATGTCATTTATGTAAGAAATATGTCAATTGTAGATTTTTTAATGAGATATTTAGAAGGTATTGTTGATTTTTGTTAGTTATGTTTATAGGAACAAACATACTTGTGTTGCATAACAATCTGCATGTTTGAAATTAAAACAAATTACAAATAATAATAATAATAATAATAAAGAAACACACAATTACACCGTCAAAAATCAAATACAACCAACTGAAAAAGAATAAAATCAGTATTGTTTGTTTCGAAGGCTTTGCTTAAAATTATTTAGTATATACAGTGTACATAGAACACGTCTTGCATTTTATATTGCTGTCTTATATGTGATATATGATCAATCAAATGAAGCACACACACATCTGTGTACCCTATCTGAAGGAGGGAATTTAAAACGCTATATACTTAGTATTAAGTGCACTTTTCGATTATTCACTAGAACCTATATTTCGCTTTTATGAACTTCGTTGAAACCTACCTTTGGAAATCAATCTAAATGTAAGCATGCACTTATATTACATGTGTGTGCATAAAAGAATGAAATAAAATATTTCAGTACATCAAAAGACAAAGATTAAAAAAAATAAAATTATGGTTTTAAATAAATCATAAATTTGAATATCTTAAACCTTTCAAATAACAAGGTTTCTTCTTGTTTTAAAAATTACCTGCAATCTATAGTGTTGGAATCCAAATGATTCTTGACAAAAAGATAACATCTATATTGTGATATCATCAAAAATATTTCCACATGATTTTTACTTTTCAAAATGATAAGTGTGCGATAAAAAGTACAAAAGAACTAAGAAGTATACGAAATAAATTCTAAATAAATGACATATGTAAGAGGCTTAAAAAATGAAAAAAATATTTATAATCATTAATTTTTAATTATAATGCATTCGTTATTAAAAATTCACTTTAAAATGAATTGAAAAACCCACCTCTGATGTTTCCAGTTGCTTTGTTTCCCCAGTCCAGGATAATTTGTTTTTTTTTTACTAAATTTATGAGATTGTTCACTAATGTTCATTATCTTCAACCTTTAGGTTAAATGTCGAAATCCACGTAACATCAACTTATCTTTAGCAGCCTGTTTTGTTTTAATAATTGATTGTCCTAGGAGCATACAAGAAAATAAAAAGAAAAGGTTACATGCACATTATTTACATCAAAATATAGTTGGACTTCTTTAAAAATATATATCATATCATAAATCAAATTGTATCAATGTCATTGCTTTATATTTTAGACATATCTGGGAGACATTTTAGTGGCCATCAATCCCAACAGAATGATTCCCATTTATGGACAGGAGGTAATGCTGATTAATATGATATGTCGCTGTACATAGTTTTTCATATTTCTTACTTTTTTACTGTGTATATTTCTATTTGTATTTGATGCATCGCCATTAAGTGTTTTGATAATATATGAAACTTCTTTTTTGTAAATTACTAGTAATCTGATTATTTTAATGCTTTTCAAATGTATCTTAAAATTACATGTATCTGTCTGTTACAATACAAATCAACTCATTTTCATCAATAGGTCGGGATTAGATATTCTAAAGCAAAGCAACTCCAGGATTTACCTCCTCACATATATGCTATTGCCAGCAAATCTTACCGAAATTTGATATGGGGGAGGGTTAACCAGGCTATCCTCGTCAGCGGTGAATCAGGAGCAGGTATTACTACACCTACCGGTATATCTGTAAAAGAAGAAAATTATTTTAAAAATATTGAAGTCCAGTCGAGGAACAGCAGAAAATTTATGTATGTTATGATTTGGAATCCCCAACTCTACAGTAAAGCTTCGAGAACTAATAAATACTCATGAAAATGCTAGTTGTTCTCTTCTTCAGGTAAAACTGAAAGCACAAAAATGATATTAGCACAAATCGCTAGAATGTCAAAATCAGAAGAGCCTACTAAACTTGCAGAACAGATTGTTGAGGTAAAACTTATTTCTAATATTTTTTTTCAAAACAATTAATATAACAATATTATTAAATAATGATAATAATATCTATTTCTGGAAACTATTTAAAAGGTAAACCCGTTGCTGGAAGCATTTGGAAATGCTAAAACAACCATGAATGACAACTCCAGCAGATTTGGAAAGCTGATAGACGTTATGTTTAACAAGCATGGCAAAATAATTGGAGGTTTGCTATCTTACTGTTTTTCTTCATTTTCGTTTATGATAACGTAAATTTTAGTGAAATAAACTTCCTTTTTTTATAGCAAAGGTGACGGAGCACATGTTAGAGAAAAGTCGCGTGGTACACAGTGGTTTGGGAGAGAGATCATTCCATATATTCTACTACATGTTTGCCGGTCTGTCTGAGAATGAATTCAATCGTTACTATCTAACTCGCCCTGAACATTACAGGTACATGTTCTGTAAATTGTAATTTAAATCAACAGCGAAGAGTTGTACATTTTAATAAGAAAATCTAAACTGTATTGAAGTTACTAGTAATTTTGTCGAGTTAGGCTGATATTACACTTATGTCGATGTCTATTTTGATAAGGATAACGGATCCAGGACATGCACAGCCTGTCTTTATGTCCCAGACAGATTTTGACCATCATCGGAGTGGATTTGAGGAGTTAAAAGAAGCTTTGAATGACACAGGATTCTCACAGGTAGGAAAAACAAGCATTCTGCAATACTTTTGTGGTGTAAAGATATCAGCACATCACCATTCTAGTTGATTTCTGTAATCCTGATTGAAACTTCTATTTTACTTGTTTTTTTCAGATTGTAGACTTGATTTTTGCAATGATGGCAGGTATTCTTCATTTGAACAACATCGACTTTGCTGCAGATCCAGAACTTCAGCAGGTCATAATAGTTAATGAGGATGAAGTTGATTACAGTAAGTCTTAAACCAGCTCCTGATATTCAAACAAATGATATTGCATTTAGTTGTCAATTGAATTGTCAATATTTGCCTTTAAGGTAGCCGCTTACTCTCCCTTCAAGCAGAGGATTTAGCAACAGTTCTGCTGATGACAACCAGTTTTCAACGAGGTAAAATGAGAAATACAATTTGAATTCAAAACACATTCTGATTTATCAATAAAATTTGAAAACAAATCCCATACCCTTATAGGCGAAAGAATCATCAAGATGAAGTCTGTTTCCGAAGCTTCAGATGGTAGGGATGCTCTTTGCAAGGCCCTGTACAGTCGGCTTTTTAGTTGGATTGTTCAAAAGATTAATGATGCTCTCCACGCTGAAGAAAATGGTCAAAGGTAATTAATTTCATCAGAATATTAATGGCTAAGCATTTTTTAAATGAAAAAGCTAAATACATGGCATAAACCTTGGCATAAATGATATTTTCAAGCCATTGGCAAATTTCACAATCATATACCTTTATGAAAGATGTAATATGTGGAGATTAAATCCTTATTTTCTACAGGCCAGCAGATGCTGGGGTGATTAGTATTTTGGACATGGCTGGCTTTGAAAATTTCCAGTTGAACAGTTTTGAGCAGCTATGTATAAACAGTGCAAATGAACAGCTTCAGAGCTATTTTAACACGTATATATTCTCCTGGGAGCTACAAGAGTATCATTTGGAAGGCATTAAGCAACCAAAAATCAAGTTCACAAACAATAAGGAGATTCTTGGACTTTTCTTTGACGTGAGTTTCTACAGTCAGAAATAAGCAAATAACGACTACATATTGAGCAATTATAGATATTATTGTTAATGCTTTACAATTCTTTCTTTTACTTCAATATATTTTTTAAATAATCTTTTGATTTTTTTCTGATGACATGAGCAGTGAAAACATAAGATGCCTACAATTCTTACAGAGACCTGCTGGGGTGTTTGCTATACTTGAAGATGAATGTAGATTACACACATCATCTGAAATGTCATTCGTAGAAAAGATGAACCGAGAATTTGCAAAACGCGACGTCTATCAAAAATCCAAATCAAGTGATCCTATATTTACAATCACTCATTATGCAGGCCAGGTATTTTTACAGATTGGTCAATCATATGTTTTTTTCAAAGTCTAGTCGCTCGTGAAAATCTAAATTAACAAAATATAACCAACTCATTTGATTCAAAGGTTACTTACCACGCACGTGGATTCATTGAGAAAAACAGGGAAACACTGGGTGTAAATTTCTTAAGCCTGATGCAGAACAGTCATAATTGGTTAATAAACGATCTTTTTATTGATCGACCACAGAGAGAAACAAGGTAACATACATTCACGAATGAATTATTTCATCACTTCAATTATTCAAATACTTAATTATAAAAAAAGGTCCTCATCCTCAGAAGTTAGTGTATGCAACTTCGTTAAATTTTGTCCAAATTCAACAAAACTATATTTATGTCAACTAAACGATAAAAAAAACCCTATTGTTTATTTACAATCAGGGATATTGATAAACGGAACAGTGCGTGGACTGTTCCTGAATGGGGTAAACCAAACATGCCTACTCTAGGACCAGGGGAAACCCTCTCCAAACGAGCAGGAAAACGAATCAAACAAGGGTAAAAATTTGATTCAAACATACTTACTTAAACTGCTTTATTATTTTTGAATAAGACTTCTAATTATACTCACCCGTAAACGTACATATTTCAATCCAATCAAAATTACTATTGTGACCAAAGTCACTAATATGTACATGTATTATAAAGGAGAATCCGTAAGCAAGTTTTCATATATTAGGAATTATATATAAAAAGAGATTTAGGAAAATGTATATTTTAGATAGCTGAAGTAAAATAATCATACATTTTGTTTAGTTTTGTGAAAGATTTAAGTTTTAGAAAGAAAGATGTTTATACGATTGTGAGTCATGAACATTAGAATACAATTTTATTAATTCACAAAGACTATTTCAGTAATAAAAATTAGCAGAAAATAGTAACATTATCTTTATACTTACCTTTTCTTACTTCCGAATGAAGAATGAATAAAGATCGCCCTTTACCAGCTATTCCTTCTGTCTCCGGTGCCACAACTAGTGTTCATTTCAAGGTAAGCGAAATAAGCATTCTGTAGCTATTGATGATTTTTTATTATTTCATTTTATTATTTTCTAATTAATTTATGAAATTTTATTAAATCATTGTATTTTTCATTTTATATAAATATAAAATAAACAATATATTTGGCCTTTATAGAAATCTTTATCGTCCCTGATGGAGAACCTTGCGTCTTCTGAGCCTCAATTTATACGGTAAGTCCCAGTACTAAACCATATACAAAACATACAATGGTATCCAGTTCTCTTATATTAATATGCTGTGTATTAAAAATATTCTTTTTAACTTGTAGATGTATTAGGGCTAATTCTGAGAAGCAGTTTGGCTTCTTCGACTCCAAACTTGTTCATAAACAACTTCGCAATACAGGTGTGTTTGAGACAATAAGAATACGAAAACTTGGTTTCCCAACACGTTTACATATGCAGGACTTCATTAATAGGTAAGCATTTTGCAGGATTCATTAAAGGGTAATTGCAAGTAAAAAATCAACTTTCAATGCTCATATTAAATTCATAAGAGCTGCTACATGTTTAATTTCATTTTTCACAAGGTAAAATAGTTTTCCTGGCTGTTTTAACGAGCCATACAAAAGTTTTTTTTTCTAAAATCATTTCAAATATATCTTACTGCATTGCATTGTAGATATAAAGCAATAGCCTTCCCGGTGACTGAACCTGTTGAGACAAACGCAGCTAACTGTGATAGAATTCTAAGAAAAGCACAACTCTACGATTGTGAAATTGGGAAAACTAAAGTAAAGTCCAAACTTGAAATAGTCACGTTTGCATTGTTTAGATGGACTTATGAGCTTGTAAACTGTTCATTATTTCCATTTATATCACTGATTCTCATTTCATATCTAAACAATACTGCAGTAAAATTAAATAATTACAATATTTCCTTTGTATCTAGGTCTTCCTCAGATACTGGCATGTAGATCATCTTAACATGTATATGGAAAATTTTGTTTCAAATCTTCGTACCATACAATCAAGAATTCGAATGTTTATTGCCCGAAAACAGTTTATTGACATGATGCAATATATAACATATTGCAAAGATGAAGTGTTTAAAATAGGGAATATGGTGGCTACTTCTGGCGATCAGCTTTATCATATTATGATTTCCACGGATGATTTAGACAAGAACCACTATCGGAAGAGGGTAGGATTATTTTTTTTTGAAAAAAGGAATGATTTTATTACAAATGTATTATTAACATTATATGATAACAACAAAGGCAAGACTTGAATTACAGTAAATTGGTTGAAAATATTACTAAACTTCACCATTGCGTTATTTATCTAAAGGAAATCAAAGTTTGGATAAATTTAGATCAATATAGATTATAAAGTATGATTTGTAGAGACCTCTCACAGAAAATTTTACTTTCAAATATTTTTGAAGAGTATAATTTTTGTGATTTAAAAAAACAAAAAACAAAAAACAAAAAACAAAAAAAAAAAACGCATTGTCAGTCGTAAAATAAAAGAAATTTATTGCACGTATCAAATAAATATATCAATTTGGAAAAGTCATTGTATTTTTTGTTTAAAAAATTGGCTGCAACATAAATTTGTCTTGGGGAGACTATGCAAGCTAGCCAATTCCTCTCCAATTTCATCATATCTTTTGTTTTTTTGAAAGATTTATCTCTATAATATAAATAAATAATTCTACATTTTGTAATTATTGATGTTTATTGTGCTCAAAACTACTTGTGATATTCAAGCATGCTAATAATTAATTAGTTGGAAGAGGAAGAAAACAAAAGACGGAGACAGAGACAGTCACAGTTTGGAAGGAGAGGACTACCCAGACAACCACAGCAGGACCTCTATGACAGACCGGATTATTACACTATGGGGGAAAGTTATTACAACTATCATGGGCAGTCGGAATATCAACAAAGGTAGGACAAATTAATATTAAAATGTTATGAATAGGAAAAGCAAAATTCAAAAGCATAATTCAAAAAGTTTTTTTTCGCACAAAATAATTAAAATACATGTTTTAATTTTGTGAAACTGTCAAAATATTTTCTTTCATTTTTATAGAGAAGAGAAAGTTTGTATAGAGGATTTCTAATACATCTCTGTATAATTGTATAAACAGATGAAATTCAGCTCTGTTTCGTAACAGATGACGTTTATAATTTCAGCTTGCGATATGAGCCACAAGTTAGAAGACGCCCTTTATCCCATATAGCTGAGGTCAGTACAAGTTTTCAACGAGAATCTTCAAACCCTTGCTCTTCCTATTTGAAATACACTATATGAAATTTCAGAAATTATCAGTAAGAAAATATCCCTTGACATAAAGAAGGAGATAACCAGATGAAAATCAGAAAAGAAAAGTTTATAATCGTTTTGTATTGTTGGCATAAACACTGTTTATCGTTCTTTTTAAAATCAAGAAATAATATTTCACAATTATATTACGCGTATTTCAATGTGACAGATAGGGATCCAAAATCTTGATAGAAAGATATATTCAATTCCAGAAAAAAATCTGTACTTCCGTCGATAAAACGATGCAATACGATAAGAAGCCATTTTCAAAAAAAAAAAATTGACATAAGTTGAAGAGAAAACTTAACTACTAGCAATTTTTTTAATAAAGCTTTATTTGAACAGGAAACTAACGTGAACTTTTGTCAAACAAGGCTTTGTGCTTATACATCCTGTTATTATATCATGTGTCTCTGATCAGGTAAAATGTACACTGAAAATAAAAATTCTGCGGTAGTCAATTACTGGGGTATTGATTTCTAGTATAGAGTGTACAATACACAGTGTATATATAAGATTATCATTAGACCTCTTTGTGGAGACAGGTGACAGTTGTTGTCCTGTAATTATGGAGTACAAAATAGTCCAGGTTTGATACACTTCATTTGTTTATGATGTAAAATAATTGATACTTGTTAGGGCAAAAAAGAAATATTTGTTAATGGATTCTCATAGCTCAGAGAATATTATAAATACAGTATTACTTTAAAACAAATATATAAACTTTAAGAAAATGAAATATTTTGGTAGAAGAAGGAGTGTAATTGATTTAATTTTAGATATGTGTGATTAATGATTTTCTTATAATTTTTACAAGTAGTTTAGAACGTTTGATTACTTGACTCTTTTGGGAAATACTTTATATATGTTTTTGTCATTCTACAAATCTTGTAGGAATCCTTAAGTCATCTGTATAAGAAATGGCATAGCGTTGATCCCGATGCTTGGTGTAAAATCATTTACTTAGAAAGAGACAAAATAGTTCAGAAGTTTTATATCTTAGAGAGAGAGGTCACAATTGATGGCAGACCTGGGTCCGAATTTGATGGAGAACGGTAGGAAGTACACATTTATTACAGTTTAAATACTGTACTATACTAAATAATAAATAGTATAGGGACACCGACATTCAGGAATAAGAGTCCAATCTCCCTCTTCATTAAAAAAAAATGCATATATCATTTAACATTGTTCATTTCATAATATTATAAAAGGTAGAAATGTTTCTAAATAATTTGATTAAATTACAATGGTTATAAAAATCGTCTTTTTTAATCTAAATAATTTGATTAAATTACAATGGATATAAAAAATCGTCTTTTTAAATCTTTCATTCATACCTTTATAGTGCAGAATCTGTTTAAAGAACAAAGTTAAGCTACACAAGTGTCTTTCATATCACTAAGTATGCTGGAAAAGGCAAATTCAAATAAATTAAACAAGGAAATGGCATCCACCGTAGAATTTTCAAACGCGAATTAAAGATATCCTTGGATCATCAACTTGTTTGTCAGTAACATGCATCATTTTAGATATCATTTATACTAAGAACATGTTGTCTCGTACTAGTATTTGACGGTATCAGGAATGCCGGGGGTTGTGTTTTATGCCCTGTTTACAGATTTGAATTGTTTGTGGATTATTTAGATAAAAAACTGTTCGTTAAATACGGATCCTTCCTTAAGTCCAATCTGAAAAATGATAACATAAAAGACATCAAACAAAAACTTTTTAAAAAAATCTTTTTCGCTTTCTTTTTTTATTGAAAGCAGAAAAATTTAACTTAATCCTTAAGTTTAAATGTATGATTTCATAGTCTTGCTCTTTGTTATAATTACGGCTAAAAATCAAACAAACATTTTTTTTTCAATTAGATAATACTAGTTTAAATCATTAAATGAAAAATTTGATAGAATTTTTCTGCATACTGTTGTACCAGAAATTTAATTACAAATTATGAAATTTTAAAATCAATCATCCATTTTAAGAATAAGCCTGTCCTACATCCGTAATGTCGACCGAGATGACGAAACGGCTAGCATTTTGTCTTACGTCGGACAGGTAAGAGTCAGTTACCTTATACTTAATATTTAGTTTCTGACCTGACTGCTAGAAAGAGGTCTTTGATATTGATCTAGGATATTTCTTGATGATCACAGACTAAAATTAGAAAAAAGAAAGAATATAAAATGTATCTTTGCTTAAATTATATTCTATCAGATACTACTAAGCTTTAATACCATGTTCAGAATTGAAACAACTCATAAAAAGATATCTTCCGCAATTAATCTTTTTTCTTCTATTTTCTGTAGGATATTGACATTCCCTTTATCATAATTATGAATTTATCTCTATTTTTTTTCTTCTTAAAAATGCTTATCATTACAGACCTCACAATTATTGCATTAAGGAATTAAGTTTAATTAAAAAAGATGACACGATGTTCGTTTTAGGGGGTCAAACTCCGAAAGGATATGGACGGTAGTATAACGGCCACACGTCTCGGCAAAAACCCGGTTATTGTTAGGGATCATGACAACCCCGCGGAACACTGTTTCTCCCTAGAAGTCCTGAACCACGAGGGGAGACTACCACTCCATGTTCCGGTCAAGGTACACAAAATAATATCAATTGATGTATTTTTAAAATAATACAATGTCATTGCATAAATTATTACATACTACAGATAAAAATTTTTAAAAAAAATTGATGAGTCTTAATTTGATGTTAAAATAAATGAATTCATTTCATACCTAGTGACCTTCATTAGAATTACTATTGTAGCATTGTTGTATTTTGTTCATCCTACCTTTTTGTTTATTTTTACAGATATTTGACATGGAAGAATTTAAATGTCAAATGGGAATCCAAATACAGCTAAATGACAGGAATCCAGATGAAAGAGTTCTGCGTTATCAAAGTGTCACGTGTTTAAGTTTGGTCAAGGACGAGAAAGAGGCGGGAGAAACGCCATGTTGGCTGCTTATTATAAATCTGTGTGCTCTGAGGGCCATTAATGACAACACTGGTCAGTGATATGAGGGTTTCCTTTCCGAAAACATATATAATCTAAAATGGTAGAACAGAGTAAAATGAAAAAAAAATTCTAAGGCTCCGAATGGGAAATATGATAAGGAGTTCAAATATAATCAATTTTAATACAACACATTTCCCTAAAAAGGATATTTGACATAAACTACTAAAAATGTAATGTAGAAATTAGTTTACGAATAAATCTCTTTGTACATTTATAAACCATGCAGTGGCAATTTTATATTTATCGTATAAAATTATATTCATAGTTAGAACTCACGTAGAACAAAGGCTGGTTGAATTGGCAAACAGAACTGAAGAAGAGCAGGAACTAGAATTAGAGAAGCAAGAAAAGAACACAGAACTGGCTGCAAGGGTAAATAAAGCGAAAAAATTCTTAGGAACCTAAATTGTATGAATTGAAATATTTTTTTATTGCCCTTTAAAATGATTTTAATTTCACAGAATGGAGCCTCTGAAAAAAACCCATAAAAAATTGGAATACTGAATAATGATGCTATAGTCATTAAAAATAGTTTTGATGGTGGCATCAACTATTTGAACAGAATTGAGTTTAACGATGAAATCGTTTCTAATTTTAGAACAGACAGAGACAGTGGTCCAAATTGAACCCCAGACAAGGAATACAGAGTTCTGAAGCACCGTTAAGGAAAACTAAAATAGATCTTCTGAAAAGAGGAAAAACTGTTGGTGGAAATCTTAGTTACAGCTGGGAAATTGACGCTCAAAGTAGAAAAAATTTCTTTGTTTTATTTATTAGTCTTTGAATTTTAATATTTTAACTTTTTCAATGATATGAATTGTTTGAGAAAAAATGTAATTTTTTGTGCTGTTATTTTTTTATTAGATTCCCAAAAACATAGGATAAATTTAGAAGATGTGCATCAACGTTATGAGGAACCCGGGTCTCAGATAGGGGGTTTACAAGGTTCTAGTAAGTAATATATTAGATGAATAAAGTACACAGTAGAATACAAGTATATTCTTATGTGAATACAGTTCACACGGGAATAACCCGATGTTAATGATAAAATTAAGTGTTATACAATCTAATTTAATTGTATGCTGATTTCGTCAGGAATGGGCCCCGGAAGTGTTCTCAGCAGTATAATGTACCCAGGCTCCGGAAGTTCTGTCAGGAGAGATTGGGCAAAGGTCAAGGTCGCAATAAAACAAGAAAGAAGGCTGGATGAAGAACAGCTGGAAGAACTGGCTGAAGAAGAGGAATTATAACGACTCATGTCATTGGAATCTGTCTTCCAGTTAGACTTAAGGACTTTAATAGATGAAAATTTGTTAACCAATGGTTTGTAAATGAACTTGGCTATAATGTTATGACAAGCTATATTCTCACCTGATTTCCTATTTGCAGAAGTATTTAAGAATATACAATATGATATGGGTAAATTGATATGACATAATATATTACTAAAATTTCAAATAGTTCAAATATAATTAAAGCCTACATTAGATTTTAAAAAGATTTGTATTAGTATGCAGTGATGTCTCACAGAAGTATAATAATCAAAAGAGAGGAATTATAATATTTTATCATCACATTATAGAATGATTGTAGGATAATTTACCAGGAAGACTTTATAATCGTCCGAGGTTAACTTTTGACCTCGTCCTATGAATACTAGTATTTATAACGTAATTTTAATTTTATCATTTTTGCTATAAGTGTAGTAGAAATAACACATCGTCATAATATTTTGACAGTAATACCAAGTTACATATCATTACACTATTTTCTGTGTAGAAATGTAGATACACGGTTTCTCTGTCAATTCGTGTTGTTTACATGCATGTAGTGGCATAGACCATAACGAGTTGCAATTGGGAGTTCGTTGTAGTTTCTTTCTGATTGTATACAATCATACATCTTTCTTTGGAATGAAGGAAGGTGTGTTTACATTAAAAAAAACTATTAACCTTTCATTTCATGCATTATGTATGTTTTACCAGTAAGTATTATGTCTCAGATGGCCTTATATTTTTGTTCATGTCTTGCCACGAAGAAAGAATTCCATTATTGTCTAGAGCAAAACCCAATAAAGATTCTTGTGATATTACACAATAGGAATCTTTAATTCAATGAACCAGTCAACAAATATCAAATTGCAAATAAAACTTCATGTATACAAGTATATCTTACACATTTTGAAAAGAATGTCACGTGTATATTGTCTTAAATGAGATCTGTTGCAATAAATTTAATTTTAAAATAAATGTTTTTTTATATATAATAACCACCAAAATGAAAGATATACAGTGTACAATACACAAATTATCAAATTAATATCTATTTTTGAATCAAAAAGTGCAGAAAATATTTTGATAGAGGAGAAATTGTTGTTAAACAATTGTTGTTCTTATTTGAAAAAAAAGCCCTTGTTATCTAAATTATTAATTTGTCTTGGGTGATTCGATAGCATGGAGACGCTGCTTCATATCAACAAAGGAAAACAGAAAATTGTATCAATAACAGAACTATGGTGAATTGTCATTACTATACATTTTATTTAAACAAAAATTATAGCTCTCTCGGTCTTACATCATGCTTTCACGTTATTTTAAATGCTAATTAAGTTCTTGCTTTCCAACAATACATTGAAGCCTTGTAAAAACTGGAAAATGCTAAAAATTCATGTAACTCCACTTCATTCATTAAAGCTCACTGAAGCCATTTTTTTCTAAATCTTTCTATCGTTGTCGAACTCCGAAAAAACTGAGAACCATCCCTTTCATGTTACATGTAAAACTCTTCTTCTGTTGCTCTGGCTTATCTGTCTGTAAAGAAAACAAAGATACTTATGTATCTATTGCATATGGGCAATACTCATCAAAAACCTTATTGAAAAAAGAATATATGGAGTACCTTCTTGGATGGCATCAAGGGTGCTTTTGAAGCAGATTTTTTCTCTGTCTTTGTCCTTTTCTGCTTATGTGCATCTCTTTGAACAGCACGATTTCTCGGCCCCTATAAAAGACAGATAATAAAATTATTATTCCTAGACTTTTTTCTAATCACCTTGATACCAATTTTTGTTGTAATTTATCGGATTAAACAATTCCTTATGATTCTGATTTAAAACAACAAATACCCACTACGTGTACCTGAGCAGGAGATGCCTTTGCCTCTTTGAAGGTGTCGACTTGGAAGAAAAACAATTTCCGTGGGACAAAACAATCATCGTCCTCGCTATCCTCGAGTTCTTTCTCTATCCGGAGTAGTTTGTCCATTGTTATGTTCCAGTCCCTATCGCGCCTCAATAACTCGGGTCTCTGGCTTGTGACACACCATGAAAAATCCACCTTCCGATCTCGCGAGATAGTCTTATTTCCATCCAGAAATTGTAGGAAATCTTGGTATGATTCGTTCCTCTCTCTTGAGGCATTCTGGTTGTAATGAAATTTATACATTTATTTTTAGGTGTTATTAAAATTTCATGGTATAACAGAAGCAAACCACATTTGTCATTGTAAATTCAAACAGCGCCATTTATATACATGTAAGAGAAAGAGTAGAAGTATTTAGGTGGTATTATATATTCGTTATACAGAAAGACAACATGGATTTAGTGGACATTGAATTACCTGGATATATAACATAAAGACAGATTATATTTACATGTATATTCATAGCTTTGTTATAAAAAAAAAGTGATAATGAATTATACAAATGAATTTACAACATACCAGTAACTGGTCATGAACCCTGCCCATTAGATTCCTTTTCCTTTCGATCATGCCAGCTTCAAATTCTCTAGTCTGAAAATATACATGTATATATATATATAAAATGAATGAAATTCAAATTTGTTTCTTCTCCAACTGTTTTTAAATTAAACATTTAAAAAAAATTTTAATTAAAATATAAATAAACTTAAATTACCCATGTCACAGTGTCGGGGAAATGTCTGTCCCTTGAGATTTTTCTCCCAGAACCCCTCCGTGTGATTTTTGTGAGGTATTTCGAGTGACTCTTTAAACAGAAGTAATTTTTAAATACAAAATATGTTCAATACGCAAAGAACGCATAATTGTTGTCAAATTGATGGTTGTCATAAAGTGTGAATACAATAAAGTACGTTAAAAGAAAATAATTTAAAAAAAAAAATAATTATATATAATCTAAAAATAATAAATAAGTAAATAGCTATACCTCACAAGTCTTTAGTCGATTTTTTGCCTTCTTGTTTCCTTTCTACAATAACAAAACAAATATATGAATCGTATATATATCAAATCAATACACCATGTCTTTAAATTTTGCAAATGAGATTGTTTAGGAAAACTTATGTGAAATGCATTATAAATAAAGATGATATATACCTTTGGTGTTGAATTTTCAGCAACAGGATCAATGCCATATTGTCGACAGAATGAATGGTAATACTCATCACACAATGCAGGAAACACCTAAAAAGTTATAAAACAACTCTCATTTAAGATTTGTACATGGTCAAAAATTACCGCCAAACTTTATAATTTAATGTTAGTTAGTTTTTTTTAATATTCAAAGTTGAAATTAAAGATGATTATTTCTAGTTACCTTATCGTCCTCTTCTTTTTTGACTTTGTCAGAATAGGAATTACGACAAGTTGCCATTTCTTCCTTCGTTCAAGTTTACTGTTCTAATTTAACATTAATCTGAAATTTAAAAAAAAAAACTGATATAATGTGTCAATCCTTTGAATGCTATATATTTAATTTTAAGAAACTATTTTTATTTTTAATCTTGAAAAAGTGTGTAAAATAAATGCTTACCTTCGAGGACCATAATCCGTAACCTATGCTACGAGTAACAATCGAAAACAATTTATTCGAATAACTTCATTACAAGAAAAATTATTTTTTTTTGTCAAAGCCTTTAAGGAACCTATATGTGAACAAAATAAAGTATGAAGTGAAGAGTGCAAAAATTCTCTTAAAACGCTATAAATAATTAATGGCACTGATACCCATGCGGAAGTTTGACGTAACAATTGAATAACATATCGGAATTTTCTTTTCTGTTGAATCCGTCTTAGGTTTTGTCATTTACACAATCTTTATACAAATTAAACCTCCACTTTCGAAAGAGTTCCTCGCCCTTCAGACAGGTAGAAAATTGGCATAAATATTTGCATGCTTATCTATTTAGTACATACTCTGTGACATCTACCTATGGGTAGCTCTTCTTATAAAATATGTTTTCATATGTTCCGTAAAATGTAAAAATGGAAAGTCAGCCAAGAGAAAACTGTAAGAACGACATGACATTGTATGACCATAATCATGATAATGATTGTACTGTTGAGTGTTGTACAGTTGTAGAGTCCCGTTAGCTGATAAGTCTTTTGACAAGTTTGTCAAGTGCAAAGCGTAAACTATTAAATTGTAGATGATATGTGATTTTCATAAAAATATATTTAAATGAATGAAGCTTTGCATATGAAACAATAATTATTTTAACTATTTTGTCTATTTTTATTCTTAGTTAATTTACCATGTTAACTTTTAGGTTCAAGAAGTAAAATTTCGAACGGAGATATGCTGATCAGAAGGTACATATTTCTTGTAACTTAAGTCTTTTAGTAAAAAAAAAAGTGGAAAGTTAATTGTTTTCATTTTAAACTCGTTTAAGTTAAAAATAATTCAAACAATACTGTAAAATCACATATTTTTGTTGGGTCAGTTTTTCATGGTTTGGGAAAAAACTCTTGGTTCGTGAGAATTTAAATTCATGGATGAAGAATTGTTGAGTAGTTAAGTATGTAACATTTTACATTTCATGATGGACATGAATTCGTTGGTCTCTTCATACCTCGAAAATAACAAAAATTAAACCCCCACGAAAATTTGTGATTTCTCAGTATATACATGTATCTGCTGATAATTTCTTACTAATGTAAATCTATTTTATTGTCTAGAAGTCTTCAGAGGTTGTCTGTTGTATTCCATCATGTTGTAAGTACAGATCATCTATTTATTTACATTTGTTTATACACAGTGTTTCAATAATAATATTATTTTCATAATATATATACAATGTATACTGATTTGCAAATATATACGGCATGATATTTATGCAAAAGTACTATTTTAAAATAGTTATTCATTTTCTAATTTTTTTCTCTATAGAAAATGACAACTGCATACAACTTCAGTACATCTACACCAGATGATGTTATAGCCGAGATGATTGACACTAAAGGAGTCATCACTCTAAACAGACCCAAAGTTCTTAATTCGCTGAACCTCTCAATGATCAGAAAAATATTTCCAAAATTAACAGTAAGCTTATATTTTATCCAGATATTATATTAAGAAAATAAATGAATTAAGATTTAGAGAAACTTTTAATTTTGGTATTACTTTTTAGGTAGAGTGGGATTTCAAGATTGACCTATAAACAAATTATGTTTGATGTTTGTTGAATTTGATTCTTTTGAAATTATCTTTGTATAAATTGATACTCTGTCAATAGATATTTCAAACATGTACACACATGACAGAGTAGTATTTATTTTAAGGAATGGGAGAATGACCCACATACAACCATGGTGATTATCAAAGGATCTGGTGATAAAGCTTTTTGTGCTGGAGGGGACATTAGAGGTAAACAGAGAAGCAGTGTGTTTAAAGTAATCATGCTGCTCACTTGAATTCTTTTAACAAGATTGAACTTGGGAATGCAATACTTTTTACAAACTGGATTTCAGTGGTTCTTCAAGTCAAAAATTAGAAAATTGGACCAGATATATAAAGTTTTTAGTGTTTGAAATAAGTCTGCACCGAAAAGTCAGAGACACAAATTTTGCCGTGGTAGAATAAATTTGTTTGTATCAAGGCCTACATGTGAAGCTGGATATTTATTATTTAAATTTGCAGTAATTTCAAACTTACATCAATAATTTTTTTTTTCAAATTTACCGGATCTTTTAACTATCACAGGCTTTTTTAATTTCCACTAAAATGTCCGATTATAAAATGTCAACTAAAACATCCTTTTTATACTGTCAATCTGCTGTTAAATGTCCAACACCACATTGTCTGATTGATGTTCTTATAATCAAGTAGACTTTTTGTTTTGTAGCTGTCACAGAGGCTGGGAAAGTTGGAGACAGATTGGCCCAAGATTTTTTCCGAGAAGAATATATACTGAATAACAAAATAGGTCAGTAAAAATATATTTCTTTACATCTTTACAATTGTAATAAATTATTACAAGTGTATATATTAAATATGCAGATAATGGGAAATCCACATTTTAAAACATTCATTTTCATTTCAAGATTGAGGGAATTTAGTCACAAAAATCATTAGTTATTAAAAAGTGAAATAATGCTCTTGGTTGCTTACCAATTTCCAGTTGTATGCAAAGGATTGATAATATCTTTGTTTATAGTGCTTGTATCTAATTTATTAAATTATAAAGAAAGAGAGGATTGTTTTTAATATACAGTGAAGAAACTCGGTATGCAGAATTTGTAATACAAGTATACACCCATTTCATTTGTACAGGCACATATGAGATTCCATATATAGCATTGATTGATGGTATAACAATGGGAGGGGTAAGTAAAGCTTGGAGAAAAAAACCTACTCATTAACTCAACTAACAGAACTTGATAGATGAAATGAGCACAGTGGATTTTTGTTAAATTTGAAAGAATTTTTCATGCTATTGAAACATAATTGTAATTTTATTATTGTATTAGGTTTATTAAGCTATTATGGTTCTGGTTTTTGACAGGGTGTAGGATTATCTGTACATGGAATGTTCAGGGTGGCCACAGAAAAGACTGTATTTGCGATGCCAGAAACAGCAATAGGTAAAGAGAAATAAAGTTCATGTACAATACATGTATATGATTTTTTTAAATATCATTTCCTTACAATTTTTTAATCAATTCAACGTAAGTTGACACACCATCATTATGTCTTAATTATCAAATATCTTGTGTTGAATCTTGATATGTTGACAATATTCAGAATGGCTATTAAAATATTTGCAGAGAAATATTTGATTATTAACATAGTGAAATTAAAAACAGCACAATGTATTCCACTTCTACATGTTCTTCCTCCAGGATTGTTTCCTGATGTCGGTGGAGGTTATTTCTTACCACGACTGGGTGGAAAGCTAGGAGTTTATCTTGCTCTTAGTGGATTCAGATTAAAGGGCAGAGATGTCCTCAAGGCTGGAGTTGCCACCCATTTTGTACAGTCTAGTAAAATACCAGAACTAGAGAGTGCCTTATTAGGATTAGATAATGCACGTGCACATGATATAGGTGAAGTCCTAGAGAATTTTCAAAATATGGTGAGTACCTATACCATTTTCCACTTTTACAATTTTATTCACATAGAAAAATGAAGAACATGCAAATGCAGAGCAGGTGATTATCCTAAAAATTGATTATTGTATGCATCTGTTAACTAAATAAGAACAGATTAGTTTTTTGTGATAAAAATAAATACAACATAATTGAATATTCTAAACCCTTTCAGAGCACAGACATACCAGATACTGATTTTATCTTAGAACCTCACATGGAGGAGATAGACAAACTCTTTGATGGTGACACTGTAGAACAGATTGTGGAAAACCTGAAGAAGGAGGGGTCAGAATGGGCCAAGAAACAGCTCCACACACTCAGCAAAATGGTAAACAGTGTGGAATTGTATACTGCTGAAACAATTTAATATGTTTTATTTTATTTTCATGATTAATCAATATAAAAAAAAAAGACCCCTCAAAAAAACTGGTGTTTCAAGATGAAGGATTTGACATACTCTTCAATAATGTTGATGTTGTAAATTAATGAATATGTTACGGATAAGCATGGAATCCATAAAAATTAAACCTATATGGATATTCAATAATAAATATTGAGTTATTTGTTTTGATGTATTATTACAGTCTCCCACATCTATGAAGATAACACTAAGGCAGATTCTGGAGGCAGAGACAATGACCTTACAAGACGTTCTAGTCATGGAGTATCGCCTCAGTCAGCGTTGTGTGGAGGATCATGATTTCTATGAGGGGGTTAGAGCTGGTAAGGCTTAAAATTTTGACTTATCTTTCTCTATTATATTTGTTATGCTTCTTATATATCTCTTATTGTTTTGTTTCAATTATGCTTTGCTGAAAACTGCACAAGAAGTGCAGGCTTGTTTTTAAGGAAAGAATTTATATTCAAAATTAAAAGTACATTTGTTTATATTACTTATTACAAATAACTGTATATGTCTAAAGGAAAATATCCTAATCTATAATCTGTTTCTTGTATTTCAGTTTTAGTAGATAAAGACCAGAGTCCAAAATGGAATCCCCCAACATTAGAAAAAGTGACCCCCCAAAAAGTAGACTGGTACTTCTCCCCATTACCATCAGAGAGGGAACTAAAGCTATAAATATAATCCATTTAGTATTACCCATGCTTAACTCAGGTCTTACTGTATAAAAATCAATTTTTACAAAGTGCCACAGATTTTTACCCCTTGGCATTATTTATAAGATACTGGTGAGAGTACATATGTACTGACTTGATTTTATTGATGATTTTGCTTTGGTTGTTTTGTCCTATTATTGTTACAGTCATCACAGTGTTAATAATCAAATTGTGATGATTTGCTTTTACAATTAACATTTGATTCACATTTACATTATTACAGGCTTCAGTTTGTGATTATTTGTGTTACTTGTACATCTTCATTGAAAGGCTTCAATAAGGAAAAAGCAAAGTATTGAGATACAATAATAATTGTAATAACAATGTTAACTTTGTGTAGATGAAAATTAGGTTTGTTTTCTCCATTACAACTGAATTTCGGGCAATTGTGTCTGGACAATCTTCTGTTTAAAGATGAACTTTTGTTTTCTTTTCACTTTCTTTCACAAGCTTTTAATATACCACCGTTAATCCAGACTTCTTTCTCATATTATATAATTAAATTAAGAATATTTCATATTAGGTTTTACATGATATGTGACATATTGGGTTGAATGAATCTGCTCAAATCATCATTATTTCATATACCAATATTTGTCATGGTGGAATCTGATTTGAGCCTGCATGGTAACAAGTTTTTGTTTAAGGTTTAAATATTGAGAATATACAAATATTGAATTGATTGAATGATTGAACATGTATGTTCCCTTGAAGATGTCAGATTGATTAAAAAATAAATCATGAATAAAATGTGACTTCACCTTTAAATTCATTAGATTTATAATGTATAGTTGTACATGTATCAGAAATAATTGATTATGATGAAAAAGAGTGTTTGTCACATTGTCACATTGTTTATTGGAAAATATTTAATTCCAATAAAACAAACAGATAACCTTTTATCCTGGATGGTATACAGTAAGGTTATATGATATATAATAATATATCTTGATAAAGTAAAGACACTATATTCTGGTTATGATAATAATGTATCATGATTATCCTTAAATCTGCAGTTTTGACAATTAGATGCAGATTTTAGGAAAGGGAGATGGTTAATTAGGCCTAAATAATGAATTTTTTAAACTTAAAAAGACAATTGATTAAATCTAAACTCACTTCTAATTAATATTGCATCTTTGATTCTGGAGTACTATTGCAATCCCAATAATGATCAAAAGAATACTATAAAGAGTACATGTAATATATACAGCATATTCAAATTACTCCTTGTTAATAGGTACATGTACACTAAAGAGTTATATCACAGATAAATCACAGTTCTGAACTAATTTTTTCACATATTAACATAAAATCGATCTGTTTACTAACTCTTCTAACTTTGACTATAACTTTGCCTTGGTTTTGGGATTCTCTGGATCATCTGTTTCCCAATCATAGGCCGGTAAATTTTTATGATCTACAAGAAAATTAAGAAAGAGAAAATTAGGTATGAGAGAGCCTAAATATGGACATATTGGTATTAACTAAAATCTAAATTTCTTTGGGCTTCTGTGCCAGTCAACAAGAGGCTTAAAGCCCTCGATGCTCACCCTTTACATGGAAATGAACATGAACAAAAACTTAAAAGATAAGTGAAACATCCTATTGACATCTCAAATTTTGTTTAATTTCAACAAATTTATTTTACAGTTTTTTTAAGGCTTGATGTCAACTTCACAAATTGTAGCCTTTGTATTAATTTTACATGTACATGCATAATACTAAGTATTAATTTCTGGGTAGCACTTCACTGCCTTTTGTCTTATCCTATTTTCTGAGGTCAGGCTTCAAACAAATTTGAGCCTTAATTACACAGGGAAACTTGCAATACAGGTATATACATGGATAAGATTTTCAAGTCATAATCCAAAATCAAAACAATTTTGGAATATGTTAACTAGTGCATCCTGTAAAAATGTGATTTTGAAAAATGAAATTTTGATGAATTGAACTAGAAGACCGATCAAGTGCTTGCTTCGTTTTCTACCTGGTATCTGCCATGTAGTTCCATACAAACTAGCAGCACCATCTACTTTGAGAGTTTCTCCTGATATAAAAGCAGCTGCCGGTGAGAGAAGGAAGCAAACAGCTGCTGATATCTACAGAGCAATTACAATGCAGATTAAAAATGGCTCGTAAAATTGAGAGGGAATTTTTTAAATGAGATAATTCATCACAAAAATTTTCCTCATATATTTTTAAAAGCTGTTGTTGAAACTTGCCTCAGCAGTGGTGCCTAAACGTTTCGCTGGAATATGTGGAATGGCATGGTTAAATATATCTTTGTCTCCATAATTTGCAGCTGCTGTTTCCGAGTATATGGAGCTACCCTGTAAATGTTTAAAAAACATCAGACATATACATGACCTATTTTACATGGATTTGATGAATTTCATGTAATTTAATTTTCCATTTTATCATGAAAGTAAGATATCTGTTGAAATTTACCTACAGGAGCTACAGCATTGACCCTGACCCCTGAAGCTGCCCATTCCAAGGACAAAGATTTTGTGAGATTGTCCACTGCTGACCGTGCTGCCCCTGTGTGACTGACAAATAAATTTGGTAAAAATATACATGTATAAAAGTAACATTCCCTCTCATTGGAATACTGTTCTTTTAATTTAGGGCATAACTATACTTAGATTGACTTACAATTCATTTTCATATATTTTGTTGTTTGAAAACACATGAAAAATATGAGGATTTATTTGTTAGGATTTTCCTTTACTGTATGAGTCTTGCTTTGAAAATCTTGAATTAAGACTATATGAAGACATCTGCATATAAATTTGAAAATAGGTATTGTGTTTCAAACAAAAAGACTTTAAAAGATTTCAACTGTGCATTTCTTTGAAACCCCTTGTATATCCTTTTAGTGGAGTGCGGCCTCACATTTGCTCCTTTATACATATTTATATATAAAGAAAAGTACATCAATAAACTTATTTTTTCTCTTACCTACCTCATTCCAGGGAAACCCTTCCACATATCAGCAATGATATTGATGATTACACCACCATGTTCGCCCATCCACTGGTTATATACTGAAAGGTAATATATCTAGAAAATGGGTTACAGTATACATGTACATGTAAAACTGCAAATCTGCATCTGAATAATTCAATCGACACAATGATTCTCTAGACACAACTTTCACTCAAGCATGAGTATATGGATAACCTCAGAATACCTTCTCTGCAGCATAGAAATGTTCCTGTAAGGTTTGTCTCTATGACAGCATTCCAGCCCTTTAGACTAAAAGAAGAGGCGGGTCCGGGAAACTGTCCCCCTCCATTGTTTACAAGGAAGTCAATCTTACCAAACTTTGACAATGTCTCTGATATCATTTTCTGAACCTGAAATGATATTTCATCACTTATATAGACATGTAAATGCAATAAGGGAAGCTTCAAGCAGTTTCATTGTTCATACTTGTCATATTCTTATGGAGAGAGGAAAAAATGTTTGGGTAAATTTAATTAATCATGCAATATTATCATGTTTACATTGAAATAGTGTAGAATATCATTGACATAGTTTTCCTAAATACACTGTATTCCAAATAAAAAAAACTAAACTATTAAATAATTATTTGTTAGAAATATTATTTGCCAAGTTTACGAAACAATCAGAAAATTTTGCAAAATACTTAAATGATAGCCAGGCCATCTTTAGAAGAATTGTATGTGTACCTCTCCTGACAGGATATAGACAGGTCCAGCACAATACCCCGATAAAGTATATAGCTTGATAAAGCTATATAGCTTTATCAAGGTATTTAACCCCTTAACGGCCAAGTGCGCCTTTTGACGCATTTTCAGCATTATGGTGTTTTTACTGCTGGCGTTTTGTAAATAATTGGGATACAACAAAACAGTTGATATTTTCTGAAACTAGAGGAGAAACACAACAATTTTTCTATTATCAGTTTTTCTCTGCGATGTTAAGAAATTATTGTAAACTTGAATTGAACATTGAATATAATTGCGGGAAGTTAGTAAAATTACACATAAATGAGTGATTTTGCGCTATCTTCTGTAGGCTGTATCTCACTTACAGCATACGATAAAAAAAATGAATGCCATATCATAAAAGCGTGGAATTTTCCCTACATTTTCTCTATTGGACATTGAAAGGTACGAGCATCCGTTACAGAAATATTTGCTGTTGAATATTGGAACTTTTTCGAGTAAAACAAAAAAAAAAGCACTATGACGTCATTTAACGTTTTACGTGTACACAATGAAATCGTTCATAAGCTCGGTGTAAAATAAATCGATTCTTTTAATATATGAAACAGATTTATTTTTGAAAGGAATTATTATAAAGAAGAGTTAATATACGAAACATTTTCATCCATAAACATGTAATAAAGGGAATTTTCATTAGCTTTAGAATATAAGTGATAGTTCTTGACCCAACGCCCCGTTTTCGCGCACCCACTGTTTCAGAAATCCCTGTCGAATTTTGTGTCATTCCTACATGTAGTAGGAATAAACAGTGGGACGGACAACTTCGGAACGGACATTTTTCCGAACTTGCGCACCCTTTTCCTTTAAAGCTATCATCTTAGGGTTTTTTTAAATGGTGGGGTTTTTATAATCAAATTGATTTATGAAAAAAAAATTCAACATTTTCTGCTAGTTTTTGAGCCAACGCCCCGTTTTCGCGCACCCACTGTTTCAGAAATCCCTGTCGAATTTTGTGTCATTCCTACATGTAGTAGGAATTATAATTAATCTAGTAATTAGGTATTGTCGCTACCATTTTCTTACCTTGCAGATTTGTCATTAAAAGTTTTAAAAAATATACAAGCTTATAAATCTTTTTTCGAGTCCTTAGGCTAGTATTTTAAATGTACTTTGAAGAAAAAGCTGTCATAACGACAAAACATATTAGGAGTTAAAATTTCGACGAAAGAGATATTTTTGCTAACGCACAAACTGCATTTAACTGACGCGATTATTTTTCTTACCCTTATCTTTATCTAATATAAAATGAATGTATAGGAACATGAAAATAAAATAATGAACATACACTGTGATATTTAATTTTTTAAAATCGGGAAACTTAATTTCGTTTGAATTATTTCCCTTTCTGTTACCATGGTTGTTATATATACACAGGGAGAGACATAGCACGGAACAGTCATTCTACAAAAACAAGCATGGACAATTAATATTTTTTTTTCATGTCACTTACAGATTTGCCGTTATAATATCTTAACTATCAATTTTAAGATCAAATTCAGCTCTAAGATATATAACATACACGCATGTTTTTTTTTTTTTTAAATATTTACCGATATATATGTAGTTAAAGTTTAGATATGAACATCATAAAGGCCTAATGTTGAAAACGTATTTCACTGCAAATCTTAATGTCGCTTCATTTATTTACAAATTTCAAGACGGGATTCTCAGCCGTAAAAGCGTTCCTAACAGATTGCGATGAATGTTAAATAATTTTTTTATCTTGAATAAAAAAAATAAAATCAAACCTATTCTCGAAAAAGAAATGCATGGATCTTCTTTCATAAGTAATCATATCGCTAAAAATCAATTAACTTCAGTACTGAGTTTGCTCTAAATTTCACGGCCAGATTATTTGCAGGTTTAATTTCAAAAAGAACTGAAATTTACCAAAAAACCTTATATCATTAATACAAGTTGCGAGTCAGCTATTTATTTTTAAGACAACGCCTTTTTAGATATAACAGATTAAATTGGAGAAAAAACTTTTACTTCCGAAATGGTAATTCAGGAAGGATTCTGCATGACAGATATATTTTTTTTTTCATTCCTTGGGGAGCAAAATTCTTCATACTTCTGTTTTATATCCTAAAACAAGCTTTGATTTTAACTATTGCAGAGAATTTTAACTTATATTATAAAAGTTGGAGAATTAACTTCCGTAACCTTAACTTCGTTACGATATTTTTACCGAAATTTTAACTTCATTTTGCATAATGTGAGACTTTATAAATCATACATTTGTGTCTATACTACGGAACAATGGAATATTAAAATTGTTTTTAAAAAGTAATCAATGCAATAGTTGTGGACAATTTTTTTTCCCCAAGTTCAATGATATATCTTTAAGAAAATTATAATTATGTTTTTGCTTTTTGAAAAAGTCATTTCTTTCATGATTTATATAATGAATATATAATGAATAATGAATTCGTCCATTTATCGTAGAATGGCTGGGAATTACATGTAAGGTCGGGTAGGGAAGTGGGACATTAAATGGAAGTATATGCACTGGCGTCGGAAGCAAATTGAAAGTGGAAGGGGGCAAAGTAAAGGAGAAACAAAATTTTCAAGTTTCCAAAAACTTGAAAAGCGAAAAAAATGTCCTTCGTCCATCACGAAAATCCTATTTTGGGGTGGGGTGGGGGGGGGGGGGTGTTTATATCGAACTTCTCTCAGTGCAATTTCTGTCTAAACCTACGCTCCAATGTTCATTGTCTATATTATGGCTATGTTTGCAAAAAAGAGGCCCTAGCCCCCCACCCCCCGGTTCCGACGCCTATGATATGTAAATTTGTGTAGCAATTCAGATTCCGTTTTTCCTATTGCGACTTTGAATAAAAAATGGAAGAAAAATCGTGTTTTATCAGACACAGACAGAGATGCTGTCACTGAATTCCAAGAAACTTGTTTGTCTGTGTAAACCATAATGAGAAGGAACCCCCTCCCCCCTCCAATAACCATTCTTTTTACAACGCAGGTTCATATCTACATGCATTATGAATATATTTATACAAGTGCCAAGTCAAAGAAAAGTCTAATATATGTAACCTATGAATTATTATATATACGCGTTCATTGTGAATGCCTAAGTACATCGATAATCAACACTCAAGCCACGGTCCAGAGTCCGCCTGTAGCCTCCAGATTGGAAGAGGATTTTAGGCGTGATTAGAAAGACACCAAGTTTGCTCTAGAAAATCTTAACATTTTGTTCCCAGTGCATGTATTTTACCTTAGGTCCCTGAAAAAAAGTTAGGTGATTTTGCTTTGCATAAGCCTACACTGATATTACCACCTAAAAATATTGAAGATCTATAACAATGAAACGAAATCAAAAAATGAAAAACTCAAACTTTAATCTATGTTGCGCTGTCGCCCTATGCGGGCTCATCAGTAGATTAAGCAATTGAACAGATAGATATACATGTACCTGCAAAGATAACATGATCAAGATTGTGACTCAAACTGGACTTAAAGTGATGCACTCAGTTTTTCTTAAGAAGGTTGCACACGAGAATACTCATTTTAGGGTTTCTTTAGTAAGGACATCTTCAAAGCTGCTCCATTTGCCACCTCCATTTTTGTTTACATTTCATGCCTATGATTCATTTCCTTTTTTACTCATCGGTACCCCCCCCCTTCCACACAGACACATATTGCTTCACGTCTCTTAGTAAATATAGAGATAAAGGAATACTCTGGGTAATGAATTTAAAGGGGATCAAATAGTTACTTGCCCTGGTTGGAATATTTATTGTAAATGCTACATGACACAGCTAGTTGGTGTTCATTTTGCATTTGCATTTATAATTGATTTGGGAAGGGGATCTTAGGTGATGATAAACCATGTAATGGAAGACATGTGCAGTACTTGGTAAAACCTTCATAGGGAAAAGTAGAATGGATTTAATTTAAATTTAAATTCATGCATGCATAAAAGTGAGACCAGTAAAAAGTTCCAAAGTCATGTAAACCGTATTAATACTGTAAGTCGTTTTATTTTAATCCCGATGTAAAAATTTTACATTTTGCTTTATGCATACGCTACCGATTTCAACTACATACTCCCAGGTACATATAACTATACTGATCAATCAGATTAGAATCAGCTGTAAGTTTTTGCTTGGCTACGTTTAATACTAGCCCAGGTACTACGTTGTTCGTCGTAAACGTAGACATACAGCTCATCAGTCTTCACGAAAACTTTTCAAGCGAACTGGCCAGTCGGACCAGTGAACTTTCAAAATTTACTAGCCCACCAAAATTTTTACTGGCCCCTTTCTTAAAAAATAAAATAAATACATTTTCATAACTGTAAATTTATACATGTTTACGTACTTCAACTTTTGTAATGCCGCCATTTTTCACCCTTTGACGGGTTTCGGTAAGTTGTTGTTAAACTTTGCACATTTTACGTACTAGTGTTCCGGTTGTTACGTAATACATCCATGTTATAATAGGGTTATACGATTCAACAACACGTTTTTTCTTTTTATTTTACATATCAATGAAATTACGCAAGTAAGTCAGTTGAAATAAATTTTGACTGTATATGATTTTTATAATCAAAAAGCCCATCGGACTTCTTGAATTTTGATTTTCACTGACCCGACATCAAAATTCACTGGCCTCGGTCTTCGGACCAGTGAGTTTTCGTGAAGACTGCTCAGCTGGGGGTATGTTTACAGATAAAACAAAAAAATTACATCAGCGAAGTAAAGTGAAAACTGAAAAAAATATCCATATCCATGAAAAATGAAAATTTGAAAACTATTTTTAAATCTGGTGATGTTTAAACTTAATTACAGTGGAGATATATCTTATAACCCCACCCCACCCCCTTCACCCTTATACAAAGAGTTGAAATTAAGAGCAATTAAAAATTTGACATTGGTATTAATATTATAATTAATTCAATTCTAATTCAGGTTTGTAATTAAAAAAAAGTAATGGCATAATGTCATTTTTATTGAATAAAAGGTGTTAATGTAAAATGTAGGCTGGAATCGAGAGTTAGTGTGCATAGTTCTTTGTCATACTCTCCCCATGGCCGTCATATAAAACTTAATGATATATACTGATGATATTGTATGTTCGAGTACATAACAGGGTATTGTGAATTCTTATATGCAGATCACTGGAACTAGGCAGGTAATTTTATTCATTGATAAGACTCTGCTGAAAGTAAATAAATATAAAATACCCATGATTTGTTAGGAAGCCCCCTTCTCCAAATTGCTATTTTTGTAACCATGGCTACACACACTGTTCCTTGAAATAAAAATACTAAAATGAAAAAAATGTGCATCTTTGTATGCTCCACATGTGTATCAAATTTTATTGAAGTCAGTAAAAAACTGTAGGAGGGAGAGCGATTCAAAAATTGCTCACGACAATCAGACAGTTGTAAAGCCGAAGTCGAACGCATGAGGTACTGACATTGTGTAATTGTATAAACTCTTTCTATTAAATAAAATTGACCAGTAAAACTAAAAACTAATTGAATGCATGCTTTGTTTTAATAGTAACACCAAATCCTCTGGTTTGGAAACATTATTTGTAAAATTGTTTGTATTTCAGGGACGAATAAAAGGAGAAAAGCACATATTTTGGCAATTATGGGTCTCAATCGTTGCCATGGCAACCGTGACGTCAAATTACTTTGCAGAATCAAATAGTTTAGGATCTTACCTTTCAGAAAATATATAGGTTGCTCTATGTAAAAGTGACTAGAAAATGTCTAAAATTCTATTTGAACTTTTTTAGGCAATTATGCAAAAAAATTGCAAAATCTCTGGCCGTTAAAGGGTTAAAATACCTTGATCAAGGTATTTTATGTAATGAAAATTCTTTAAAAATTAAATACTGAAAGTCGAGTTCTGAGTTTTTGTCAGTGTGTCTACTCGTGCATGAAAAACACTCGGTATCAAAAAGAAAGCATGAAATAACGTCTCCTCACACGACATGTTTTTCTACTGATTTTATTGTGTTTGACTACTTTGCATGCATGGGTGAATTTACTGACAACAACTCAAAACTCGACTTTCAATAATTAATTTTCAAAGAATTTTTTTAAATTTTCATTTCATAAAATACCTTGATCAAGGTATTTTAAATACCTTGATAAAGCTATATAGCTTTATCAAGCTATATACCTTTATCGGGGTATTGTGCTGGACCTGATAGACTAAAAATTACTGAAATCAATTCAACCTTTCTGAACTAAAATATTTTTCTTTTTGTTTCTGAATTTCCCACTGAGTCAATGTTAAGTTAAAATTTTCTGAAAAAAAAGATTTTACCACCACCTATTGGCCGGTACATTATTTTTAAATCCTGAGTCGGGAGTGGGCAAGCATGTAAAATAAAGATTAGAGATGATTGTCATTTTTGGTTAGTCTTATTAAAGTCCTAGCACACAGCTGTATATAGTGTATATACTATGCAAATACTCATGATTTAAATTTTAGATTTGTATATATAAAGGAAATTCTGGGTCTATCTGACTAAATTTACCTGATCTTCTTTCCGAATGTTGCATTGGATATCACTTATTTCTGCTGAACTGTCACGAGGGATCTGTTTCTTAATGGCATCAGAAGCAGAAGCAAGTCTTTGTGCATTCCGGGACGCGATCATTACTTTGCATCCTGTATCATGCATGTCAAAACTTTGAACATCCAATAAAACATAATTTAATAAAAATGCAAACTGTAACTGAACTTTAAAATACACAGACCTAAATATAAGAGTTCTTGAGTTATAGCCAATCCGATGCCAGTGCTGCCTCCTGTCACAATGGCCACTTTTCCTTTAAACAAGCCTGGCCTGAAAACACTTGAAACTTTCCCAACGGAGCTCGCCATTTTGAAGTCATGTGACATACAAAACGCTCATCGATCCCGACTGAGTACTACTAAACAGAGAACCCTAGAGAACTCTAGAAAACCTTAGAGAACCCTAGTGATTTTTAACTATTTACTGTCTGTAAATAATTTATTTATATTTTAAATAACTAATATGTCATACCAGAACAAAATTAAATTTAAAAATACATATTCTGACAAGTTTTTTTTGCTTTTTTTCAAAGAGTATTATAATCTTTTAAGTACAGGTCCATGTAAGAATCAGGCAGCCTATATATAAAAGGTGATACATGAGGATTTCAGAAATTAATGATTTTTCACTCACAGATTTTTCTTGGGGTATAAGCCATGTATGCGGAAAGAAAAATAATTTGGGTCATTGTTACTATGGAAACCTGGACAAAGAAATTTCCTTAGCAACAGGCCAATTTTTCTTTATAGATTGACGAAATTTCACCCATTTTGAAGGCTTTGTACAAAAAATTTTAAAAAGTAATTCTTTTCTTCCTTAGTGTCACAAGAAAGATAAACTCTTGAAGTGCTCTGACAACGTAATAAAAAGAAATTACATTCTCTAATATATTTACCACAGATACCGCTACAGATACATGTTTCCCGTTTTTTGCTGATTCAGCATTTTGCTTGATTTTAGTAGAAATCAAGTCGATATTATTCGTTGCACCGTCTTAGTACAAATGTTTCATCTATTTCCTGTAAAACTACAGGAAAGGCTTTCTTAGAATTTAAAAGAAAAAGTTTTGCAAATTTGAATTTACCACCTGTTGCTAGGCAACAAAAATGGATGGTTTGATAAATTAAAATTGGTGAAAGTCTAAAGCATTGGTAGAAAAATCATATAAATTGTAATCACTAAGTACCAAAATCAATTTTTAGAATAATCATAAAATATAAAATATTCTTTATTGTGTACATATGATTATTTTACAATAAGCTATCTCCATGGCAACAGTAAATTTTCCTTAGCAATGAAGCATTGAAAGTTATTTTTAGAACATATTCATTAAAGTTTTCTACATATTTATCTGATTCTTATATATTTGAATTGCTATTCCCCAGGTTCGGCATTGTCAAACCAGGTTTTTAAAAGAATTTTTATCTCCATGGCAACAGTAAATTTTCCTTAGCAACGAAGCAATGAAAGTTATTTTTAGAACATTCATTTAAGTTTTCAACATATTATCTGATTCTTACATTTGAATTGCTATTCCCCAGGTTCGGCATTGTCAAACCAGGTTTTTAAAAGAATTTATATCTCCATGAAAACAGTAAATTTTCCTTAGCAACGAAGCAATGCAAGTTATTTTAAGAACATATTCATTTAAGTTTTCAACATATTATCTTATTCTTATATTTGAATCGCTATTGCCCAGGTTCGGCAGTGTCAAACCAGGTTTTTAAAAGAATTTTTATCTCCATGGCAACAGTAAATTTTCCTTAGCAACGAAGCAATGAAAGTTATTTTTAGAACATATTCATTTAAGTTTTTAACATATTATCTGATTTTTACATTTGAATTGCTATTGCCCAGGTTCAGCATTGTCAAACCAGGTTTTTAAAAGAATTTTTAAGTTATTTTTTCCCAAGCAAAAGAATTACAAACATAGCAACGAATACATCTGATAAAGAATTAGGATGAAGCAACTTCTCAACAAGAATCTTTAAGAATGTTAACTATAAGACAAAAACATTTCACCAATTTTAATTTATTTAACCATCCATTTTTGTTGCCTAGCAACAGGTGGTAAATTTCAAATTTGCAAAACTTTTTATTTTAAATTCTAAGAAAGCCTTTCTTGTAGTTTTACAGGAAATAGATGAAACATTTGAACTAAGATGGTGAAACGAAAAATATGGACTTGATTTTTGCTAAAATCAAGCAAAATGCTGAATCACCAAAAAACGGGAAACATGTATCTTTAGCTGTATCTATAGTAAATATATTGGAGAATGTAATTTCTTTTTATTACGTTGTCAGAGGACTTCAAGAGTTTATCTTTCTTGTGACACTAAGGAAGAAAAGAATTACTTTTTAAATTTTTTTGTACAAAGCCTTCAAAATGGGTGAAATTTCGTCAATCTATAAAGAAAAATTGGCCTGTTGCTAAGGAAATTTCTTTGTCCAGGTCACCATAGTAACAATGAACCAAATTATTTTTCTTTCCGCATGCATGGCTTATACTCCGAGAAAAATCTGTGAGTGAAAAATCATTAATTTCTGACAACCTCGTGCATCACCTCCTGCCTGATTCTTACGTGGACCTGTACTTAAGACTTCATCATAGCCTTGTGATAAACTTGTAAGAAATTAATTAATATGTTTTAGATCAGAGTAAATGATTAAGAATTCTATATATTATTAAAATCAAATAATAAATAATGTGAAAAATAATCGTAAAATTACTTAATAAATATTATTTCGATAATGTACAATGTTTTTGAAATTCAATCGGAATCGGGATGTCAGAAAATATTTCACCCTCTAGTTTGTTACGTTTCTCTGGTGAAAACTTCCATAAAATAATTTTTAAATTGATTTTATGTATAAAATATGTTTTATTTAATAAAAATCAACCAAATTATGCATAAAATATATCAAAATTCACCATATAAACCTCAAGTTCTCTAGGGTTCTCTAGAGTTCTCTAGGGTTCTCTGTTTAGTAGGACCGATCCCGACCGAATTAAAACGGGCACTGACAACTGAGAATTGTATCTCTCCAGAATAGTCCAGTCCTCTGAATCTTTTGCATCGATTTTTCACTCGTTAATTTACTCTGAATTTAGGTCAAGATATAGTTAGTGAAAGTTTCCAACATATTTCTCAAATTTAGGAAATTTTAACACAGGCAGGAACCTATATACTAACTATATAGGTCCCTGGCACAGGAGTCGGCAATTTTAATTTGTCAATACATAGCAAAGCTCACTGGTAGGATTTATGCCTGTTTACCATTTATTTTCTATGTATTGAAAAAATTGCCGTCTCCTGTGAAACCAGTAGCTTGTAAAATACATTAAGTTGTATAAGGACCACAGACACTTATTTCTGTAATATTTTTTACTCAGTGCAACAATATGGAGAAGTGGCATAAATAGATGTGGATACTACAGTACTTAAAAATTCTGAAGAACTCTGGGAATATTGGAAATCACAAAATTATACCAAAATCTCGCTGCTTTTCAACTTCATATACAACCATTCTAATAAAGATAAATTAGAGTTCAGGCTATTTGACATCATCTGACAGTTTTTTTTTTTCAATAAAAATGGAACTGGTTCTTGCCTTGTCATTGGCCATTTGCAAAATTACTTTATTCAAAAAATATATGTACGCACAAGTACTCTGAAGTTGATATTAAAAAGATGCTTGAGTTTCTGATTGACAATATCTACGTGGATTTTTCAGACCAGGTCTTTCATATTTAGTTATTTTACTAGAAAAAAATCATCCATATGGTAATCCGTAACAACAAAAGCTTTATGATAAATGTGGTGTATGGCACACCAAATTCACAAATTGAGCTAAACATAGTTTTACAGTCGATAAACCAGGTTTATCTATGGCACGCCAAATTCACAAAAATGAGCTAAGCCTAGTTTCACAATTGATAAACTAGGTTTATCGACTGTAAACTATAGTTTACAAATCGTATACAATAGTTAATAACTCGTTAACTATAGTTTTCATCTGTAAAACTATATTTAACGGTTGTTAACTATAGTTTACAAATGCTAATCTAAGTTTATCTGTCTGTAATAAAACGTTAACAATAGCTTTTGTTGATAAACTTAGATTCACGTCTGTAAACTATAATTTACGATCGTTAACTATAGTTAAGAATTGTAAATCATAGTTTACAAATCGTGAAACTGTATTTATCAGATAATCTATGTTTTGCGATCGCAAATGATTGTTTCATTGTTAAGTACAGTGTATGGCTGTGAAACATAGATTATCGCGTTAATTATGGTTTACAGATGTAAAATATAGATTAAAGTTGATAAGTATAGTTTACAGTCCGTAAACTATAGTTTACAACTGATAAACTTAGTTTATCGACTGTGAAACTATGATTAGCTCATTTTTGTGAATTTGGCATGCTAAACATAGTTTCACAATTGATAAACTAGGTTTATCGACTGTAAACTATACTTTACAATTCGTTAACTATACTTTTCATCTGTAAAACTATATTTAACGGTTGTTAACTATAGTTTACAAATGCTAATCTAAGTTTATCTGTCTGTAACAAAACGTTAACAATAGATTTGTTGATAAACATAGATTCACTTCTGTAAACTATACTTTACGCTCGTTAACCATAGTTTACAAATCGTGAAACTGTATTTATCAGATAATCTATGTTTTGCAATCGCAAATGATAGTTTTCGGTGTTAAGTATAGTTTACAGTTGTGAAACATAGATTATCGCGTTAACTATGGTTTACAGATGTAAAATATAGATTAACGTCGTTAACTATAGTTTACAGTCCGTAAACTATAGTTTACAACCGAAAAACCTAGTTTATCGATTGTGAAACTATGATTAGCTCATTTTTGTGAATTTGGCCTGCCATATATAGTTCACGGTTTGTAAACTATATTTTAAAGTCGATAAACCTAGTTTATCAACTGTGAAACTATGTTTAGCTCATTTTTGTGAATTTGGTTGCCTGGTAGTGGTGACTTAAAATTTAACTTTTCAATCGCCAACTTCCCTAACTTATGCAGCGATATGCCCTTATCAACTGCATACGGGGTTTATATATTTCAGTTGATTCGATACTCATTAGCATATCTAAATAATTTTGAAGAATTTCAAAATGAGGTAAATTATTGACAAACAAGTTGATGAAACAAAAATAACAACAGTCTCGTTTTTAGTCATCATTTCGTAAGTTCTATGGTCGATCCAATGACCTTGTCAGCAAATATAATTTATCATTGAGTCATATGCTGACTGTCATTTTCCATACGAATTGTCAAGTCATTATTTACACACTGCATTTTCGGGTGTGACAGGTAGGCAGGGGATGCTTATTTTAAGCATTTTTTTCAAAGTTAAGGAGAATTTCTTTTAAAGTTTAGGAGACAATTCTTTTAAAGTTGAGGAATGAGCAGATATTTCTTTAAAAGTTGAGACATTTCTTTTAAAGTTGAGGAATGAAGAGACATTTCCACGTTAAAAAAGAAAAAAAAGATCATTGCTTAAAAATATTGATTACTTAACATAGTTTGTAAAGTTTTGATTAATGATAATGAAAACAAATATAAATACAATATGTTAGTGTAACAAACTTACATTCATTTAAATATATAAAAAAGAGCTGTCACGATCGAAGAAAAAATAATAATCTAGAGTAGAGTAGTCAATTCCTCTTAATTTTTTTTTTATCAGAATGGATTTATATTTTTGTTTAACCATTATATCTAAAAACGTTTTGTGTACATAATATGGATAAAATGTGATGCTAACCACAGATTCAACTGTACAGCACTTTTTAATTTTGATTCCGTTTGGCATGTTTGCTTCGGTCTCGAAAGGAGACTAAGAAATCAATTGTTTAAAAATCAGTACAATTTTTAGCAGAGTTATAATTTAGATCCAATTCATATGTTGTTTTGTTTGTTTTTGTGAAAACCATGTTAATGACATCATATTCACACTTTCACAGGTAGATAATATTTCCAATGAACGCAGCGCTGTAAACAAATTTCCTCTGTTTGGTCTTGACTAATGATTACATCAATTCGTTTATTATAGACATCGAATTGCCTCCCAAAATCTATATATTGCCCACCTATGTACAGAATGTTACTAATCAATATTGCATTGTTTGAGATTTAAAAGACCATCCATCGATGAACTTTTTCAAGTTCTATTATACAATATACGGTGTATCCTTCGTAGGACTTACTGTTCACAAGTAAAACAACCAATCAACTGGCTGATTGCATTTGCTACAATGGGATGTAAAAATGTAATTAATTACTGTTTATTATCACTCAACTAAAAGAGGAATACAAGTAAGTCTCACATTAAATGATAACTCTTTTGTTATCGATTTCTTTTGGCTTTGACCCTTGGATTCTGAAGTTATTACTGGGATAACAATGTTAACTTTATAAGGAAACAGAAGACATTTTGTGGAGGACTATATAGAATGTTGTTCCTTCCCTGTGATCTGATAGCTGTCACAGTTGTGTCATGTTGTAAATTTTGAATTTACCGGGTGGCAGTAAATACAAAATTTACAACATGACTGTAAATTCAAAATATATGTGAAGTTAGATTTCTGGGTACTAATTTGATTAAATAGATAATTTCTGACACCCCTCGTCATTGATTTTAGACTCTGCTAATTGACGTAATTCGGTATGATTTGGATTCTCGTTACTTATTGATGCCGTTTATTGCAGCATAATTTCAGCTCATCGCAGACTTCTGTAAAAGACTTAGTTATCTACACAGCATGGGGACGTGCATTTCATCAAAATTATGGCCAAAAAATACGCTGCATTTCTACAAACACTGCTTTTTCGTAAGTATTTGAGCTTCTATTGCGCTGGAGGTTTGTTGGAATTATCTAATTGCAATTATTAATTGTATTAATCGTACATATTTTTTTCAGTTATATAAACTCATTGATGTTTTATTCTTCAGTTATTTCTAATAATATCTTTAAAGTTAACGTAATATACCATTTAAAGAAAACAGTTGGATAAAACGAATAGCTTTAATGTATTATGTTGGCAATTCTTTGAGAAGTTGAATGAAACATCTTCTTTATCCTGCAGAACTGCATTTTTTCCGCAGTAATTTGTGATAATTTTAGAGACATTGTCAATCATGTGTCCTTTAAAGGTCCTTATATTGATTGCAAAAATGTGGTAAAAAGTATACCAATCCACAAAACGAAAAAATGAGATCAAGATATTAATAGCAATATATATTTTGTGTCTGTACATTGAATGTAATTTGCAATTTCGTGCAACAGATGTACATGTTCATCTAGTGTATTAGACAACCAACGAAGCACCCTTGATATTTTCTCACTACATGCTGGATTCAGATCAATGTCTATTATCTTGTTCTGATGTTTGCCAGTTCTCTCCAGTGGACATGGAGTGCCCTCTACATTGGTCAAACATCCCAATAAGTCATGTTTTAATTCTCCTTAATAGGAAATTCATCTGCTTCCGGGAGGCGATAAGGACGCAAGGAACAGATTGATTAAAAATGTGGAGGGACACTAGAAAATCTTCCATATCAAAATCCAATTAGATCCTATAAGGCTTATAAAAACAGAAACTTTTTGACTTATTCGTTTGACCTTTTCGTTTACTATGTATTTTTTACGAAAGAGGCAATCAAAAACACCTTCTAACATTATATCGAACTTTGATTAGCTATAGGAACTTCACGCACGAATAGCACCTTTTATACAATTGCAGTAATCAAAACCTTTTTCCAGAAAACACAAAATTCATTTATTCTTTAGAGTTTCGCCTTGAAAAATCCAAATCATCGTCTTAAATACCAAATACGGGTACAATTTTTAACAATCTTCTGTTTTCCGCTCCATTATTTGCAAGAAACATTTTTTTTGACGTCAAGGAGACTAATTTAATTTCACGTGTCATAATTATTTAACAATTGATTAGGGCGAGAGAATGCAGCATGTTATGCATAATTGATGACATGGGTTTGGAGGGACTCCTATAAAGCGACTAATTTGGTGCAGAATCGTCCTTGCATTAGAACTGCAGAACGTAGTCTAACCCAGAAAAACAGTATACTCAAGAGGATTTATAGATAATCATTATAATGCGATTTGTTTTTAAATTGTATGTAGAAACTCCTACACTCTTTAAATTCTTCAGATTTCCTACACATTTTTTTTTTCAAAATGTAGGTGGTTATATTTATCAAGAATGTTTTGGAAGAAATTATTACTTACATGTAAATTGAATTCAGGTCGACTTAGAAACGGCTGAAGAAAGTTTGTGATGAACATATTTCAATAGTTTTTGCAAATGATTGATATAAATATTGTCTGTATATAAAATGAAGATCTCAATCATTGTTGCACAAATGCATCAGATGACCTCTAAATACACATCTAAATGAAAAAAATATTTTGTACATTTAAAGGTCCTTTAGACCGCTGTCCGAGGACTGTTCTCCAGTTCATACTTGTATTCTACTGTATGATTTACCTCCAGTCACTAATTAATTTAGCTACAACTGTTAAAACCTATATGCTACAATATTTCTTTTATTTTTCAGTTGTAGTCATTTTTGACTTGAGTACACAACAGGACGAGGAGTGCGATGGCTGTAAGTATGCACAATAGATTATATATATATATATATATATATATATATATATATATATATATATATATATATATATATATATATATATATATATATATATATATATATATATATATATATATATATATATATATATATATATATATATATATATATATATATATATATATATATATATATATATATATATATATATGTTTATTAATGCATTAAAAATCAGTTTTAAAACGTAAAATGTTCATTGCACTTGTACATATAGTAATTAGGGTTTCCTACGACTCTAAATGACCGTAATCCCCTGCAGCAGTGTTTATACAGTAATTACCGTGACCAAGCACCGGTTACCTACCTGGCTAAATATACCTTCGGCTGTCTTCTACCCTTATTTTTGTTTTGCTCTAATTATTTGTTTTCATTGAACATCGTTAAAGGTCTATTATGTTTAAAATAAATTAGATAATATTGTCAATTCTCAATATATATATATATATATATATATATATATATATATATATATATATATATATATATATATATATATATATATATATATATAAAACCTTCAGACGTTCAGGCGAACAACTGCAAGCTGCTTGCCAAAGGTCTAAATTTGAAGCCCTTCACTGAGATATTGTGACGTCTCTATTTGAGTTAAAAATTCTTGGCTGGAATGGAGCATAAGACCAATTTGTCAGTTTTGCTGCAATGACTCTTGAAATTCCATCAAAATAGCTTAACACACATGTGGAACTAAATATACTTCTTGATGTACGATTCCAGAGTGGGTTTTTTTTTGCTGTTTCTATAGATAGTATGATACTCAAATTCTTTGTGGAAGCAGGTCTCTCGCAATGTTGGCTAAATTGACTTAACTGTCTATCTAGATTTACAGATTTACTAAGAAAAATGACTGAGAATGAAAGGAATTGTATTCATATGAAGCAGAATTTATTCAAAACCTTATATGTGAGAAAAAGAAACACTTGCTGTGGCCTTCAACTCGACATTTTAAATATATCGATGACGTATCGTCAATTGACAATGGTTATTTCCATTCTTATGTCGATACGATATATCCCGGTGAGCTTGAGATCAAGATACCACAGAGTCTGACACATCTGTTTCATATCTGGACATTTTACTTAAAAAATACTTTAATGCTAATCTAACAACTAAGCTCTATGATAAACGTGTTGACTAACTTTTCAATCGTTAACTTCCTTTACTTATGCAGCAAAAATATTTTTTCATCACCTGCATACGGGGTTTACATCTCTCAGTTGATTCGATATGCAAAAGCATGCTTTACGTTTCTACAATTTCTAAAAGGAGGTAAATTACTGACAAACAAACAAAAAGAATATCAATATCATCATTTCGTAAGTTGTATGGTCAATGTAATGACGTTGTCAGCTATCATTAAGTGAAATGCTAACCGACGTTTTTCATACTAATTTTTAAGCCACTATTAACACACTGAATTGACGACGGATTTTCCCGTTATTCTCCGATCATGACAAAGAACACACGAAGGGTGTGATCAGTGACAGGGGATGCTCACTCCCCCATGACATCTGATCCTACTTCTGATGTTTTGGAGGTCTGTGTTTGCTCTGCTCCTATTTTGTATTGTTTAATGGACTTTTGAGCTTGGAATACTTTTCGTTTTCTCCATATATTTCATTCCAACCTCCTTTTGCCTGTATTTTGCCATTAGAAGTTTCAAACGCACAGCTCGTTATTTCAAGCTCCCGTTGACCAGAAGTAAGATCGAGCTACAATGAAGCGCATTGAAGTGATAAAATTTTCCGTTTGGATGAAACGTTCTGAGTCATGGTTTGAACGTCAATTATAACATAATGACACGCCCATATTTTTAGAAATGAGAAAGAAATATTCGTCGTTATGTTTTAGGACACCCCACTCTTCGCGACAAGCAACATGAGTTACACTGAAATGGAGCTTTAAAAAGATAAGAAGGGAGAGTTAGAGACTCCCTGCTTCCGTAAATCACAAATTGCAACAAATATTTGCATATTTCTGAATTTATCATGTCTGTTAAAGTTACCAGAACACATGTTTCGGTCGAACACATGTTTACTCAGTGTTTATTTAGACTGTCAATTTGATTGGCTATTATATTTATGGAAAACATGTTCTACAGGTATTCGAATAAACAAATTGACCGTTTTATTTATTTGTAAAGAAATGGGCGTGTCATCCTTTGACAAACAACGTTCTAAGGATAGCTCAAAACGTTCCATTCGAACGGAAAATTTTACCACTTCAATGCGCTTCATTGTATATCAATATTAACCGAACGTTATAACATGTACAGTTACGCTATTTTTTGTAATACATGTACATATATCAATTGGCAGCTTCGCAAGCGTATTTGGACGTCACCAGGATCTTTCATAAATTTCATTTAACAAAATATCAATTCATGATAGGAAAAACAGCATTTTGTTAAGTTAAATTTAAAAGTTTCTTTAAAAACATTATAAATTTGCTATAACAAATAATCATTTTGATATACAAAATCAAGGATATTACGTAACAAAATAGTAATTTTGATATTAGAAATGAACAATTCGTTATTTCTTATTACTTGTTTGTTGTAACAATTTATTAATTTTGAATAACAGTTTAATAATGTTATAACAAATTGTTAATTTGTTATTGTTTTTCAAAGTGATAAATTGTTATAACAAATTGTAATCTGTTAAATAAAAATCAGTAATTTGATGTTGCAAAAGGATAATTTATTAAAACAAATTAATAAAAGACATAGCTGCTGCCCTGATACGCTTTCGTAGTCAACTGTTTTCACTTTCAGATTACAAAAAACCAATGTACTGCTATGAGTGCCAAGATTCTTCAAATGACCCTAACAACTGCTCTGACCCATTCAATGCCACTCTGCTAGCAAAAAATGTCTCCATTTGTGAGGGTCACTGTGTAAAGTGGGTCAGGAATTCAAGCCCAGGTGAGATTGCTTCCTTTAAGTTAAAATACATTCAGATGCTAATGTCTTTAAGAAGGAAGCCCCATGAAGAAAGGGCTATACATTCTAAATTGAGAAACACTGGCTGAAGCGAAACTCACATGTTCAGGTTGCAAAAATGGGCTGTAGACTTATATGGTCATAAGTTCTTATGTTTACAGTTTGAAAAATATGTTTAAGCAGAGTTAAGTGTTTTCTTTGATAACTATACAAGAAAAAAATATTCCACACAATTATTGAAGTCTTTTTTTTAAAATCCTAAGTAGAGTAAGTAAAACATTTTTGGTCTATATTCCGCTTTCTATTCAACCTACTATTCCTATTAGATATCAACTTCCACTAACATTTACACTTGCTTTAATTGATAGCCATTTAATAAATATATATGTGTAACGATCTATATTTTAGGTGTGATGACCTACACACGCACCTGCTCTACCAACTTAAGAATCAAGTTGATGATTAACATTGTCTGCATGGAAGAGTCGAGGCCTCGCTCCGGAGAAATATGCTTCTGTAAGGACTCGAGATGTAATGTTTCTTCTGGAACACAGTTTTCAATACTGGTTTTACTGTGTGGAATATTGCTAATCAAGGAGTGGACCTGAAGAAAAGACACCATGGAATCAAGCAATGATGGCCAAAATCACAGAACTGCAATGGTGTGATTTCAATAGTTCTTTGGAGATGTTTTATCGTACAATCAAAAAAACTATATATACCCCACTTTGCACCTTATCTACAATATGATGTCTGCATGCCAACATACCAAAACTGTGCAAAAAGAACGCACATACAAGTGATGGACATTTAACGAATTCTCAATATTTTGTGAGTACTGCACATTGGATTTTAAAATGGATTTGTGTTGAAACATTGCTGCAATCGTGTATTTGAAAGTGAGAAATAGACTTTAAGCAAGGAGTTTGTGGTATTTATGATTTTTTTTAATATCACGTGACATTATTTCCCATGCAGTGTCGTGCTTCCGAGGATATATGCAAATATTATATTACACAAATGTACATGATATTTGTCTCTTTTTTGCACCTGTAGTGTTCACTTGGGATTGAGAAGAATTCCAAATGTCTCATCCTAAGTCATGCAGCAGTTTAAAAAGAACTGTAAATAGATTAAAAACGCATTCTGATACGAGTTAAAATCTCTCATCTGATCTTGATAATTCTGTAATCATGTTCAACTCGAAAATTATTGCATAAAATTGTCTTTGGATATACAATCATTCGTTAACTTTAACTTAACTTTTTATTGGAAATTCAATGTATTAACAGCTTAAGTACATGTTGTACATGTATTTACATCTTTAAACAAAGTAACGATTTTTTTTTTTTTTGAAAAAAAAAATCCTCAAGGTTGGTTCATGTAAATTGAAGTTGGAGAAGGTAAGAAAGTGTTCGAAGAAAGAGTATACAGACATGGGTGGAGGACGGGATGTAAGTTACTGCAGACCAATTAGTACATGTGTACGATACCATTAATACACTTCAAATTATTTGATCTATTACAATCTATAAACATTATTTATTAATTCATAGCAAGCAATATGTTATTGTAAAATGTTTTAGAATAACATTTTCTGTCTCACAGAATTCTTTAGTTTCTGTTGAATAAAATTTTGAATTCTAATTTTTCTACTGGCACTGCAGAAACCTGACTAGCCCTATTTATAATATACAAATCTATGAATGAAAAAAAAATCACAACCTGAATTTGTAATAAAAGAAAAAATCTGATTTAACAGAAATTTTTTTAATGTAGAAATGTAATTATCCATTAAAACCCAATTTAAACTCAGCAAAAGATTTAAAAAGAAAAATATTTCTCTATTAAAAGAAGCAGAGAATATAAAAGAATTTTTTAAAAAAGTAAAATAGATGTTTTTCCAAAGACAGAAGTGGCTTAGGTTCATCATCTTTTCAATCGTAAGGAGTACGGATGTGTTATAAGCAGCAAAAATCACACAAAAATAATGCCAGAAATGTCTATCTAGTTGACCCTGTGATTTTCTATCTGACCTTAAATGTCATTTTATTAAAAATCATCCTTTAGACTGGCTTTGATATTCAGCATGTGTAATGCTTATTAATATCGATGACAGTTTGTCAATTAACTATCGTTAAATCCATTCAGATGTCAACTCAATATATCACAGTGAACATGAAAAAGAAACTGGTTCACCACAGAGTCGGTCACGTCTGTTTCAGATTTAGATGATTTACGGATTAGAGACAATAAAGGCCCAACTGACAACTAAATTGTATGTCAAACAAGATGACCAGCTTTTCCATCTTCCTTTCCTTATTTATTTATTTTCCCCAGCCTTATCGATACCAAAGAGCATGCTACTGGTATTATACTTTAAACTAAGGCAAGTTACTGACAAATTAGTTGATATTAAAGGGATTTCAATTAACTTCGTTTAAAGTCAGCATTTGTAGATTCTGTGGCTGCAATGATAATCTTGTTAACAAATACAACCTATCACTGAGTCTTTTTTTGACTTTCATATCAATTGTGAGCCCTTTCTTCTTTACGAAAAGTTCCGTCTACATGATCAATACTAGGGCACTCCTCAAGAGATTTTTTACATCGATCTCTATTCTTTATCTTTTCCTTTTTCAAAAATGTATTAATCTAACAGAATTTGTAGATCTAGGCTGATTTTTCAAACCCTTTTACTTTTGACCTATTGTTTGATCTATTTCAAAGGTGAAAAGTTGGTTTCGATAGTTATAGAATCGTATCATATATCCTTCTTTTACAAAATTGTGTTACTAGTTTGTCCTTTCCTCCTAGAACTTGGTCTTGACATATCACACTCTTCTTAAAGATTCGATTTTGTTCTTCACCTCTTTATCTATGTCCTATACTGTTACTTAAAGACTGAGGGAACTTACAGAAAATTTGAAATAACAAAATTTCCAGTATTATACTGAGTATACAGACAGCTGCTTTTTTCAATAAAAATTTAACTCGATAATTTACATACCTTTTCATTGCTCATTTGCAATACTACTAGTATTTTGTTTACAAACATTCTAAATTGTACACAAGTTCTGTGAATTTGATATTAATAGGTTATTGTGTATCTGATTGACAATATATATGTAATATTTCGAGATAAAATCTTATAAATATGTGCCGGAATTCCAATAACTACTAATTGTAAGTACCCGGCTGTTAATATGCTAGATCTTTTTGTTTTCATATGAAGCATAATATACCCCGGTATTCAAAACTTGAACATGAAAAGAAATGTGTTGGTTTCCAGTTCGATTTTACATACATTTATATCGACAGCGTTTTTTCATTAACGACGTTCGATCCTCATATTTGAAGTCTTAAACTTTTTTTTGTCAAGTATATTTTTACTTTCTACACACATAGCTTAATTAAAAATCAAATCAAACTAGTGCTAATTGTAACGGGAACCGTTACAGATGTTCCCCAAACGCACCCAAACTCCCTTTCGGTGCCATATTTCCTGTAAGCTTCATTAAATAAGACAAACTCTGTGCATTTTTGACTTTAACAACGTTTTCCCAGAAGGATACCAATTATATTCAATTTTTAGCATTGCACCCAAGCGCATGTGAATGCATGTGCGTTATGACCATATCATCTTGTCTACACTATTTATATATTTTAATATACTATATATTAAAGCATTCAGTCCAAAAGTAATAAAAATCACTCATTCAGGAGTATTTTTAAATATACTCGTTTCAAATGCACGCACGTGCGTGCACGTGCATGATGATCATACCTTCTTGTAGGAGTCCCTTACATCTATCTATCTTCTAAATCCCATCCTGTTTGGTTGAAAAACAAGGGGGTTACAGCCATTTAAAGTTTCAGCCAATCAGATTGCAGCACACGTGCATGCGCGTAATTTCATGATTTTTTTTTATATCATTTTGTATAATATCCTAATGCATGACTATATTTTAAATTTCAAAGAATTTCGTCAAAAAACAAAGGAGAAGTAGCCATTTAAAGTTTCAGCCAATCAGATTGCAGCACACGTGCATGCGCGTGATTTCATGATTTTTTTCTTTACCATTTTGTAGGATATCCTAAAGCATGACTATATTTTAAATTTCAAAGAATTTCGTCAAAAAACAAAGGAGATATTGCCATTTAAAGTTTC